CCTGCAAAGTATCAGCAAATAGGAACGATGCTTTAAAGTAGACTTGGAAAGAGCTGAAGGAGCATTTCCTAGGTGGCTGTTTTCTGAGTAGGCATGGGTGGTATTTATCAGAAGGGAGCAGAAGAGCTGTAATCAGATGAAGCAGTTAGCTCAACCAGTCTTATTTTATGCAGCTTATTTTGTCTGTTTCCTCAAAACATTAAATGTTGTTTATATTCTTAAATTATCATTGCAGAGTAGGACTTAATATTTGTTTAAAACCTGGCTTCATATGTATTTTTTAGTATCTGGGAACATGTAACCTTCTCTTAGCAGTTGAGTTCTGCAGCAGTTCCCACCATTCATTCAGTGTGGCTGGTGTGCAGTAAGTTTAACTTGAAACAAATGTGCACACTGTTTAATTTTTATTTTTACTGTTTCTATAGGGAATGAAACTGTAACAAGAAGTCTGTGTTAAAGCCTGGCTAACAGCAAGATAGTAAGGTGTAGAAGAAATGCCTCGATGGAAAGGTAGGGAGGACACTGAAAGATATTTATAACAGGCTTCTGTTCTGGTTGGGCAGAGTTCCTGTGATATTTGAGGTGCTTCTGCTCTGTTTGCTCATAGGATTGTGTGCTTGCTACAAAGGAAATACCGGTGATAGAGGGCTTGTCTCACTTCTACCAGGTGATTCCAGAATCACAAGGAAGGGCTGAAGGGTTTTTCCCTGGGTAATTGCATGTTATTAGCAGATTTTCTACTGTTGAACTCTAATGTGATTTTGCAGTGCTGTGGCTGAGAAATGGTTCCAAGTAGCCATAGTGGGACTGAGTGATCCAGCTACATTCATTTTGCTCTTGTGTGATTGATGTCCACTTTTCTGTAGGTTGGTAGTGTGCTTCAGGTTAATGCTGCAGTGCAGCCATAAGTCTGTAACTCGAAGAGCCATTAGGATTTTGCTGGCAATTGCCTGTCTGTGCAATCTTTGTGTGCTTTCGAAGTAAGGAAGGTCTTGGAATGTGAGTGTTTGATGAATGCTTTAAAAGATAGATTTTGTCATTGTGTAAAAAAGCTTTGAGCTGATTAAAGACGAGAGAAAATTAAAAAAAAAAAGCTGTTGCAGTGCCTTGCATTGGTTTCCAACCTGTAGTAGGAGATGCTCTTTTCTTGTTTACAAACAGCGTATTTCTTTGGAGTCAGACTAAGAAAGCAAAACATCACTTGTTTATTAGACGCCTAATAAACCTTATATAGTTCATTAATTCCAGTTCCTCAGTGTTCTTGGAGGAAAACACAGGAAGGAACAGGGAGGTGGGGACATTAGAAGATTACGAGGCAGTTGTGTTTATGTCTGGCCAAGGTAGGCAGGTGGAGCTTCTAGTAGAGTTGTGCAGTCCTTGCTGCTGTCTTTTACAGAGCTGTGTTCCTCTTGCACATGCAGCACACGCACAGGAAGCTCCTTCTGTTCCCTAGGAAGGCTGGCTCCTGGAAAAAAGGAACAGCCAGAGAACTTCTTGGTGCCTGCAGCCCATTTACAATCCATCTTTGTAGAAGTCTACAGCTAGGAGCAGGCTGTATGAATTGTTGGTATTTTTTTTCCTCCTTATAAATAGTGTGCTGTATGTATAATAAACTTTGTGTCTCGTGAAGTATTAGGCCTGTTGCTGAACAGATGGAATAGACAACAGATCTGCATTAGACACTGATTTATTGTTATATCTGAAAATGTAACCTGGTATAAAATCATGCCTCTGAACTTGTGCTTGTTTTTTGAATGAGACTTGCAAATAGCTTATAGCAAACAGAAAAACTTTCCTGAAAATGAAGTGATTTATTATGTGTTCTTTTCCTTTGGAGTTCAGTGATGAGATTGAAGTCTTGGTGATTTATTTGCATGAAAAGGTCAGCCTCTAAACTTCCTGATCATCCCTTGTGCTAATGGGCTGCTCTGCACTTTGCAGCAGACTTGTTCTCTTTAACACCAACACAAAGTGAACTTCTCAGGTGGATCTCTTCCATGCAGTTGCTAAAATGCCAGAAGCTAGGAATTAAAATAACTATAGTTAAGCAACAGAAATTATTAATAAGTATTTCCTGAGTGTTTATAGGGAAATAGGGTATTATGAATTAAATTGAATACACATTGAAACCCCTTTGCCTTTCAGCAAGGTAATCAGGCTAGTTCGGCGGATCTGTGGCAAGATTATCTGGCTGCTTCTCCATTTCCCATCTCTTTAGAAACAGCAGAAAGTCCTTTTTTCTTCCCGCACTTAAATAGTCACAATCTGCAAAGTTTGTCCATTTTCTGATGTATTCTTACAGTTCAGTTTGCTATTTGCAAAGATACTTTTCTTACCGATGCTCGTGATGTTTAACTTAGTGGTATAAATCATATGCCTGCATTACATATGATCATCACAGAATGGTTCAGAGACCATTGCTGGGGATGTAAACGTGGTAGGGACTTTTCTAAGAGGCTGTTCATGAGCCCTCGTTTGTGTACTTTTAAGGCAGGCTTTTCTGCTGCCTTCCTGCTCCCCTTTGTCACTGGCTGTCCCTGCTGACTGCAGTGCAGAGAAGCTCTACAGGCTGCTTCTCATTGTGTCACCATTACTTTTGTGTCAGTTCACCTAGGAACTGCTGCTCCCAGAAACACGCTTGTGCAGTGTGACTGTGCCTGCAGGTGGCTTTTCCTTTTCTTTCATGTTCTTTTTCCTGGAGGTTGACTTGCAGTACTGCAGCTGTATAGTTACAACCTGTTTTGGAATACTTTTATAGTGAGAGTTTTTATTCAGATTTATCAATTCATGTGAGATTGCTTGTCACATAATTGGTCCCTGAATTAGCTCATATACCCTCTTTTTGTGACCTGTTAACATAGAGATCGCATAAATCTCTGCACACAGTAAACAGATGTTAAAAATTCAGGGATCACAGCAGTTCCAGTAGAGTCGAAGCTGGCTTTCAATGAAGTACCACCAAATTGTTTGATCTCTTCTGCATTTCATCCCATTTCTTGCTGTGAGGCTTTGTATCAGAAAGCAGAGATCTGAAGGGATGTTGCATCACTAGCCAGGCATTTTTCTACCATTTCTTAGGAGTTGCATTAAATTGTGGAAGACTTGCTGACTTGGGCATTATTTGCTATATAACCTTAGGAAGCAAATGTGTTTGATAGCAGGTGTTTGTGTGTAGGAGATTCTAATTTTAACTGGTTATAAATGAGGAGAGCTTGTCCCAGTTTTTCTTGTGTGCTTTTGGGAATTAATGTTTGAATCCGAGGCATTTGCTATAAACTTAATGTGAAATAATTGATGATGAAGCTTAAAATTTGAGGTAGGTGTTACTCCTGAGTTTTAAAATATAGAATTTCTTTTGTTCACTTGTAATGCTGTCTTGGCTTTTGAATCTAAGAAATTGAGCTATTGATGCCCTGAAGTTTTAAGGCTTACTTGCAATTTTAACGCTCATACTAAATGTGATTAAAAAAAAAAAAAAACTAAAATATTTTCTTCTTAACTTAAAGCTGTTGTGATGCATTCTGTGGGTGGGGTAGTTTTGTGAAATAGTGCTGAGAAAAGGAATGAAAGAAAAACTTCCAGCTGAATTCTGTTTTTGCACTGGTTTTGCCCTGTTCTTCCATACACATCCATGGAGAGTACAGTCAGACATGTACATCATGTACATCAATAACGCTGTATTGAATTCTCTTGGTGGAGTTCCTGAGTGTTAGCAAGCTCTCAAAACTGCTGTATTTCAACAACTTCTCTTGCAGTGAAGTTTTTCACCCAAATAAAATACAGACAACAAAAGGACCCTTTAAATAGCTGGTCTGGTTTGCAGAGTTTTGGTCTTGATGAGAGTGAAGTTCCTGAAGCTGCCTCAGCTGGGTTCTATCACTTCTGAGTGATTTAGATAAAGATTTTTAGCCTGCTCCTCAGTGTTCTGCATCAGTGGGAAGCATTTCCTTTGTTTGCAAAATCATGCTAACGAATAGGATGTGGATTTAAGTGATTTGCAGAGCTATTCAGGAGTGTCTGGCAGAGAGGTAACAAATCTCCCAATACATCATATGCTGTGTTTTCTGCAAGGCATCTTTTCATCTTAGAAATATTACTTTGTCCTGTGCTGAAATTAATTTACAACCACTACAGGAAATGCTGCCCAAAAAAATAGAAAGCTATATGAGAAGAATTCATATGTAAAGAACTATTTTTATCAGTATGTTTCAGGAAGGAAGAATGTAATTTCACATTACAATTTGGCTGGAACAGCAGGACTGTATTCCTTGTCATTACGAAAAGCTTCATGTGGTCTGGAATATTATTGTTTCACAGTGGTCTGTATCACATTGAAGTTGACTGAGTTCAAATGCTTTGTGTAAATATTTGGTGTATTGCTGCCTGTGGATGGGTTGCATGTTGAGGATCTGAGCTCCAAAATTTTATGAAATAACCTGATATTGATTTTTAACATGCAAAAATATTCCAAGATCATCTGCCCTTAGTATTTCATATAAAATCCTGTGTCTGAAATGTTTTCCAGTATCATAATTGTGTCTTTAGAATAACGAAGGCAGTCTTTGCATGTATGTTTAGTATTCAGAAAGCAAACCAATTGTAGATCTGTCCTCCGAAGGTCCATTGCTCCTGTATGCAGGTGACATGCAAAATACTTTGTGGCAAGGCTGTGAGCTTTAAGCAGTGAGCTGTTGGCAAAGCTTTGCACTGCATTTTGCTGTTTGTTGGTTCAAGTACTCTGTGGTACCAGTTAACAAAAGGAGGCTGCTGGGTTCTCCATTCTGAGGTTAATGTTCAGTGCTTGATTCTGGGACTCGGTTCCAAACTGTTGGAAGATGGTGATTGCAGATGGAAACTGTGACATGACTTGATGACGGATGTCTAATTCTTTTGTGTTCTCCTACTGTGTTTTAATCTGTTATTGAAAATTTTCTATTTTAAATTAATAATTCTGATGTCTTAAAATTTAAAAATAATGATTTGTATTTCTTTGCCACCAGCTTCAACATCTTGTAATGGAAGATGGAAGACAAAGGGGCTCGTGTTGCTGACTACTTCGTTGTCGCAGGACTAACAGATATTTCTAAGCCACTAGAGGAAGAAATCCACTTCAATGATGCTTGCCATAAAATTGCAAAACCAAAAGAACCTATTACAGATGTAACAGTGATTATTAAATCCCTAGGAGAGGAAGTTCCTCAGGGATATAAATGCATAGATGTTACTCCCTCAGGACTGTCTGCAGATCTCAATAATGGCAGCCTTGTAGGACCGCAGATCTACCTTTGTTACCGCCGGGGGAGGGATAAGCCCCCACTTACTGATTTGGGGTGAGTGATGGATGGTTCTCTTACAGCAGGCAACTTTGGCAATTATGTGACTAATGGGTAAATTAAGCAGATTTATTGAAATATCACAACTTTTTTGATAGAAGGTGAAACTCCCAACTGAAAGATGCTCATTGACTTGAGGATGCTGTAACCTGCTCCTGTAGGAATGATGCATGCTGAGTGGATTTTAGTGACACTTGTATTCTTTTGAAGTTTCCAAAGCAGTTTATAATTTCTAACACGTACATTTTTGGTGAAACTAAGTGAATAAGCTTTAAGAGTTATATGGCATTCAAAGCACTGGGCAACAAAGCTTTTTGAAGGCCTGAAAATAATGCTTGTGCAATAAGCATTAGAACTTTAAAAAGCAGTTATACTGGCGAAGAACTAATTTAGTTTAATCACAGTTTTTTCTGTTAAAATGCTGTTTGTTATAATGTTGCCTGAGAGCTAAAATGTACTTCACTAAAAACATTTTGATCAGATGAGATGAGCTGCTGCTAAACTTGTGCAATTCAGTTAGAATTATTATATATAGCATTTGAAACACTGGTGGAGAGGGGAAATAATTATATGCATTTTGACTCTTGTTCATTCTGTTTTAATCAGGGTTTTATATGATGGGAAAGAAAGAGTAAAACAAGGTTGTGAAATAATTCAAGCTACTCCCTATGGCCGGCCTGCTAATATTAGTGGCAATGCCTCGTCACAACGGGTGTTCGTCACTTACCGAAGAGCAGCTGAAAACATCACACAAAACACACTGGCTGTTACAGACATATGTATAATCATACCAAGTAAAGGAGAAACCCCTCCACATACGTTCTGCAAGGTTGACAAGAATCTTAATAATAGTATGGTAAGATATAACATTTGAATTTTGAGCACTTGATATTCAACAGCGTGACTTGTGTGGAGTATTTGTGATGGTTTCCAGAGCACCTGGATTTCATAGGCACTTTCCAAAGATAAGTCATATCTTGGAAGAATTTGAGGATTATATTGCCTTGTTCCTGCTTGAAACAAAGTTGTGTTGAAGTCCTGAGGCAAACAGTCTTTTTATTAGTGCTGACATACAAATACTGACTTGGGATTAGTCCTTAAAACCTGTTGCATTGCCATATATGTAACTGGAAAGTGTACAGCCTGATTTACTGTTGTGATGGGAATTCTGTATCTAAGAGCTATATTTTCTTTTGTTTTTATGCTCTCCCATTACCTGCAGCACTGTTTTGTGTCATTCTCTTGTCATTTCACAAGCATTTTCTAAGAAGAAAGTTTCTTATAAACAAAGTTGTATACTGCTGACTGTAAGCTTGTTTAAAACCATTTTAATGGTTCCAAAGATGGTGTTATTAAAACACACAGATATTGCAGCACTCTGTTTGCAGAACTTAATGTTTAAGCATCTCCTAAGTGAATCTGCAGCCCTATTTTCATATGGTCTCATGCTATTTTCATGAGTCATCATGCTATTGAGGACCCTGAGTGCCTATGTGAGTAGCATTATGCAAAAAGGATCACAGAAACAGTCTGTATTTGCTTTTGAATGAATGCCTTTGGGCATTAACAAATGGATTTTTCAGTTCTACTGGCTCCTGTATTGACTGGGTTATGGGAGTGCTGTGTTATGCCCATTGCTGTATCTTTCTGCCATATCAAAAGCTGTGTGTGCACATATGGATGCCTGTTTTTCCTTAATCTGTGGCCTTCATGCTTACTTTATTCTCATGTCCAGAATTTTAAATTGTCATCACAGCCAAAAAGGAAATCATTGTTTGTATGTTGAAAAAAGCCATGACATTAGATATTAAATCACAGAACAAGGAATGTCTTGAAGATTGGTTTGATTAAAACGCAGGCACAAATATTTATAAACACGACAGTTGTACTTGATAGTTGTGTTAATGACATCTTGGAGAAGAGTTGATAGCTTTCGTGTTTCAGTCTATAAACTGGTTTTATTTTAGAGCTCAAACTGAGCCCTGCCATGGACCATTTATTTCAAGGCTAGCACAGTACTTTCAGTTACATTTTTCTGGCAGTTGTTGGAGAGGATAATGTAACAGGCCACAGATCTCGGTATCTTAATGTTCTACATTTATGTATAGATAATGATTTCTTTTAAAACAAGGAAAAGGAGGCTCTCCCATTATTTTGCTGCATCCTTTTCTTTGGTGTGTTATGATTCCATATTTTACTATCTAACCCAATAACTTCTTTTGTTTTACAGTGGGGCTCAGCTGTGTATCTGTGTTACAAAAAGTCTGTGGCAAAAACCAACACCATATCATACAAAGCTGGTATGTGCCTACTGTTTAGCATTTTTTTAATGCTCAGTTCGGGATGTACAGACTTATTTGTAATGTTATACATTTTTTTGTCTAGGAATTATTCCACGTAGACACTGTCCTGATGTTAGCCAAAAACGAGTCTTTCCCTGAAGAGTTCTTAAAATAGTGTTCTAAAACAAGCTTTAGAATTATGTCTCATTACTCTCTTTGCTAAAATATGCTTTTAATTGGAAGCTCAGTTGTGTTTTTTGTAGTTTTCTACAAACTTTTTTGTCTCCTACCTCTATTTTCATTGCTGATAAATGCTTTTCAAGAATAAGTGTGTATATATCTACATTAGAATATACCACAAAAAAATACTTGATGTATTTTCATGATCACTCTCTTCAGAAAACATTCTGAAGAATAATGCGGATTTCCAATCTGCCCTAAACACCAGTGGCACTGAGCTCTTTTAAGTATTTTTGGATTGTGTGTCTCCATATTTATATGACAGAATTAGATTTGCTATGGCTGTGGTGAAATGCATTGTGTTTTTTAAAGCCTTAACTACTTTTAAGTGTGAGACACAAACATGATTCACACTTGAGCTTTAGTGCACACGTATCCCTTTGAGATGCTGCTCTCTGTACACAGTGGCAGTTTGGGTATTACTAAAAGATGCATGAATTCATAAATATGTCCAATGCTTGTGGGCATATTTTTATGGAATGAGCTGTATGTTTTTTCTCACCACTATTTACATGACTGTCTCTTTATCAATTGTCTTTAAAGGTTTAATATGCAGATATCCTGAAGAGGATTATGAATCATTCCCATTACCAGAATCTGTGCCTCTTTTCTGCCTGCCTATGGGTGCAACAATTGAATGTTGGCCATCTAACAGTAAATACCCTCTCCCAATTTTTTCTACATTTGTACTAACTGGAGCTTCTGCAGAGAAGGTAACTTGTGTTAAAAATTTGGTGGTGTGTCTGTTCAAGTTATCTACAAAAACATCCATTTATCAAAATTGAACCTATTCTTTTGGACTTAAAAGCAAATCTTGCATTTGTTTCCCTGCTGAACTGTTGATTGTAGAAACCTGTCCTTTGGTTTTCCAACTGGTTAGCCTTTGAACCAACAGCTATGAAAATCCTGACTGCACAGACATGCAAATGTACTATGCTTCTTTATTGCAAGCATGTAAACAACCTTGAATGTATATACTTGTCCTATAAAGTAAATTGGATGTCAGAGAAATACAGCTTTGAGCTGCTTATGAAGGAGTCCTAGAATAGCTTAAAAGGCAATTAGGAGGAGCAGTTTTCCTATGGATGATCATTATTTCCTCTCACTTAAATCATTTCTTAAATTAATCTTTCTCATATGACATTGAGTTTAAATGAATAATAGACGGTCTGGATTTTCACAGTCATAAGATAACTCCAGAATAAATTGCTTTAAAAGATGGTGCCTTAATGTAACTTCTGAAACAGTAATATAAACGTGACTCCCCTGCGTGTTTGCTTTGAAGACTTAGGGAAATGCATTGACTTCACATCAGCTATGTTGCTTACAGGTATATGGTGCTGCTATTCAGTTCTATGAACCGTATCCTGAAGAGAATCTTACAGAGAAACAGAAGTCTCAATTGGGATTAGCAGCTGCTGTCGAGGGAAAGTCAGACTCGTGCAGAACAGTCCAAACAAACAAGTGCATTTGTCTGCTCTCTCACTGGCCTTTCTTTGATGCTTTCAAGAAGTTTCTTACCTTTCTGTATCGTTACTCAATTTCTGGTCCGCATGTCCTGCCTATTGAGAAGTAAGTAACTTCAAAAACCAGTAAGTCATTTCTGCTGATGACTGCACTTCTGTTGCTTAAAACTTTGTTGCAATATCCTTTTGATCTTGGTCATCAAACATTAATCATAATGATTATAGTAGACAAAGTCCTTTTCTCCGCTGATGAAATGCATTAGATTTTACACCATGAAAAACCTCTAGATTTTTTATTTCTGATCTAAATGCCTGCAAATGTGTATCTGAGAACTTCTCATCTTTCATCTCCTAAGCATAGAAGAAGTAAAATCATAACTTTTTCTTAATGGTACATAAATAAAGCGAAAGAATTGCATATAGTTCTGCATTTTTCACAAGTCTCTTTGTGGTATAATGAGGCACTAATGCAGATTGAGTTTGAATTAGTGTGCTTTCCTACTATTTGTAATTAATAAACTAACTTCCTTCTCACATGAAGGATTTCACATTTTAAAATGCAGAGGAAATCCTTCCATTCAGGGAAGAACTATCTATAATTAACATATAATATTGTTAAACACTTTCAGGCTAAAGAAACTGATTAATACACTAGACATCAAATGCAGTACTTGTTTTTTATTATTTAATACATCAAGTTTTTTATACTTAATCTCAACTTATATGAGACTTTGTTTAAATATTTTTTGTTTGCTTATCTATTTTGTTTTTCCATTTTGTATCTACTATACTTGTTTTAAAATTCTGATAGTGTAAACTTATGTATAAATACAGAGTTTTGAATCAAAGGTATAAAACAAATCTTCTGCATAAATCAGTGTGTTTCCCTGAGTTTATTTGGTAGTTGGTTTTGTGAATCCTAAAAATGATAAGCACTGGAGAAATTGCAGTAAACTATGTAGCATGCAGTTTGGTAGATTGCCCATTTCTGAGTTTCTCCTGATTGCATATAGTTTCCTTTAATCTGAAAGCTTGTGTTACATAGAACTCCTCTTGTGCTTTTGAAGCTTTTTTTAAAATAAAAAACTTCAGTCAATTTATAAAACAGAACTTGTTCAACTTTTTAAAGCACTTCTTTGTAACACACAGAAAAAAAATAAACACTTTAAATCACAAAATTCACATGTCCATATTTGCAAATACAGACCGAAGAAAAATAAATGAAGTCAATGACTCTCCCTGTTACTCAGCTGTGCTGGCTATTCTCAAACAACTGCAGTTCGTGCCACTGAGTTTAGTGCTACTCCAAACCTGCCTCAGACACAACTGTAAAATGGAATTGTCACACTCAAACCTCAATATTTCTACTTTACAATATATTATAAAAATGGCTCCATGTGATATTTCAGCCACTAAACAAGGTTCCAGTCAGAATCATAATCCAGCATGCCATTTTGGTTGTCACTACTGGACAGATCAGTTCTGAAGGTCACATTAGCCCTGTGGAGTTTGGAGGCCCTTTGCTTTTGGTCTTGTGAACTAACATGGACCATTTTTATAATATTAGTAATTATTTTTGTCTTGAGGTAAAATGGTTTAAGCTTATTTCTACTAAATCAGATTATCTCTTTCCTTTTAGACATATTTCTCACTTCATGCATAAAGTTCCTTTTCCATCCCCTCAGAGGCCAAGAATTCTGGTGCAGGTAAGTGTGAAACTTCTTAATAGCTGTGTCTGAGGGAAGGCAAAATAGCTGCTGAAGGGATTATAGCGAATGGAAAATGTAATTTGTATGTTCAGATGTTTTTTCCTCAGTTCATAGACTTAATTTCTACAGGTTTGTTATGTGCTCTGTTTCCAGCCTAGTTCAGGACTTCAGTGAGATATTACAATATACCATTTAGTGACTTCAGAACTTAATTGTATTTTATTGAGCATGTGCAGAAGTTAATGAAAAGCTACTCAAAGTTGGCATCTGGGTTGGTTTTTTTTTTTTGCAATAGCCTTTGAAGTGTTTTCTTGATACAGTTTGAAAACAGTGTGTAAAATAAGTATAATTAATATTAAAACCCAGTGTGAAAAATATATTTGCAGTGAGTCTGAGGTCTTTTAGAGAAATAGAGTCTTGGATTATGTCTTTATGTATGAAAAATCCCCCTTAATGCACTTGGATGTTCTAAAGAACTGACATCTGTTACTGTTATGGAAAAAGGGGTTTGAGAACAATTGCACTGAACCTGTATCTGATGTTCTGTCACTTTTAGTAGTTCATTTCAAAACCTGGTGTTTACATCCTGTTTTGCTGTGTATACACCTTCAATAAAATATGTATGGTAGGGAACACTAAACACATTCACAGAGAACTATGAATGAGCTTAGAGGAAAACATTTGATTATTTTTTTTTGAGTGTGAAGTTTAGGGAACTGTATCAAAACCTGCATGGATGGATATCCAGCAATAAACTTGAGGACTTATGTGAGCAGTGTGAGATTGTCTGACATCACACTGTTTTCAAACCTTCCATATATCAAGTTAAGACAACTTTAATAGCTGATAGTACAGATGTAGTATACATAGCTTTTAAAAATTAGCTGTAGTTGATGGAATATGTACTTCCTTTAAGCTGCTTTCAGGAACTTCTGAATTGTTGGATGCTGAATAAAACAACGTCATTATATATCAAAGATGTTTTCCCCAAAAATGGTGTGGGAAATGCTTGGATTTTTGAGAAGTACAAGTTCTAAGGATTCTATTTCATTGAAGAAATAGTAGTCTCTCTCTAATTTTTTTATTATTTAAAGCACTTTTTTCTTTGTTACAAGTATACAACTACAGCAAATCCTTCTGAATATGCACTGCTCTGTCTTGTCTGTATGCTTTCTGGAAAGGGGACTTGGTGTGTTTTAGTAACTGCATGTGTACCAGTCTGAATGTTTGACTTTAACTCTGATTACTTTGGAAGGTAAACATTCAGAAATATTCCTGACTGCTGATTTCCAGTTGCCATTATTGTTAGTTGCTTCTGATCTGCTAGAATCCATTCTCCATGCCCCCCTTATCACCCTGACTTCGAAGTGCATCGAGGAATGCTTTTGTCCCTCTAAAGAATGGGGGCAGAAAGTGTCTCTTCTGCCCGAGGGAAACACACTTATCTGCTAGTGTGGAAGTACAAAAGCCATAGGACATCAGGCTGATGTTCCATACTGGGAGCAGTTTACATAGGTTGCCTCGGGCTGAAGAAATGAGTTCTTTGAATTCTTTCACTGAGCAAGGTTATGATGATGACAAATCTAGCACAGAAAGTGGTGTGGTCCTCCTGATCCGTTGTTGAAGCTAAATGTAGCCTTGGCCTGTAAAAGTTCTGTTATATGAAGTATGAAAGTATGCAATATCACAGACTTCTTTTAGTGTTGCATGTTTTATATGGTTATCCAGGCAGTGTAAGATAACTGTTAGCTTCAGAGCTTGTACTACAAATTCCTGTGATGTTTCTAATTTCTGTTCTCCGGTCACCTGCAGTGGAGTTTAAGCTGAAACATATTGGAAATGAAATGCTACTAAAAGATGTCTGATCTTACAGTTTAATTGTACAAGTTGCTGTGCTTTTACGCAGAAGTGGACAGTGCGTGGCCACTTACTTTGCAGAGAGGATTAAGCTAGCTGGTATCTTGTTAAGTTGGATTTGGTATGGCTGAAAACATGTCAGTTGAATTGTGATAAGTTGATTGCATGTCTGTGTTCTTGTTCTCTTTCGAGTCCTTCTGTTCTTGCTGAGTATATAAATGGTTTCTCTTGATGTATCGCTAAGAAAGAAACAATAATTAGTAACATCTTCATCTTAAATCTTCAACCAATATGAATTTCTAACTCTATTAAAGCTGAGCAGCTTCTTCCAGTTATCAGCTTAATTCTCATATCTTCTGAAGGAAACTTTACTTTATGATATAGTCTGCCATCTGTCCTCTTAATGTATTTTGTCTCCTTCCCCTTAAATCCACAAAGAATCTTCTCTGAAAGCACTGTAAGATCTATGGGTCCTTGCTTGAAGATTTACAAGGCCTCTTTTTCAGTAGTTAATATGTTCACTTTTTTTACAGTATTAGCTAGTTTGAATTCCTTTTTTAATGAATGTGCAATGTGCTCAGTTCTGACTGAGAGAAGAAGGGTGGACTTTGCCTGCTTAAAAGGTGCTGTTGCGCAGCCGCACTCTGCATTTTGTAGTACTGTATACAAGTGGGTTTTGTAAAGTTTGGTGTAGTTCACATTTTCAGTGTTCTCTGCTGTTGTGTGGCTTCTAATGTTCAGAATAAAAAGAATGTATTTTATAATCTTTTTCCAGCTGTCTCCGTATGACAACCTAATTCTTAGCCAACCTGTATCATCACCCCTTCCACTGAGGCAAGTAGCAGCATCTTCTGTTTAATTGAGACATGTTTTGGCTCAAGTGTTGAAAAGTTTCCATTCTTTCAGTTGCAGTTGTGCAAATTAAGTGTTCTTGACTGGTGCCTTTTGTAATTAGTATACCTGAAGATTTTTTAGGGATTAGATCTGTGCCCTGACAAGGAGATATACTTAATCAACAAGATCTGTGCTTTTTTGTTTTGTTCTATTTTGAGATAATTTTAGTGATTATTGATGCAGAAGATAGTTAAATCTGCTTGCTAGGAATTGGAACCTGAGCTCCTGAGATGGTACATCCTGTGTATTGTAGTGTAATTAGAGGAGTTCTGCAACTCTTCTTAACCTCCATGTCATGAAAAATGATCATGTGCACATCCTGAAAAATCTAAACTGACTGAAGAGTTGCAGGACCTCATGGTTAAAACATTCTACAGTGTTAATATGCTGCACTGAACAATGAAATGTACTAAGAAGTCTCCTTTGAGGTTGTATTTCAGAAAAAGATTTGCAGATTTAAGTTTATAAGATCATATTCTAATGTTGTCTTCTCTATTTTATTATTTTTAGTTTTTTTTCTTGGTGCCTTGTAACTCAACATGTGTGTTTATGTTCTCTAACAGCGGGGGCAAATTTTCTACACTACTTCAAAATTTAGGACCTGAGAATGCAGTGACCTTGCTTGTATTTGCTGTGACAGAACATAAAATTCTCATCCATTCGTTGCGACCTTCTGTCCTTACCAGTGTGACAGAGGCATTAGTCTCTGTAAGTAATGTGGTTTTAATTAGGTACTTGTAAGTGGGAAGAAGAATATTTGTAAGATAAAAGCTAAAGTTACAGTAAAGCTGTTAGACTTCTGAGAGATTACATAAAAATTAGAATCATATTTGAGATCTTTAGCAACACAAACTTTTCTACTTGTATTTCTTGAAGGCAGTAGACGAAAGATAACTTTTGTGGTGTTTATGTGTAAATATTGTGGGTGAACGTGTCTGGTCATCACAAAGTTCAGCACCTTCTTGACTTTCACCACATAGTACTGCATCCTGTCTTGTAGAAAAATATTAAAAGCACATTATTTTCCTTTTTCAATTAACATTGTTTTACTGCCTCAACTGTATCCAATCTGTTGTTACACTGAAGAGTTTGTTTCTCCTAATTAAACAAACTGACACTGTAGAGAGATGAGCATTCCCTATTTAATAAAATGCTTCTATAATTACAGTCGTAATGCTCTATTACCTTCTGCATCAGAAGTGTAGGAATTAGCGTTGAAGAGGGAATTAGTCAAGTGTGTTTTATACTTGCGCAGACTGTTATATATGTTTAACCTACATTTTTTTCTCTGCATCTTTTCAAAGATGATATTTCCTTTCCACTGGCCTTGCCCATATATTCCTCTCTGTCCGCTGGCACTGGCAGATGTATTAAGTGCACCATGCCCATTCATAGTGGGAATTGATTCCAGATACTTTGATCTCTATGACCCTCCACCAGATGTTAGCTGTGTTGACCTAGATACCAATACCATTTCTCAGTAAGTATTTATTAATAACTTTCACATTTGACTTTTTTCTACTCCTTCTTTTCAGATACAAAACTAGCTATTTTTTTTTTCAGAACTCATGTGGTTTTTTGTTTGCTTTAAACCTGTGAACTTTCTAATATATCATCTTTTTAGAATGAGAGTGCTAGAAATGATAGCTGTTCTGTGTTCAACATGGAGGTAAAATCCTCATACAGTGTTATTGCCTCCTACTTGATTATATTAAAATGTTACTGAACACATCATTACATCTCCTAAATTAACCATATTGAGTTTTGTTTTATTGGTTCCCTAAGGACAATAGTCATCTTCATTTTTCCTGAGCAGCTTTCTTAGTGTTCAATTCCAACACCTTGGGTTGGCATCCACTTGAAAATAATAACAATGAGATTATGCTTCATATTAGAATGAAACATAGGAACTTTATACGAGAATTAGAAATGTAAAATTACATGAATGAGGGAGTCTTAAGACTTAAAAATCATTCCGTCATTAACAAATGAAAATAAATGAATTATATTTCTCTTTCAGAACAGTGTAGAGCACAGTTATACAATGTAGTTTTTGGGAACAAATTCAAACTGGACTACAGTAACTTAATTTTTCGTTTTATTAGTTTTGGGTTAAAAGGAACATTTTTGTGTTGTTTTTCCATTTAGTTACGTATTCATTAATGGAAAAAATAATTTCTTATTACGAATTTTTTGACTTTGTTTTACTTTTAGCTGTTTTTCTTTGCGTTTTCATGGTATACAACAGAACTAACTTATTCTAGAGGAAAAAAGTCAAACTTGCTTATAGTTTTTGCAGCCTTGACTGAGGGAGGGCCTGGAGGCTTCTGGTGCCCTCTGTAGACAAAGAGATGTTATGTTATCCATAGTGATAACGATATAGTTAAGTCTTGATTTCTATGCACTAGATGCAATATGGTTATATCAAATTAATTTCAGTATTCTATCAGCATTCTAATCATTATCCTAGTTTAAGTAGCTGCAGCTTAGAACATAGCATGTGCAGTGGTTGCTTATGTGAACATAGGTGCTTAATTTTATAAATCCATCTGCAATGAGCTCTAAGTGGAATGATTTCAGTGTTGAACAGTGTGGCTCCATAATGATGATGCTGAAATATGGGACATTGGTTGGATTCCTGTCATTGTAAATCACATTTGACTTTTTGTTCATTTTCAGTCCTCCTCAGTACTATTTTAATTGAGTGAATTTTATGTGCTCTCACATTCTGATGAGGTGGAAAAATCCTCTGAATGTAGGCCTATATACATACATATTTGTATACTCATACATCCTTTTATTTTTCCAGAACTGGAGATAAGAAAGCTATTGCATGGAAGATCTTGCCGAAGAAACCTTGCAAAAATCTGATGAACACTTTAAATAACTTGTATCAGCAACTGGCAGGTGGGAAAGTACAGAATAAGATGGATATTGGATAAAATGGGCCACATCAACAGATAAAGAGCTGGTTAAATGTGTTCTTAAGTTGTACCATTGTACTAAATGTAATCATGGAATAATATTTTTATACAGATAGTGCTTTAGGTCCAGAGATTGGAACACACATAGGAGCTCTTGGGATGCTGGTGCTCAATAGATACTTCTTTGCATTGGTGTCATCCTTCTTTAAAGAGAAAGGGGAAAAAAAGCAGGATTGTTAGGAGGGAATAGTAGAGCAAAGAGTGTCATTTTGACAGTTAAGGTAATTTTCTTAGTACTTCTTGATGCTGTTTGGCTTTATTCTTTTAAATAATTTTACTGTCTGTGTTTTCCAATCTTTAAGAAAGCAACTAAAGTTTTTCTATGACTTTTGTAGCTGCAAGTTTAGTGTGAGGATGTCTGAGTATAATTGACTTTGGAGAGAAAGTACCTGAAATCTTAGGATAGAAGTAAGATGTGCCGGAACATCACAGCTAGAAGGCTTTGTGCAGTGAGAATGCATTCCATCAGCACTCTGACATATCTGTCTTCTTACAAGTTCTTTCCGGAGATGTTAGGAGAGCCTTCAGAACAATAATGCATGGCAATTGCAAAATCAAGTGTCTGTTGCAGTCAGCAGTGTTTCATTGTGTCCTGCATAGACTGTGTTGGAGCAGAAATGTACTTATCTGTGCTGGACCAAAAAAAGTGTGTTACTGATAGATTATGCCAATCTGCTGTTGTTTCAAAACTTTGATATATCTTACTATTAAGTTCTTTTTAGAAAAAAAACACAAAACTAAGTTCTCTGTGATCTAGAGAATTAAAGATCAGTACATCCTATTTCTAGCTACAGATTAAGTTACTTAAACATGATGTGGTTGCCTGTGTGTAGAAGTGAAGCCTTAGCTAGAGTTTTGGTAGCTTTAAAAATCGTGATACAAGTATCCAGCAAAATCTCCATTCTTAAAGAGATAAACAGAAAGCAGACATTTCTATAGTATATGTCCATGTTATAGCATTGTGTTGTGGTTTTGATGGCTGCAGTTTTCAGCTGAGTGGTAATTTTGTTTATATAAGTATTTAACACATACAGCCTGCATTTCAGGAACGTTTTGAGATGAAAGGCTTTGTAAAACAATGTGCATGCCCCATCTATGGTTTTGTCCTTAAAATATGTTTATTTAAGCAGCTCTTGCCTAACTTTTTATGTTTGTATAAGCAGATTTGAGGTTTTTTTTAAGCTCTGTCCATACTGGTTTCTTCTGTTGCTGTAGTAACTAATGTATTGAAAAGGTAAATTTATCTTCTTTTTAGTATTATCCAGAAATCCTTAGTTTGTATAAGGTCAAGCTGAATCCATTGCTGTATATTGACTTTAATAGCTCAGTAGAAAGGGAATCTAGTGAAAGGAGATATTTTTTTTTTTTGTCAACACTGCAAAAAATTGATGTAATGTTGTAATGTTTCTGTTGTTCACAGTGCAACAAAGGCCAAGAGAAGATGCGTTAATGGAGTTAGCAATGAATGACTATGATTTTAATTCTGGGAAGAAATTACATCTGTTAGATTTGGAGATCCAAGAAGCATTTCTTTGTTTCATGGCCTCAATACTGAAGGGTTATAGGTCTTATCTGAGGCCAATAACAGAGGCACCCTCTGAAACAGCCACAGATGCAAGTTCTCTCTTTGAACTACAAGGTAAAGAATCATAAGCCTGTTTTATGTATATTACTTAGATTCTCTCATACTGAAAGAATAAGAACACTTTCAATGTTAGTATTTTGAATGATGGTAAAATGATGGTGCGGAAGGAACTGCGTAGTAGTGGCAGAGATTACAAGAAGGTTGTTGCACTTTGGTAGAATATATACTGATTCGTGGTGAAGGCTTCTTTGTTTTAGGCATCCTTACATCTTCAGATTTTGTTCTGCAGGTTTCCTCAAAAGTAGAGATCGCTCACATCAGAAGTTTTATACGTTGATGACCAAAACTCAAATGTTTATTCGTTTCATTGAAGAGTGTTCTTTTGTCAGTGATAAGGATGCAAGCCTTGCATTTTTTGATGACTGCGTAGATAAAGTAAGCACATCTTCATACGCATGTAGTTGTGTGGGATTTTTAAGTTCTGCTTTCGTTTATGTTATCTGATATTCTTCATGGTAGAAGGTGTCTGAAGTACAAACTTATTTCTGCCTTTTTCCTTTTACTTCCTTTCTTTCCCCTAGTTACTGGGGCCTTCCTTTTTTCTTTTGTTGGGCTTCGTTTAAAATTCTTTGAAGTCTAGATGTGATGTTGTGAGAACAAATCAGTTCTGCCAGATTTCACATTTGTTAGCTTTGAAATACAGACCTGTCCTAAGAAGGGCAGTATTCTGACTGCTAAGTAGCAACTTCAAAGTTCTTAACTGGAGAGTTATATTCTGTAGATAAGACTATGAATGTCTATTTTTTTTAGAATGTGTAATATTTATGCAGCAGTTTAGGACTGGCATTAATGAATAGGACAGTAGCTGATACCAGACAGTCTTAAATTTTAATTATTATGAATAGAAGTGTTTATAGGGAAGGTCTACATTAGTATAGTGTTGAGTACTATGAGGAAATAATGTTCTACAAAGTATAGTAACTTTTGAAAATTCACCATATTTCCAAAGAGGATCTGCAAAACTGTTTTGATTCCACTTGAACGTTCTTAAAAACAATAACATCTGTTTTCAGAAGAACCGAAACTTATTATTTCATTTCTGTTTGTTTCTATTGTTACATGAAATAAATCATTATGACTACAATAAGAAATTCCACACCTACTTGTTTCCTTACTGGCTGTGTGTACAAAGTGTTCTGTTCTGGGACGCTGATGTTTAGGTAATGCAAATGTTGTCTAGGATTTCCTGCAAGTAGGTCACCTGCTGTTTGTTCCACAGAATTAATACCAAAGGTGGTTATCTCTCAGGAAATAAAGTGCAAAAGAACTAAAATGAGTTCACATTAGAAAAACAAATCTGAATGTGGTTAAGCTTAAGTTTGAGCTGAATATAAAAGAATGGTATAATACTATCTAGTACTCTTCATATACTTTAGTTTCAATATTTCATTAGTAGTAGCTCTCAGAAGTGTGCTTCAGCTCTAAAGCATGAGGTTATAAATTGGAATTCTAGCACTTTTGTAATATTCACTCTGATTAACCTGAAGTTCAGTTAAAAACCTTTCAGTATATAATGCTTGCTACATCTTCTCTTAGTTTTCATTGTGTTACAGGTTGTCTCTGATGTTACATAGGACTTTTATTCAAAATGAATAAAGTGTTGGATTGTTGTTTCATTTTGTGGAATAGTTTGTGAGGACGTTGTGATTGGTGTCCTAGCCTAAGTTATCTTGCCTTGAAATTCAAATAGGTTGTCTGAAAGAGTAGTGCTTAGGTTGATGATGCTGCTGTCAAGCTTGCAACCAATATGTTGGAGCTTTCACTCCTTTAGAAGAAGGTTAAGTAGGTGTTTGCACAGCTGAAGCAGAGACTCATCTGTTCTAATGCCAGTCGTTTTGCTAGTTGATGCTGTGGACAGCTTCTTTCCAGTATGAGAAATGCTCGTGACAGTGCTGTGAGAATAAATCTTACATAACACACTTCTCCAATTTCTATTTCTGTCAGTGAGGAGTTCTCTGATTTATTAAGGGGACACCTAGTTCTATGCCAGCGCTATGTTTGATGCAGTGGAAATACTGTATGTAGGATTTACAATGGTTTTAGAACTTGCTTGTGAAACCAGCTTTTTGTTAACATGAGGAAAGGGGTTTCCATGTGAGAGCTGGTTGAACAACAATAGATTAGTTTCATCTTCTTTCCTGACTCTTTTATACTTTCATTTCTGATTCTGAGCTTACAGTGGAGAAAAAGTCCTTAAGAGTTACACATTTAGCAGTGATGCTCCATCTTGATGGTCAGATATTAAACTTGAATGATTACATTCAAGTGAATATTTCCTTACGTGTTAATGCCTTTCTCTATGTGAACCATTATGTGAAAAGTTATTCTTAAAAGTGATGTCATGGATTGAATTATGGTAGGATACTTCTTCATGGGTAGTTATAAACCACTGAGTTGAGACAAATCTTATGTACCATGAAATTAGTTACCTATAAAATATTATCTAAGCCTTGTGTAAGTTCACTTGTAAGAATATTTTAAGCTAAAGACTCATCTGTTATACGTCTTATTTTATCCTATAGAAAGCAACAGAGGAGATTGCTAATTACTTGTTGTGTCTGCTGAGAGGCATACTTAGAAATTTTCATTTTTCTATGAACTCAAATGATTTCAATTCAGTATATACTTAAGCTACTGACTTCATTGTATTTCACTGCTGGAACTTATGATTTTTACATCTTTAGAAGGATTGCCAAGTGAGATTTCATTTATTCTTACTTTTCATGAGCCATATGTTCTTGTTACTTGGCTGATTAGATTTGCTAATACTTTCCATCTGTCTCATGCAGTAAAATGTGTAATTAAGAAGCACCTCTTCATATGTTTATCAAAATTTAAATATTTAAAACTGTACTGAAACTGTTTGATGTATTTCTACCTCTGCAGAGAAGGTGGAGAGAGAACTGTAGATCTTTTTCTTAACCATGAATCTTCTGTTGCTAAACTGCTAACAGATGAAGAACATTTCATCTTTGGGTTCCACTGGCTGCTTGTTCATTTCCTTTAAATACCACTTTGTTGTAATTTGACTTTTATTTAGCCACTGGAATAATAACTGTAAACATAAATTGAGATGATATTTGGGATGAACACTGGGGCTGTCAGCATTGGAATAAAAAACATGTGAAGTACACTGGGAAGTAAATAGCTCCTGTGTCAACTCTTTGGGGGGATATGTCTCATCCCACTAGCAGAAGCAGCACTTAGGAGATATTGGAGTTGACAGTTATAATACTTACTATTCTTAGTCTAATTTCACAAGGCATCCTTACTTCTTGAGTGCAGTCCTTTGATGCTGATACCAACTTTGCGTTGCACTGCTGTAATGGCAGCAGATACCCTAATACAAATCCTCCTTATAACTTTTCCAGGTAGATATGGACAAAACTGGGGAAACACGGCTTATAGAGCTGGATGAGTCATACAAGAGTGAACATACAGTTTTCATAACACCACCTGAGATCCCTCATCTGCCAAACGGCGAAGAGCACCCTCTGCAATACAGGTGACTTAAGGACACAATGGGTTACTAGCTTATAACATCTCATAACTTCCTTTTTATTACTAGCTTCTACTTTCTTACAATAGCTGTGAAGTACAGATTTTGCTTGTTCATTTTTACTTTGCTTAAATAAAAATGTGTGTATGAAATGCTTTATGTGCCAGCTCTTTTCAAGTTTCAGTGACTTTGTGTGTGTTCATGTGGGATGCACAGAAGCAGTAATGCCTGATGAAGCTGGCTGTATATTCGTATTACGTTGTCCTAGCTATTGACAATTGTAAAAGTTAGAATGGAAATGAATAAACTCAGTCTGTCCACCTACTGCTACTGCTGATAATGATAGTCTACAGATACTGCTTTGAAAGAGTACATCTCAGAGAATTGCTAAAAATTGGTGTTAGTAATTTAGTAATTACTTCAATGAGTTTGTGTATTGGTTTCTTCATTTATTCAGAAAAACATTTCCAATCTAATTTAATCTCCCAGATAGTTTTATAAAAAATCAATATGAACAGTCTCTGTCATATGATGCTCACTAGGGACAAAGCCACAGATTTTTGGATTAACTGGAATCCATACTAATGCATTTGGCATTAATTAAAGAAAATGCTATTAAAGCAAATATAGTTAACAATTTTAGTTGCTTACACTGATATAACATGTTGAGACTGTTTTTTGTTTTCTTTTTTTCCTGTGCTTATGCTCATGGAATCATGCGGATGGTTTAATAAACCACTTTGTCAAGAGTGTCTTTTGAAGCCTTACTTCTATATTTCCTATTTCCTATGTAGCTTCTAGTGCAACTGTGTAATTCATTTCTTTTGCTGTCATACAGTGTGTTTACTTTGGAACTGCCTTGCATGAGTTAAGTGATATTTCTTTTTACAGCTATAATGGGTTTCCAGTGTTAAAACTAGATTTGTTTGAAAGACCTGAAGGACTTCTCACAATACCAAATAACAAACTGTCCTCAAAAGCCAGTAGTCCCAACAGCCCATCACCGATGTTCAGAAGAACTAAACAGGTACTTGCAGGTATTCATAGAGTGTGAGCTACTTTGGAAAGTGTCAGAAGTGTCAGGTGGCAGCCTTTGGTTTGTTTTTTTTTTTACTTGGCTGCGAAAGACTGACTGGAAAAATCTGCAGCCTATAGGCTATTCAGAAAGAGTGAGGTGTTGCACAGGCTGCCCAGGAGGTGGTGAAGTCACCACCCCTGGAGGTGTTGAAGAAAAGGGTGGATGTGGCACTGAAGGCCATAGTCTGCAGTGGTCACAGGCATGAGTTGATGGTTGGACTAGATGATCGTAGTGGTCTTTCCAACCTTAATGATTCTATGATTTTTCTCTGATAGGTAACTATACCAGCAGGGACTTCTTAGGTGTTTACTTGTGCTTATTGTTCTGGCATGCACCATATTGTATAGGGCTCTTGGGCACAGATCATCACTTGCTGTGCTGTTTCTATACTTACAGTATTCCTTATACTGCTCTTCACAACCATAAACTGATGATATTCCACATCCACTTCTTGTTTGTTTCTCAGTGTCCAGGACTTCATGACAGTCTCTAACTTTTTCATATCTTACAAGAAACTTGCGACGTAGGAGGGGAATATTGCATAGCAAGTTCTTTTGGTTCCCTCAGTGTACTCTCATTTTCTTTTCTGCTTTATTGAAGATGTTGTTCGTGCTAGCATTGTAGTGACTACTGTTTGGTTTTAGCATGTAGATTTCTGTAATGTCTGTAATTACAGAAATAATTGTTTTGATTCTTTACAGGAAATTAAATCTGCACATAAAATTGCCAAGAAGTACTCATCCATACCACAGATGTGGTCCAGGTGTTTGTTACGTCACTGCTATGGTCTTTGGTTTATCTGCCTTCCTGCATACGTGAAAGTGTGCCATTCAAAAGTCAGGGCCCTGAGAACTGCGTATGACGTTCTGCAAAAAATGCATACGAAAAAAATAGATCCACCTGATGAGGTAAATAAGTCAACCTCACCATTTTAGGAATAGCCTCTAGTTTTAATGAATGCAGTATGGTTTTGATGATAGAAATAGAACAATAAATATGTGAATTTTCAGGTTTGCTACCGAGTTCTCATGCAGCTGTGTGGACAGTACGGTCAGCCAGTGCTAGCAGTGAGAGTGCTTTTTGAAATGCAGAAGGCTGGTGTTGACCCTAATGCCATTACTTATGGCTATTACAACAAGGTAGGCATTTTTGAAGGAGGGAGGGGGGAATGCTTTTTTATCCAGACAAATAGAAGCAAACAAAATAAAGTTCAGTTGAGACGTATTTCTCGTAACTAGAAGAAATTAAAGACAGAATAATTGTTAATTTTGCCTGTGTGGGTTTAGAAGTCTACTTCATAACTGCTGATGTAACCTAGTTTGAAATGAAGTCAGTGATTCACAATTGGCTGTTCCTTAAAATGACTTTATTTGACTTGGTTATTTCCAAAATAGGCTGTTTTAGAGAGCACGTGGCCTTCAAGCAATCGAGGTGGCTATTTCCTATGGATGAAGATAAGAAACGTTGTTTTAGGAATAGCACAGTTCAAAAGAGCATTGAAAAAACTGCCGGCAAGTTCATCACATACAGCTCTTCCTGGTACAGTATTCTCATTACTGTTCTTCTATATCCTCACTGATAGGAAAAACATTTCAGGAACGTTCTTCCCGTCTTTGTTCATCTGCTTTATTTTGGTGCTCGTGCTTTAGGACAACCTGGAACAGGAATTGCTATATTAGTGTGAAATAGATTTCATTCTTGAAGACATTCAGTCAGATTATTAATGCTTGGTCAGCGTTGTCTAGGAACTATCAGTTAGTAGCTTGAATTTTTGTAGAGGGTTTTCCGGGTGGTGTTGGTTATTTTTATTTTGACCTTACTTTGTGAGTATAGTTGTGGTTACTTCTTCAATCTTTATTTTTCTTCACTTGCTAGAATAAAACTGAGAACTACATGCATTAATTTTGAAAAAACATTGCACTCTAAAATGAAACCACACTTAGATTTCTCTGTTTTTTTGAAAGGATGTGACACTTTAAGCGAAGAAACAAGGCAATAGAATTAATGATGAGCTATGCTTTAGTGCAGAACTTCAAAGGAATGTTGCAAATTACCCCTTTAATTTCATTGCGTTGAACATTTCAGTGTTTATACAGTAAAAGTAATTCAATCACTTTTCTTTTTTTGGTGGTAAAATGTTCGCTGTTAATTGGAATGTACTTGATAAAAGCCCTTTGAATTACTTTGGATATTCAATTTATGCTGTTTAACAATGTCAAGCTTTTTAATAACATAATCATCTTTATTCTGGTATTGTCTTGTTGTGGCAGGAGGACTTTCAGACTTGGGCAGCAACACATCATTCAAAGATGAAATCAGGCAAGGAAAAACTTGTCTTCAAGATATACAAGAACAAAAAGAGGACAAAAGAGAGAGTGATTCCAGTTCTTGTATGTATCTTATGAATACAGATAACTCATATTGGATAAATAGGGATTTCAGCCAAGCTAAGTGGAGCAGTTGATTGTTTTACATTGAATGTATTTGAAAATGCTGATTTATGCCTATGCCTGAAGTTCGTTTATCTAAATGTAATTTTCTGGGTGTCTGATGGTTTTACTTCTAAAGTTAGTATTTTTCCCTTCTTGGTTTCAATAAGTGATAATGGTAATAGAAGAGCCTAATGATAATTACAACATAATGTTTTTGTGTTTAAAAAAGAATTAGAATTGCTTTATAGGCATAATCTAGAGGAAAGCCTCTTTTACCAATCTGTTTTCTTTCCAAGTCACTTAAGAAGTGAATGGCAGATCTGTGAGATCATATCTAAATTGTCTCCACCCAAGTGGATGTCAGTGTATGTATTATGGGATATATACAACAAGCTGCCATTTAATCTTCCATAAAGTGTCTAATAGGTATTGGAAATTTGAGTCTTAAATTAAATTGCTTTGATTTGAAAGATCTCTGTTCTTTTCTACACAGTGTCTGAAGTGGAAAGTGCAAAAGGGAGTGGTGACTGCCTACCTAAACTCAATTATCTTAACTCTAATAATGACAAAGCCACTTCTAGCATAGTGCGGCTCAATGGTACCATTGACAACACAGTGGCAGAAGCTAGCACTGGTAAGTGGGAAAGAAATTTTGATTCTTCTATAGGCTTGTTCCTACTTATTCATTTTTAACAAGACTGGTATATAGCATCTCTGAAGTTTTTTTGTCTACATAACTTTCAGTTCTTTATTGGTGTAAAGGCAGTGGCTGGTACAGTTCATGGGAGCGAGTTTAGGTTAGAGTCTGCGTTTGCTTTTTCAGGCAGATGTCTGAGTAGTTTGCATTTCCAGATTTCTTGTTTGCCATTTTTTGCTTTGACTAACATCTACTTACAAAAGCAGGAGTCTGCTCTTTGGTTTTACTGCTTTTTTTCTTACAACCTCTAGCAACTTGAATTAGTTCAGAATGCGGAAAGTGTTCCTGTGCAGTATAGTTGAAAGAAACTTTTAAAGTCTCCAGTAATGTCAAATATGGTTACTGTAATACTGTCATTTGAGCTTGAAATACTGTAGCTGTTGTATAAACAAGTCCTTTTGTCCTGCCAAAACAACAGATTTCTTTGACAGTAATTCCTGTTGTTGGTTCTATCTGTAATACATCAGGTTAGAAAGTGTTTCATTTTTGCCATTTACTAGATACCTTTGCTGTTAGTAGCTTTCAGACCTCCTAATAATAGTGTACTTCTCCAGAAATGAGCTTAAATATATCTGAGACTTTTCTTGATGGTGCCTCTTTAAGTATGTTTGAGCTATATTATTTGTCTCCCTTTAAATGTGTTTTGTATCTTTCCCTTTGATGGAAAAGCAATACTGAGATGATTTTTTTTAACTTAATGTATTTTAAAAATCATAACCCTGGTGAACTCTGCTTTTCAATCACCACCACAATACATGGTGAATTCCATCTTAGTATTGTAACCTGCTTGAAAAAATGAAGCAAATTTGCATTCTTCAGTAATGTTGTTTTCTTGTATAGGAGGAAATAAAATACTTTGTTCATCTGTTTTCCAGAGAGCTCTGTAGGATTGCTATTTACATCATCTTTTGAAGATGCCAATGAAGCAGAAGTTATAAAAAGTAAATCCCTAAGAAAGAGACATAAAAGTGCAGCAGAACCTGACGTAAGGGAGATTCCATGGGAGCGCAGGAACCGTAACCTGAGCGGAGATGGCTTGGTGGGACTCATCAATAGAATAAATCAGGAAGCAAACCCTGGAGAAATGGTTGAAAAACTAGGAGCTGATGCCAAAATCCTATCCAGTGCGTTACAGAAAAGCATAAGGCCAAAAACTCTTAATATCAGAACTTCTTCTTTAGGATCTAAGAGAGAAAGTCTGGAGAAAGAATCTAGTGATGAAGATGCAGCTTTTGACTGCAGTTTTACAGATAAAACAGAGTCTCCAGTTATCTTTGATCTGGAGGACTTGGATGCTGAGCCTGAAACATCTACAACAGTGAAGACTTCCAATGAAAAATCTAGAAGACTGCAAAGAAAGAGCAGCTTTCCAGTAAAGCCAGTTGAAAAGACGGATGTTGAAACAGGATTTGATCCACTGTCCCTGCTTGTTGCTGAGACAGAACAGCAGAAAGAAGATGAAGAAGAGGATGATGATAGAAGTGCTTCAACTCCATCTGCACGGCGAGATTTAGCTGAAGAAATAGTCATGTATATGAACAACATGAGCAGCCCTGTGTCAAGTCGTGCCCCAAGCATTGAGTTGCAAAAACCCTTTGATGACAGAAATGTTAATAAAAAGAGCCCAACAATAATCCAAGCTTGTAGGAGGTCCAGCCTTCCCCCAAACTCACCAAGGCCATCAAGTCTTATCAAATCCAAGAGTTATCACTCAAAAGCTGAAGAAAGATCAAGAGACAGGCTTTGGTCCTCTCCAGCTTATTCCCCACACAGTCCAGCAAAGGAGCAGGAGGCAACTGGTGCACTTCCACTTGTGTCTTCCCCATCCTTCAACTTGGATACACTGTTAACACCAAAGTTTGATGTTCTAAAAAGTAGCATGTTTTCTGCTGGAAAGGGGGTTGCAGAGAAGGCTAGCAAGTGGTACTCGAAATTTGCAATGTACGCTGCATCCTCAAAGGTAAACTTTTGTCATTACTCCTCATTTTAGGTTTTGTGCAGAACAGAAAATGAATTTAATTTAAATAAGTGAAAAACTTTTGTAAATCTTTAATCCCAGAATCCTATGTAGTGAATACACAGTTCAAATGACATACACCCTGGTAAATGCATTGTTTTAATCGTGTTTAAGTTGCCAGTGCCCTATTTTATTGTACTGAATCAAACAGTTATTCTATAGAAAGCATCAATGGATATTAATTCTTTTTTTTCCTTAAGTAATTACTGAAGTGGTTGTAGGCTAGTTTTGCACTTATGTCATTTGATTAGAATAATCTTTGCTGCTACCAACTCAAAACCAAAAGTCATTTAATTCCTTTATTTTGGGAATGAGAACAGCTGCAATTTGCTGTTCTCTTGATGTAGTTGAAAACAATCTGAGAATAATTAAATTGTATACATGACATCATAGACCTGTTCCTGCAACTGCTAGTAACTTTGACACGAATAAGAAAATATTGTAGGGTTAAAATGTTTAAGTTTTCACGTAGGTCTTTTTGTTAGAAGAATCTTTATAAAAGACTTCTCATGTAGCATCTTGTTTCATGTTGGCTCTGAATACAGATCTGAACTGAATGACTTTCTAAAGAGATAAATTCATGCCTTGCCTTTGACACAAAGTTGACACTTATTTTCAGAAATATTTTGTTTTCCTTTCCTTTTCCCGGTGGAATTTGCTTTCTTGTCTCAGGACCAAAATTCAGACCGAGCAAGTGTTTCATCACTCGGAGCTCTGGACTCAGAATCTACTTCATTAACTGATGAGGATGTCTGCAATGACTTCGAAAGCGCTTCTCCTCAGGAGAACACTACATCAGAAATAAAGGGAATTGGCCTCAGCAGGACAAGCCTGGAAAGCTCAGCTTCCCATGATGGCTCATCAAAGCAATTTGACCAGTGTGGTAAGAGACAGCTCTTTGCATTGCATTTATTCATCTGAACGTATTCCAGTTTTAGAAGCTCTTTTGTAATTTTTAGTTAGGGATCATCTTAGACATTAATCCTTTATGTGGGAAACGTGTACTTTTTTAACTTGGGAACTCTTACTCATGTATGCATGTCCATAGCTGTAGACATTTTTATTGTGGAACCTTGTCTGGGGTGTTTCCTGTGGAATAACTTGCAAAGTGACATCCTTGTCCTGAATAAGTATCTTGGTGCTGCAGCTGTGCAAATTAGATCTTTCAGGCCCTTCACTGTTCTAGTGATCATTGTTTTCTAGAAGTCATTGAGGCTGATCATCAGAGAGACTTCAAATGTATTTTTCTGTAATGTAGAACTGGTAAGCTTACATCCATTTCTGTAGTACTGTCTCTGTAAAGTAGTTTTAAGCATAATCAAAATGAATAGATGGTCTGCTTAAATTCCTCTACTTATCTCCTACAAAGTCGTGTCCGGATTTAGCTCCCTACTCTGTCATGTGAGGAAACTGAAGAGGTGCAGAAGAGGTTGCCATGATAGACAGGATTTAGGAACGTCCTGAGGCAGAGGGGAGCCTGTCTCATGTAGTGAGGCAAAGAGGAGGCTCAGGGAGATGTGCAATCACAAGCAGCACCTCTTGCCCTTCTTTATTTTTCTATCCAGACAGAAAGGGTGGATATGAGCTACTTAATCTGTAACCCTTGTTGCCAAGCTACCAACTGTAAAAGAAGAAAATTGAGCGTATGGAAATCCTCTGTTGGTAGTTTGCATTTTCACTGGTGTTGGTGCTGGGCAGATGGCAGCCTTATGCTTTGGCTTTGCATTTTTCTCTCTGAGCATATCTGATTTACTGCTTCCGTCACATGTTTTATAACTGCAGTATTGTTTGACCAGAAAAACAGTTCACTAAAATGCATATTCTGATTAATTAATACTCTGTGTTTTTTTTATTTTTTTTACTAGGCTCTCTTTCCAAGTTTCCTTTACCTGACAAATCTGAGTTGATATCTTCTTGTAGCACCAGCAGTACCAGTGTGTTTCAGAACTACGCTATGGAGGTATGGAAGGATTTATCAATACAGTAAAGGCATATGTCCTTAAATATAAATGCTATCTAAATCTCCATTAAAGTTCAAATCTTAAAACTAACCCTCACTGAAAGATAAGTATTTCTGTAACAGAGCAGGTTTCAATTCTCAAGAGTTTGAGAACTGGATACTGTTGAGGCCTAGGCATGTAAATCCCTTGCACAGCTGTATGTAAAAAGTGGAAAATAATAAGCCTTAAATAGCTCCATGCATTTAGAAATACAGAGTAGATAAATAGCTATTTCTCGCTGGGGATTTGAGGAAGATAATCTTACTTTTTACTGTTTTGAATTTGTTTGCTTTTCATTTCAGTGGATGTGGGTTAATGATCAGTCACTTTCACTTTTTTTCTATTGTACTGGCAGTCACTGCAGGGAAGTGTGTTATAAGAATACTTTGTGTAGCTGCAGGAATATTGCTATACTGTTATCTTTGCAAGCAGGTTACAAGTAACACATTATTTTTAATAAAAATATTGACTAAACTAGTTACCCAGCCTGAGTTATTCTCAAAAGCCATAAAAGAGCCAACTAACCCACTTAGCTAAGGTATATTTATTTAACGAGTGTACTTCCAAATCTCAGTCTCTTTGTTACAGTTCAACCAGTCTGTCCAAACTTATTTCTGCACACAATACTTTTTTTCAGCTTTAATTCCAGTCATTTACCATATCAACTTCCAGCTGTTACAGCTTGGATTTTAGCTAATAATTGTTCTGAAATACATACACTTAGACCCAACTGTTCCAACCTAAAGCAAGGGAATCTGTGGTTTGTGCACAAGTAATGAGCAGTATTTATCCAAGAGCAAGGATTTGGGAAATAGTTCTGTTTTAATTGCTTTGGAGAATGTGGAATTCTGTTACAAACTTACTTCATCTGCTGCATGCAGGTCCTTATCTCAAGCTGTTCACGATGTCGAACTTGTGACTGTTTGGTTCATGATGAGGAAATCATGGCGGGTTGGACAGCAGATGATTCAAATCTCAATACCACGTGTCCTTTCTGTGGCAATTTATTTCTGCCTTTTTTAAGCATAGAAATCAGAGACCTTCGACGACCTGGACGGTAATAATGTTTGAATTTTATCAGTTTTAAATGATCAGCATTTCTGTTTCTTGAGGTTTTTGTTTGTTTTTGGCTCTTTTAGATAATGCTTTTTCTCTCCCTGCAGCTATTTTCTGAAGTCCAGTCCATCTACAGAAAACATACAGTTTCCATCTCTTCATTCAAATCCAAGTGGGAAGTCCTGTAATACTGCAGCTACTGCTGGTCTAACTACATCTCTAATGTCTGTTCAAGGGGATATACATTCAGATAGGTAAACCCATGTGTTCTTTGTTCTTTTTACATAGAAATTACTTGGGTTCTTTTTGATTCAGCATGGTGTTCAGTTTCATCTGTGATATAAAACATCATGTAGATGTGTGTAATTCTGCAAATTTTATGAACTCTTTTAGGATATTTGTGTCTATTAGCAGTGCAAAAGGGAGTAAAACTTTCTCTGTAGCATGGGTGAGTACAGTGGCTGACATGGTCGAATTTGCAGTGTGAGATTAATTGTGTACTCAGCTCTGTTGTATGGGCTTTCTAGCTTTTCTGTTCTGTTTTCTTGTTTCAGTATCAGAGGAAAACGTGAAAATTCTTGGTTTTTTTTTTTTCCCTAGTAATTCTAAGCAGAGTGACAATACTTGTGCCAGAAGTATCCAGATCCCCTCAGGAAGAAGACAAAATACTTCTGGGTCAGAATGTACAAGTCACCCTGTAGCAAGGAGTATCAGTACTTTTGGTCCATTGGAAGAAGATGAGAAGGAAAACCAGAAGATCAACCATATCATTCCTACTGGTAGCCTGCCTGCTACTTTGCAAGGACCAACAGTGTGTAGTTTTTCTACCTTAAATATTGTTGTTTCAAGTGTGCAATAGATTCCAAAAATGTTTAAGTATTAAATAAGAAAACAGAATTTACAATCTGAAGTTACCAGAAATAGTAGATTTTATTATCTTAAGCTAAGATTTGTAACTCTTAGAAAACAAAAGCATTTTTAAAATACTGTAAAGATAGTTACATTCCAATTAATGGCATCTTTCCTTTCTTACCTTAGGATCCCTTGGGCCTAGACTGGCGCTTACCTAGTCCTGATCCTATAACTGTTCCTTACCTCAGTCCTCTAGTAGTATGGAAGGAGCTTGAGAGCTTACTTGAAAATGAAGGAGATCATGCAATAACAGTGGCAGACTTTGTAGATCATCATCCAATTGTATTCTGGAATTTGGTATGGTACTTCAGGCGCTTGGACTTGCCTAGCAACTTACCAGGATTAATACTGTCTTCTGAGCACTGTAATAAAAATTCAAAGGTATGGAATCAGAAACTATTGACTTGTGAGGAATGTTTGTTTTCCCACATAGGAAATCATTAGTTATTGAAATACTTCTCAGGAATGTGCCTTACAGTGAACTGGGCCTGATCCTGTAAAGTGTTTGTTAGCTGAGGGAAAATATGCATAACTACAGAACCTGCACTCAGCAGTACTTATGTGGGATTAAGTGTTCTTACCAATCACACTGTAGTTTGCAATCTTCAGTTACAAAAAAGATACTTTTCTGATGGGTTTTATGGCAGTTTTGTGGCAAGTCAAGCAGTAGGAGGAGAAGGGGGTTGTGATTTGAGGAGTGTAGGAGGATGCACAAAATACTTGCTGTATGTCACTGACATTCTGTTCAGTTCTGGCTTTTCCTGGGAATAACCTGATTTTACAGCAGTTTTAGTTAAAGAAAAAAAAAGCTTGTAGATTTGAAAATATTTTAAATATGAAAGTCTTCTATTATTGTTTTCTAATAAAATAACTTTATGTATATCTTTTCCTGCTCAGATTCCCCGAAACTGTATGTCAGAGGACAGTAAATATGTTCTTATTCAGATGCTGTGGGATAACATGAAATTGCATCAGGATCCAAGGCAGCCTCTGTATATTCTGTGGAATGCTCAGAGTAAGCTTTGTTTCTTGTGGAGGCCTTTTTTGTTTGCTTTTCTTTAGTGTGTATTTTTGTTGTTTAATGATCTTTTTTTAGATCAATTTTCATTTTGCGCAACTTCAGAATGTCTTGAAAAGAATTTTCTGGATGGTTCATGCAAGATATGTGACTGGTTTTTGATGATACTACTTTTTGTCTTGCAGGTCAAAATCGCACTCTTTTGTTTGAGAGTGAGTGTTAAGTTTGGTGTTACTATTCTGAGTTTGTGACATGTTTTGGGAGGGATGCTGGTTGTGTATTTAGCAGTAAACTGCTTGAACAAGTTCAGTTCTGCAGCATATCTTTCAAACCATTGACCATTATCTCAACTGGCTTTTTCTTCACTGGGAGGGAAAGAATAAAGGGAATGCACTTCAGTGATGCACTGAACTTACATTGACAGTTCATCCTCTTTTTTTTTTTTGGAGTTGCTTACAATGAATTTAGTTGCCACTGTTAGATCACATGCCTGGAATGTGCCTCACGACCCATTACAGCTACTGAATTTTCTTTGTGCTTTTTTTGGTGCTGTTTTGTGTGAATGTTTATTGTACATATATGCCAATGTTTTCACAGTTCTGTAGCATCCCACCATTTTTTAAACACCTTTATACACAAATTGTATGTTTATTCTTATAGTGTTTCTAATGTTTTTCAGCCCAGAAGTATCCAATGGTCCATTTGTTGCAAAAAGATGATGACTCTTTTAATCAGGAACTCTTGAGAAGTATGGTGAAGAGTATTAAGATGAATGATGTGTACGGACCAATGAGCCAAATATTGGAAAGACTGAACAAATGGCCACATATTAAAAGACAGAGGTAAGAGTTCAAACATGCCATTCTGGAGCAAGTTAGGACAGCAGTGAGGCTAATGCAATATTAGTATTTTCAGTTTGTTTTTTTCCTTTTAAAGAAAGTTTTCCAGTAGTATTCTCAAGTTTTTACTCAGTCTGGTAAATACTTCTCAGTTTTTCTTTTCTGCTCTGCAGCCACTTCTCTTACATCTGAATGATGGTAGATGAAATTGGAAGTGTGTATGTTTATTTTGCCACTAAACGTTATACTTACAGATTATATTAAATTATTTAAAAAAGAAGCAACCAGTACCACCTCCACTTAGTCCAACAATGCATTTACTGGGAGTGGAAGGGGTTTAAGTTCTCAATTGCAAGAAGAAGGGGAACTGAGAGTGTAGGTTAAGTCTTGTATTATTTAGGAAGCTTTTATCTGATAGCAGTGGAATTAGTGAAAATTATTTCTCTGTGAATTTGTATTTCTTGCCTGGATTTACTGATTTTTATTTATAGTATGATATTGCAGTCTTTTCAATAGCTGGAGTTTTTCCAAGGTGTTTATTTGGTTGTATGCTTTTCTGCATTTTTGTTATCATGAAAAAGCAAACTCCTTACCTATCTGTGACATGTGATAGAATTTGGCCAAGAATAAGCTTGGCCACGGGGAGAGAAGTGTGTGATGTAATCACATAGCTTCCTTCCTTTATGAATCAAGGGGAAAAAAAAAGTAAGATAAAGGCTTAGGATAACATTGCAGCACTGTATTCCTCCCTTAGAGGAAAGACTAATGAGGATTGAGAAGCAGGGGCAGATGAATACTTTCTTCTGGAGCTGGTGCTCTTTTGGTTGAATCACTGGTGTGTTGAGTGCCTAAGTGCGTCACTCTGGGGCCTGTTACAACATCCCCTCCTCTGGTGGAAGTTGTATCAAGGACCTACCTAAGTGATGTCCATATCTGGGGAGTGAGTACAGAACATTCTTCAAAGGTCAACACTGACAACATTTTGTAGGTGTTAATAGGGAGCAATGTTCAAAGTGCTTATTCTTATCTTTAAATATTCAGTCTATTCTTAGTATAGTTAATTTTTTTAATAGTAACTATTATATAATTAAACTTTTTCACAATTTCAGGAGCCTGTATAGAGAAATACTGTTTCTTTCTCTTGTTGCCCTGGGAAGAGATAACATAGATATAGGTAAGTTTTATTATTTACTGATATAAGCACTGACAATGTATGAACCAGTGTATGTATGCACTTTTCAACTTCCAAAAACATAGTTTAAAATACACGTCATTCTATAGTAAATAGTAAGTCCTTTTTATTGTTGTTTACTGCTGATAAACATATTAATTGTCATTATATTTGTCATTATATTTGCATTGTGGTTTCAAGCAAGATATGTAGGGATTGTTCTTCTGTTTCTGCAGATGCTTTTGACAGAGAGTATAAAATGGCCTATGATCGTCTGACAGCTAATCAAGTGAAGAATACACATAATTGTGATAGACCACCAAGTACTGGAGTGATGGAATGCAGAAAGATCTTTGGAGAACCATATCTTTAAATATACCTAGATGAAAAGCTATGACGTATGCCTGTGTAAAATAACCACTTCAGTCAAAAGGAACTTCTCAGTCTTCAGTGTTTGAGAATGTATGTACGAATGTACCACAGCAGAAGGCCTTGGAAAAGTGGGGCCTATCTACAATTGTGGCAATGGACAGAGTGAGAAACGGGCCAAATATTGTTTCCTTGTCCCTAGCCTTTATGCAAATCAGTGTATAGAAAGGAAGATTCTAAACAAAATCAATTTTCTAACTTAGGACAACATATTACATTTCCCTTGTTAAAATATATATATAAAACAGGTGGGCAGAAACAATGCACTAAAACTAACGTGAGCGAAGTAAATTCTTCAGAATCTATTGTTTACATAGAATATTCATGATGTTATGAAGAGCATACAAAGTTGTATTATACATATTTTAAATTGTTTATAGTAAGTTGATATTTTTTTATTTTTTTTTAAATTACTGGAGTGAATTTTAAATGGACTTGCTGCATAAGCAATACACTGCTTATTTGTTTTGCAGGACACTGCTATTTATAGTAACTTGTCCAGTTACTTTTGAAGAGTGATTTGTTTTTAAAGCAGAGTAGAAAACGTAAACCTTCACCTAGACAGTATGCTAGATACAGGATTTCTCTCATGCACATATAGAAAACGTATTACCACAGCAGTCAGCAGGAAGGTATGGTGAAAAGCTCCACTAACACTGATATATCTGATATATATATCTGTAAAACGCTCTGTAGGAATCCCTTCCTCTCCTGTTTCCCTCACTCCCTGCTCCATAGAGAGAGTCTATAGCATATTGAGGAGTCCAACAGGTGATTTTATGGCATCAGTGCATCTCAGCAGTTGACGTTTGCTACGTGACCTCGTTACAGATGTTATAAAAAACAAATGACAGCATTCAAGTTCTTCATAAAAATGCAGTGATCAGTATCTTGGTGGATGTGTTTGAAACACACACTAAGTCTGGTGAGCACGTAATGCTAATCCAAAGCTTTTAACTTTTCTAAAGTAGGTAAAACAACCTTGCTACGGGGAAAATGTGGGGAGTGTAACTTATCGAGGCTTATTGTGAATAGTAAAATGTAATTTGAATGTCTTGTCCTTGTTTCACAGCAAAACAGCTGCTGCTTTTCTCTATGAAGAACAACACTCTGTCAGTCCTTGTGGTGGAGTCATGACTTTTGAAGTACATTTTTTTATTTAAGAATGGTCAAAAAGCATTTTACTTTTAGTCACATAGCAGCTCCGCACTAGGAAGCGGATATTGAAAATATCAGAAGTCTTATATGGAGGTGGGAAAAGAGCCATTCAATTTCTATAAAATGCCCTAAACAAATTAAGCAAAGCTTTAACAAACACCTTGTTTTCTTTAATCTTCATGGTTCCCCGATTCTTATTGGTTGTTGCCTTTGTAATGCTTCTTAAATATTCACTTGTTCCAGTAGATTATAGGATTTGTGTGTCTGCTTACCAGCAGGAATTTTTTAAAAAATCTCTTTAGTTTGCAAGTGTAGTAAAGCAGCAATATTAGGTAACTAGAAAGGAGATGAACTTTAAAGTTCACATTTACTTTACTAAATTAAATAGTGAGCCTCTTAGAGGCTTAAATGAGAAGTAGTGCTACTGTACTGCTCTCTGTAACCTCTTCCCAGTCCACTGTAAAACAGTTAAACGATGCTGTCCTAAGGATAAAGGATTTAAAGTTTTTTAGAGCTGCAGGTATATGCTGATGCTAATTGCAAGAGGCATCTTTATGTAAATGCAGTCTTGCTGGATACAACTGTCACGGGGTAATTCCTCTTCTCTATTCTGCTGCTAACTATGTAGCTGAGGTTTTTGGGTTTTGAAGTTTCCCTCACCCTGACGTGGAGCTAGCGATGTTACACTTAGCAACATTTTTCATGTTTAATTTATTTTAACAGTTTGTGAAGCTCTCATTCATGCTGTCCCACTTGTAAAATATTCCTCATGCATGAGCCACTGCTACTTTTTCACCCAAGTACACTGTAAACTCTGTCAGTGTAGGGTGAACATGTACCCGCTTCATTCTTAACTATTGTGAAAAATACCAGATTATTTTATAACATATTCATCGTAAGTACCTGTTAGTGTGCATGTATGCTCTGCTCTGTACAGTATCTACACCGTATTTACCAAGTAAAAGTAGTGTATATAGATTCATACATATTTGTGATGTGTACAGTGTAGTGTTCCAAGCTCTTTGCAGTTCTGTTTCCCACATCATTCACCACTTGGGGCAGCCAGTGTTTTATAGGACCTTCAAGCCATGAAGGAAGGCAAGTGCTTTTTCCAGAGCTACTGTTTTGTGTTAGAGGTACTGAGCTATGAAGCAAGCTTCACACTTTCTATTTCAGTCTGGCAGGAGCAGCTGAGCCTTGTCTCTAACAGCCTCTCGTGTAACAGGACGTTACGCTGCAACTGCGTGCGCCTGCACAGGGATAGATTCAACACTTGTAATTTGGCCCCCATCCTCCGTTCTAGTCCCAGCTTAGTTGTAAGTATTTCCAACAGTCTTTAACATTTATAAAGCCAACCAGTTTGCCACTTCATTCAGATGTCAGCAGTCCTGTCAGTATTATCAGAAGAGTCTGTACTGTATCATGAAAAGGATTCGTATATGCATCATTAAAACAATCTTGCATCCTCAGAGTGGCACTCCCAAAGCATTGCTTTATTTGGGTGCGCTTTTAAATTAGCGTATCATGTAGTATTCCATCAAGTGAAATCATATACTGAGTGAATTGCTTTATAAAGTCTGTTGCAAGTCAGTCCACTGTAGAAACATTATCGGAAGATGTAATTGGAGTACACTCTAAGTGGGAAGTTATCCTCATTCATATCATAATGATGTTCAAAATGTAGGCCATGGGTGATAATTTTTAGGCCTCATGTAGTTCAATGTTGAAACAGTTTACAAATCTCACTGTCCTTTATTAGAAAAGCAATTTGAGTATATTTTCCAATACAGCAAAGATGGATAAATATTTGAGACATATTTTCAATTTAAGATTTTGTATGAACTGAATTTTCTCCTTTTGTGTAGAAAATAATGCTTCTGTCAGAACCTTAAACAAAGGTTTTACATTTGCAGTGCAATATATATTTTGCTTTACTTATGGTTCTACTGGAAAAAGTATTCGAGATGAAATAGTGAAATATGAATAGAAATGGTGCTGTTCCTCTGACACTGCTAGTTCCCATTTTGAGGCAGTTTGCTGTTGGCACACTTACAGCCTGATGGATTAGACTTCCACTGACCAGTTAAGCAATTTATACCCCGAGGAAGAGGTGATTCCTGCATATGAAATCATATGCAAACTGGGAGATGCAAGTAGTAATAATAGAGAAGGGGATTTCTGGATAGTATCTCACTGCAATTTGAAAATGGTACTTTGTTAGTCTGCAAGCAGCACTTTTAAATGAATGGTTGTAGATTTGTAAATATGTAATGTTTAATTTTTATTTACCAAAAATACAGTATGTTGTATGTTTGCTTTGGTTTGTAGTTCCTTTGAAATATGCAAGTCAGTGTTCACAACGTCAATTTTTTTGTCTCATCCAAAAGAGTTTTACAGTGAGTCAATAAAAATCTTAAAATCTTTCTGGTTATTTTCATTAACGTTTTATTAGCTGGATTAGAATGACAGAAGTGTCTGCAGCTCAACTACCTTGTTTGCTCACAGGAGGCATTTTTAACAATAAACAATTTGGGTTTGATTGTTGATGTCAGTGGCATTTTCCATAGTGACTGTATAGAAGACAGTGCTAACAGCAAGAGTTAGTGCCGGAAAGAATGATGTGTAAATTTCAGAGATGAGTCAACTCTTCTTTACCTTCCTCTCGTAGCATATCTGGTTTCTGGTTTAGCTTTTACAAGTGGCACTATTCTGAGATCCACTCATTTCTTTATGGTACCATGTCAATCCATGTAATATGCTAGCATTAGTTGTGCTTACTGATGATATTGCATAAGATCACAATTCAAATGCTATTTGTATGCCTTCTTTTAGGATTGTTGTGCAACTCTCAAATCCTGTTGTCGTCTGCATGCTGAAATAGCTTTTACTGCTTTGCTTGTTCCTTGAAAGGCTCAGTGTCATGTCTCCAGTAGTCTTAAGAGGACCAGCAGGAAGGATCGCTTCAGGTGTGCATCACATGTTTTGTATTCACTGTCTTGGATGTATGTGTAGAGTATCAGTTGCTTTATCAGATGTTTTATAGTGGCTTTCACTGAAAGGATGAAAATGACCTCTGCAGAAGGAAGTAATGACAATATAGCTATAGCACAAACTTCAGGAACTGTTGTGTTCTGGAGCACTTACTGCTTTTATTCAATTTGAGGGAATTCGCTTCTGAGATGGAGAATGTGTCCATACAGGGCTTTGGAGCAGAACAGTTCTGTAAGGGCAAGCCATGAAGGTGTGATTCTGTTCCCACCAACTGAAGATCATTGATTTCAGTGAGTTTGAGCAATTGATTGCATAAATGTGTGATCTTGAAAATATTACTAAAATGTGTATAAAGGCTCTATGCTTAAAATCAGTTCCATTAACATAAGATCACCTAATGTATCTGTACCATACCATTACAGGAATGCCTAAAGGTGCACAGTCTTTGGTACTGGTCCCTTCTTTGCCTGGTCTTTTTCTTTTCCTAAGGAAAAACAGCAACAGTAGAAGCAGACAAACCACTTGAGATTATTTTATTTTTTTTTAAGTGTGTCAAAGACACTTTAATCTCAGGAAGTTGAATATAACTTGGGTTGCTTTGATCAGAACAACAGCTACCTTGAACTGCTTTTGATTTTTAGATGTATGCCTTCACACACGTTGGAGTGCCCAGATGTCACACAGATACTGGGCAAGATATTATCCTGTCTTCTAACATCACACTGATGATCAAAAATACGAAGTAGAGAGCAAACATAGTGAGCCCTAGTATTTTGTTCATTTTCCATTTACATAAAGCAATTGAGATGATAACAAATAGAAGCATGAGAAAAAGCAGAACAATAGCACAAAACAAACCATTACTACTGACTGCAACAGGACTGAATCCGTTGAAGACTGAATAAAGAAACCAAGGAACTGGCAAACTGCAAGAAAAGGAAAAGTAAATTGAAATAAATGCTTGAAGGCAGTTCATTTTCTGCATTATAAATAAGCAATTTTTCTAAACTCTTACAGGAAAAAATGCACAGCTGCATTCAGTGTAACTCAGCATAAATCTGAAATTGATGTTGTTGGTGTGGAAAAATTGCATTTGGATAATGCTTGTACTATCATAATGCAATACAGTAGTGTAAAAGGGTTTTCAAAATAATAACTGTGAATTAAGTGTCTCAGCATGCTCTCATAAAGGAGTAGGTTCTGATGCTTTGTAAATGAAAGATACAGGTGCAGATACAGAGCCTTGGCTGTGGAGAATCTGAATGCCTCTGACTGAATGAGTATTCTGCCTGTAAATGTTCAATGTTGGCCTGAGATAAGTTGCATTTTTTTTGTCCTCGAAAATCAGTTTCCTGTTGACTCAGAATTTAGGGGAGATGACAGTGCCATTTCACGCTACGCACCCTTATTTTAAGCTTAGAACAATGCCCTGAATGATGTGCAACTTAATATTCATTCTGCACTGGATTGCTAAAATCTTGTCTTTCCTGGCTTGGTTAAGTTTTCTAAAAATACGTGTAACTGGTGGTCTGACTGTCCTTCAGTTAGGTGCAAATGAAATGAAACATTTCTTTAGTTTAAAAACTGTGTTTTGTATTTTGGAAGAACTGCATCTTTCAGCGTTGAACTAATACTCACCCAACAGTGATATCGAAGATATTGCTGCCTACAGAACTGGAAACAGCCATGTCACCTAAGCCTTTCCGTGCAACAATGACACTGGTGATAAGGTCAGGGATCGATGTTCCTGCTGCCAGTATGGTTAACCCCATAATTTCCTCTGATATCCCAATTGTTTCACCAACCTAGTAGAACAGCAACAAAATAAATCAGGGCTGTTCATTTTGGAGTACAGAATATAGTCTCACTGCCTTCTGGGTTTTGTGCCATATTTAAATTGAAATATTTTTCATTCTTTTAACCATGGTAGCATGTTGTATAGGGTGAAAAACTAAATTTAATAGTGTTTGTTAACCTCGGATTTGTTCTAGACTATACATCACAGTGATCATCTGATTGCAGTTTGACCAAAACCAAGCAAGGTGAAGTCAGTTACAGCCTAACACATTCTTCTGTCCTACATTTGCCTCTTCTGGATGTGTTTCATTTTTCCTTTTGCAAATTTAATATCAGCTCTGTATGAGAAATCTTAGCATTTATGGCTTGATTAATTATGTTGTGAATGTGCAGTGAGCCACTTGATACGAAGTGTGGGTCTAAATCTACAGGGCACAAATTTCTGTTGCCCATTGCTCCAAGGCAGTTGGAGTTGAAATCACTTAACAGCTTCCAGAACCTGTGTTATCCTAGAACTGTAATTAGATAAGGGATAATTTTGTTCCACACCGATTCATTTATCAGTTAAAAGTATTAAGGTAAATTTTGATGGCACTTTTCTTTTCACTGATGCACAACTTCCTTTAGAAGCTCTTCAAAGAGAATCTTTTGTCAAATCAAAAAGAATGAAACTGAGAATTCCCTGTTGGATTCTGACAAAACAAAGTTTCTACTGTTTTGACGGATGACTGCAGCTGCAATTCATCAGATAAAATGCCAGAGTGACAATCCGTTCCTTATCTTAACATCTACTTGTTCTGAACTGATCTTGTTTGCAGACAGAAAATAAATCCCTTACCTGATGAGCCCACCACACCATGAGGTAAGAGAATGCTGCAATCCAAATGATGGATCCGAAAAATGTGATGACAAAGAATTTTTTTGAATCCTGTTAAAACCAAGTTTGAAAATAAAAACATGAAGTTTCAGGAAGGTTAACAATCCTCGGTGAAAACTATTCACATGGAATGCTGCACTGTAATCAACTGTTGATATTGATTTTGGTCTTTGTGGGGGTTTTTGATAACTTTGACCAATTGTTGCTAGTTGTTAATTACTTTAATTAAGTCTCTGGAACTATGCTATGCTACAGCTGGGGCTTCTTTTCTACTCTCTGCAACATTAACAGTGATTATAAGACTCTTGCCATGGAAAAATGGAATGGGGGCGATTCTTGCTAAGAAGTCTTTAGCTCAGTTAACAAATATGGTAGCAGAAGAAAAATGGATTCTTACTGGGTTTCTGACATCGGGTATAGTGCTCCACAGAGGGAAGACAATGGGAAAGAGGAAGAGGTAAATTGCTTGTTTTTTCCTGGTTTCTGGCCATTCAAGAGATAATGGTTCATCGTTTTCTTCATCATCTGTGCTGTCATCGTCGCTGTCATCCTCACTGTCAGAGCTGCTGTCTTCTGAGTTATCACTGTCTGAAGGGGGCTGTAGGTCAGGAAAAAAAAAATCCAATATGCTTCACTCTAACAAGGAGCTGTGCAATATTTGTTCTCCATGACCATGCTATGGCTGAGGGCAGTCAGAGCCCGCATCTTGTTACTCTGGGACAAAATCCAGGTCTATCCTATTTTGGTGCAGATGCCTGTCTTGTGATTCTGTTAACTATTTTGTATAAGTCAACTAGAATGAACTCTTAGATAGAGTTTTAACACAAGTAGAATATTGACTGTCTTTAACAACCTTTCCTCATCAAAACAACGTTACATAATTGGAAGGAGGGATGAGGGAAACAGAGCACAAAAGCATGCTGACGACCTGACTGACTTACTTTCCCTTGTCCTGGAGTTGCCCTCTGACCTCATCAGAGTCAACTGAGGAGAAAATAGTATACAGGAGCAGCTGGTGTCATGTTTTAGACCAAGGTTGTCTTCGGTCATAAGCCTAAATGTCTAAAACAACTCCTTACGTTACCTCATCACTACACACGTAGTCTACTTAAAGTTGCTAATTATGAGAAATGTGCTGAGTTTTACTCCAGAAGCCCTGGGCTCTTATTGCCTGTGATCCTTTATTTAATACCTGCCCATCCTGTGGTGTGTTCTCCTTCTGTTTGTCTTTGCTGGGTTCAGAGTCACTGGCAGGAGTTACCTGGATGGTCTTCTGTGGTTCCTGCTTCTCTTCTGCTAAAAGTAGTAAGAAGGGATAGTGATTTTAGTTACATTAGTGTGATCACCTTCTTCTTTACCTGCAGGTGAGTTTGTTTGCTCCAAACACATAAAATATTTCATGTTAAACCTAGGCCAGTGGCTGATGCTTTCTGTTTTTCATCCTTGCCTATTGTGAATCGCTGTTCTTAAAAGGAGGTAGAAGCTGGTCCACCTGCTGCAGGTGGTCTTAGGAGCATCAAACTATTGCTCTGAAACCACTCTAAGAGGTACATATACAAAAGCAGGGAAATGCTAATTATCTGATCTCTGCCTGATGGTTATTTGTTTCAGTCTGGATTCTGAAGCCTTTAGTAGAGCCATTCTCTAAAGCCCAAAGGATATAAAGCTTTACTCTCCTTTGTTTCTAGTAGAGCACAGCACTCTCCAGGGAGCGGGTACACTTCGAGGCTTCTGAGAAATGACAGCTATGTGCTACCAGACATTAATCCCCAGTCATCTGATACGTACTCAAATACAAATAGAGAAGTGCTGATGCATACAGGGAAAAAATCTGCAATGTTCTCTGTGCTGTTCTCGTGTTAACCTGTGTTAATCACGTTATCCTAAGAATTGTACCTGGTTGGGGAATTATGCTGAGCTGGGTGAGTTGATCCAGTGTCTCACAACTCCAGTAAGGAGCAAGTTTAGAGGGAGTTTTTCAGAAACGTTTTTTCACGTGTGTTTGGGATTTCTGAAGTAAGGTCTTATAAGAGTAGACATGAAATACTTTCAGCTGAAGTGGCAGCACATATGATAATGCACAGCCCTGTCCATGCACCAGATAATTCTGTGGAAGGTGTCAAAGAATGGAAGTTGATAGTCAGTGAAGTCAATGTGGTGTTGGTAGTCTGCACTGAGAACATATCTACCAAAGATGAGCAGCACAGCAACTTCCAAGTACTTTCTGTTTGAATCCTACCCCAAGAGCTACTTGTCCTGTAGGGATGGCTTTTACTGCCCTCTGTTATTGTATATTGATTGATTTCTGCTGCATTATTACAGCAGCCACCTGTGACCAGTAGTAACAGAAAAATCTGTGTCATACTGTAGTGTTTCTTTGCCAGCCCCTTTGCCAGCTCAACGCTGTGAATGCATGGGTTTACGGTGCAGAACAAAGCAAATGGTATTGACTTTTCTTGCACTCACCTTCTGGTTTTGTTCCTTGCCCAGCCTGAGAGTCAGCCTTGACCTTGGCTATATTGCTCAGGATATCAACCCTGTCTTTAAATTTTGCTGTGAATGAGAGAGATGCATTGTCAGCAGCTGTCAGCTATGGGGAGAACAGGAGCAGTTTTGATGCAATATCATTTTGTTCCCAAAGGACAGCTGATTTTGTTCATGCTAGATCATGTGCAAACTAAAAATGGACACCTTCCTTGTACCACATGGCTTTACTGTGCTGCTACTGATGACCTGATTGTGAGGAAAAATGGAAAATCTTTTATCTTCTTCATGATATTTCAAAGTATATGCGAATGTCTCTCCTGCCAGTGAGACTCTCCAGAACTTAATCTAAGTTTATGGTATCCAATTTCAAGATGGTCCAGGCTATCCTGAAAAGGACCACCTGAATGGTCGTCTTCACCAGTGCCATGTCCCACCCTGTATTTCTGGCACTGATGAGGACTTTTCCTGCTGCAGCCAATGCTGTGCTCAGTTGAGCTGCTTTATTACAGTTTTAGAGGGAACTCTGAAATTCTGTGTTTACCTGTGCAGCCTGCTGTAGGGAGCCTGCTTTGCATGGGAGTTGGACTTGAAAGGAAACCGTAGAGATCATCAACCCCTACAATTCTGTGAATCTGTAATTCTGTCTCTGTAGTCTGATGTTGCACTCAAGTGTCTCCTACTCTTGCTGAAAGTGAGCCAGTCCCCAGCTCAGAGGAAGGCTTTCCTTTGCTCTGAGCTTTATCCTCTGCTGAGCTGCCTGCCCAGTGACCAAGCAGATGGAAGCAGATGGTCACAGGTTTTGTGTGTGGATGTGGCCACCAGAAATCGGCTGTGTTCTGCCTTGTTTGAGCATGGGGCTGTAAATTAATTTTCTCTGAAAGTTTTATTGCACAGACTTAATCTCCTGTGCTGTTGACTGGTCAACCAGAATGTGCTATTGTTGCTTGCCTCAAGGGCATGGCTCTGTCACTTTATTCACCACTGTGAGACGGAGCTCATAGAATAGCAGCTCTGAGGCTCTGAGCCATGCGGGCAGGTCGAGTTCTGCGCTGAACTTTGTGAAAAACAGTGGATTTCAGATGTGTCCAATAACTGTCCCTGGCTCTGACATTAAGGTCTCTGGAGATGAGTCCTAGTCTGGTGTGATTCCTGTTATCATCTGAGAAGCATTTTTTCAGCAGGTGGAGTGGCTAGAGAGGGGAAATAAGCTCTCCTATGAAAAGCTGCTGGGACTGAGGAACCCAGCTCTCCCTTCTACTTGGCACTCTTGAAGCCTATAGAAGGAATGTGAAGCTTAGTTCTCCCCCTCCTACTGCTGCTAAGCACAAGCACTGTCACCTATACAAGGCAACAAGGTGACTTTCTGCTTCCAGATTCCTTGAAGCACTGGCCAGCACTCCTACTCTATTCAGCTTTTCCCAGAAGCTGCCACAAAGGCTCCTGTCAGCAGGGTCAGGGCGGTCAGGCCCAGACTGAAGGAGATTACACAAACCCCAGCTGCTGGTTCCTGCCCTCACCTGGGCACAGGCTGTGAGCACTGACCCAAGCAGAGCCTGTGACCCTCCATGTTAGGGATAAACAGCTTAGGCCCAGGGCACTATCCAGTTCTCATCAGATCAGCCTCATTTAAAAAGGTGTTAATGCCTCTGACACACATTCTGTGCAGGATGTATTGAGACTGGAGGAAGAGATGGCTGTAAGCTGCCAGATCTGCAGGTCAGCATGGCAGGAGGGGTAGCTGTCAGCTCAGCCCCTGCCAGTGCTGGAGATTAGCTCAGCAGAGCAGCATGCTATTGCAGCAACCATGGGTCCTGTCGTGGCCAAGCACTTGTTTTTGAGGGCAGTGCCAGTGCCCATGGTCCTGTGGGGGGTGTGTGTATGTGTGCCAGTGCAGTCACTTGGCTTGATTTCAACACTGGGTATTGTCAGCTTCCAGGAACTTGCACAGGAGGATATCTCTTTGAGTTCCATGAAGCTTGCAATGTGTGCTTCCAAATCCACTCAGCTGCTGCACCAGTGGGTCTCCAGCTGTCTTTTTGTTGCTGTCTTTTTCTTGCTGCTTTTTAAGCATTCATTCTGCTGGAATCTCTGCCAGCTGGTCTGAGAGTGCCTTGCACAGGGCATGGCTACATCCACAAGCACTGAGATGGCCCTCAGGCAAGCTTACTCCAAGGAGCGACAGCATCCAGGCTGTGCTTGGGGTTGTAGGTGAGCTTCTGCCTTGGGTCCAGCTCTTGTATTTAGCTCATTATTTGGTTCTGGTATTTAATCCATCAGGACTAACTTACACTATGAGCAACGGGGAGGATTTTTTAAAATATGACATAAACCTGAGGGACACGAGGGTTCTGCTATCCTGAAAGTGCACGTAAAAACGATTTCGTGATTATTTTTGGTCTTTTTTTTCTTCTTAACACAAGTGATTGATTGCTAAAGATGCAACTGTAGCTGCCTCCTGTCTTTGAGCTGAGCTCTGGCCTGCAGCGCTGCTTGCTGCTTTGTCCTGGTCTGACTTCCAAAATTAATAGCTCTTTAACTGGGACGTAGTGAGGGTAGGCAGCTGTGACAACCTTGCTGCTGGATCCTTTGCCTTCATATAAAAGTAAAATCAGATTTCTGTCCTCTGTCTGCATGACTAGAGTGCGAAGAACAACCTCATGGTAAAACGTGAGGTTCAGAAATAAGAGGATTCCTTGGTCTTCCCAAAATCGTTGCTGCCTTTAACTCCTCAGCAGTTCCCTCTGGTGTCTAGCTGGGAGATCTTCAAAAGGCCTCATATTGTGCTTCTACACAGTGTCTGAGAAAGTGAGGAAAAGTCTAAAGTTGCTAGAAATTCCTCATTTTAAAGAAGGTACTCTGAAAAGATAGACTTCTGCCAAAAATACACTGCCTTCTGAAGTGTAAGTGTTCAAACTTCTAAAGCAGCTGGTCAGTTAAAATGCCTCATGTCTTCCAGACAGAGAAAAAGACTTAAATTATGATCCTTTCTTAATTAAAAAAATAAAAAATCAAACATTGTGAACTTAATCCATTGTTCAAATGAGAAATTTTGTTTCACAAGGGGTGTTGAACCGGGAACAGTGAAACAAAGTTTGTATTTCAGACTTGACTTCATTTCTAAGACCCTTGACTCTAAGTTGATTTGGCAGGCCCGGTGCTGTCAGTCTAACACAAACTTCAGGGCTCTGGCTGCTTTGAAACAGCTTCTGCGGAGCCCAAGTACAAGGCAACTGCAGCATAAGGAGGGAAACCCCCCAGAGATCCTATCTGCACTAGGTTAAGTCAGGAACTGCTGAGAGATAGTTGGCAACCTTTTTCCTTTGTAGTGTTCTTTAGTGTAGTCTCTAAGAGCTGATGCTGTAGGCTTTGGCAAGAAGCAACAAGGACCCTTGAGGATACAGATTTCTCTGGGATTGTTTTTATGCTGCAACCTAATTACAGATAGTGCTGTGTGTGCTGCAAAAAGAAGGACTTTATGAGTGGGAGCCATTTGTCCTGAGGATACCGAAGGGCCGCAGTGATATTAAATCCAAGGCTGAGCTCGCAGCTGTAGAATGGCTTGGCAGGTTCACATCCTTTTCAGAGTTATCCTGGGGAAATCTCTTCATCTTTTTGGCAGGGATCCTCAAAGCACTTCAGTGGCTCAGTCATAACTGATTCTTTTTCTCCAGGCTACCCTTTCTTTAGTTACGTATACCAGGGCAAGGAGTGTGTCCTGCACAATACAAAGTACCTGGAACTCTGGGTCTTTGATTTCAAGTGCTGTGCTGTTGTAATGCCAATAATTTTCTTCAAAATTATCTTTTCCAAGGAGCTGTTTCTGCTCCAGCAGCGCTGAGTAGAACAAGCATGCACCCAGAGCGGAGGTTAACTCTGCGTCATTGCTATAGCAAAGAGCCTAAGGAATAGCAACCTTCTGGAGAGACTGAAACCCATCCTCACTGTTGCCATTAGACTTGCTTAAGTGTGTAAGATCACACTCCCATCTAGTGGCTGCGGCACACAGAGACAGGAACTCAAAGTCTGCCTGGATAAAAGCAAAGAGGAAGCTCTTCTTCAGAGACAGCGTCCCCCTGAGTCACAGTTATCCATTCTTCATAAGCTGTGGTAATGAAGAGCCCCCACCATGTGCTCTGTGCTGAGCTGCCTGGGGCAGTGCTGCGGTTCTCTCCTTGGCTGGGCCCCCAAAATTCCTACTGAGGGTCACACAGAACTGAGGACAAGAGTCTGAACAAAGGCACATAGAGGGTGAGGAGGAGTCAGGAGTTTTCTTAGTGGCAGCAGTCCAGGTCTGGCACTTCCAGATGCTAAATCAAGTGGCACACGTCTCATAGATTTCTGGTTTTATCCATGTGCTGTTGATACAATATTTTGTGGGGAGCAGGAAGCACTACAGCAAACCCTGATGAATTTGGCTCTTGTTAAGCTATGGTTAGTAATTTGATGGGTGCCTTTACTAGAAGTTTGTCGAAGGGAAGACTTATTTGTCTTGTTGTCCTTATAAAGCCTCTTTAGTTCCCTCAATCAGTTCGTGCTGCTGGGATTTTGATCTGGAGAGTCCTTTTTGTAACCTCACTGATAGACAGGAGAGGTGTTTATCTGCTTAGCTTCAATCTCCCTTTGAATGGACAAATGATAATCTCTTTAGAACAAGTAGGGCAGCGGAGGGGCAAGATGTGCTGAGATAGGAAGGAAAAATCTAAAAAAAAAAAAAAAAAAAAAAGCTTCTCTTTCTTAAACTTTCTTCAGCATTTCTTGGAAAATGAAACAAGGCAGAATATTAGAAAATTGTGTTCAAAGGCACATATATGTCTGGAGATGTGGCTTCCTGCAAGCTGGATGAGTTACAAGGTGTCTCTTAGTTCTGAGCTCCAACAGTTAGGCCCTGTGGAGTTGACTCACTGCCTGCAAAGTACTGTGAGTAAAAACACAGAATGGCTTGGATTGGTTGGAAAGGACCTGAAAGATCATTCAGTTCCATTCTCTGTTCTGAGGGCAAGGATACCTTTCACTTACCTTTGGTCAAACACTGGAACAGGCTTCTTACAGAGGTGGGTGATGCCTCATGCCTATCAGCATTCAAGAGATGTTTGGACAATGCCCTCATTGATATGCTTTGACTTCTGGCTAGCCCGAAGAAATCATTCAGTTGAACCACATGATCTTTAAAGGTTCCTTCCAGCTGAACTACTCTATTCTATTCTACTTAATTACATTCTGAAACAGGGTACAGTTTGCTATGGCAGTGATAATGCAACGTGGTGTTGCAGGTGGGCATTTAGAAGTCCTGAGAAGTTGTTCAAGTCACATACGAGTTACTTTAACCATCATAATTGGAACCTGCTGTGTGTTTTAAATCTCAGCTGGGATTTTAACCACCATCAGAGGGATAATTTTTCAAGGTTTTAACTACTTTTTCTTCTTCTTCAGGTTTATGCCTCGTGAGGGACTGTGTATACAGCTGAGGAAATGCACAGGTAAGGGGCTCCTCCCATGTAAATTTCCCAATTATAAATGAGGCTGATATGTTGAGCCAACCCTTTCCTGAAGGGTTGTCAGATAGAAAGCCTTCAGCTGATTCCACGCTCTATGTTCAGTGACGCTGCCTTCCACCAGCAAAAGACATGCCTCCATTAAGCTGCTCTGTGATAAAGGCTGCAAGATGAAACCCCTCACATGTGGAGCATTCACTCACCTCCTGCCAGGGGGTCCAGCGTGTGGATCATGAGTTGAAAGATGGTGCTGCGCATTTGAGAGTTGTGCAGGGAGGCTGAGCTGCTGCCTCGCTGTAAGGCTGTTGTTGGCTATGGAAAGGTACAATGCAACAATCAGTAGCAATTTCCTCCTCAAAACATCTTCACTGTTGGTTCCCCTCTGCACAGGGGATGTATTTATATAGAAGCTCATCTCCCCAACCCAGAGTGGATTTCAGACACCCTCTGCATTCAGGTTCGCAGGATGGCTGTTGGTACCAGCTGCTCATAGCAAGATGCATGCTACTGAGATAATGGGCCAGTCTGTCCTTCAATGCAGTGAGTTTTCACTGACTCAGCATCAGTACAATGTTATGATTGTAATAAAGTATGCAGTGATTTTAGTCATAATTAATAATAATAATTGATAATAGAAGATTTGTATGTTGCTCCAAGGTAGCACTACAGTGGTTTCAAACGTGCTAACTTAAATTGAAGGCTCTCAAGCTCTGTTTTTACCGTCAATACTACAGTCCTAATGAGCTTTTGACTGAACATTAATTAGTACAGGTAGGTTAAATGCATAGAGGAAAAAATAGCATCCTCTTGAGGAAGCTAACACCTGTTTTTGTTATGTACATGTGCAGCCAATGGATCACGCAAGCCTCTGAATGCAATGACTGGCCAGCCAAGGAAGACAAAGTGGCAGGAATTCAATGAGGAGCAAAGCAATTGGCTCTCTTGCTATAGGGAAGAACAGACACTACCTCTGCCCTGGGAACCTGGGAGGAAAATCAGCCATGAAAGCAGGTAAGAAAAGCTATGATCTGAATTCTCCTCTGTCTGTTTTACCCTGTTTAAGTGTAGTACTAACAGCACTCTGCTAGTCAATTACCACTTGGGCAGTCTGTCTCTTAGTTTTTTTTAAATTCCTTTGATGACCCAACTCAGCCAGGTGTCCTCTTAATTAAGCTGTGAGTACTATGCCAAGAACTGCTGGTTCTTTGCATGAAATAGGACCTAGTCCAGGTTTTTTTGACACAGAAGACAACACTGTTTTTCAAAGCCTGACATAGGGAGAGGTTCAAAATATGACTTATCCTGGTTAAGTTGCCTACACCTACCTGCAGCTTCTTCCCATCTGCTGGCATTGTTCCATCCTCTGCAACTGCAGCACTGCTTTTCTGTGTACAAAAAAGAATAAAAACCTTTGAATGCCATTACCACTTCACCTGCTCTTATGGGATCTATAGATCGCTCTTCAGACTAATGTCTGAATTGAAGGTGGGACAATCAAAAGAAATGACTATGTACAAACACTACTGAAAGTGCCAAAGCCGTGTGCTTTCCCTAAACTGATACAGCCTCTGAGGGAAGTGGGGTTCTGCCTGCAACAACTCAGTGAGGATGTAGGTATCCAGAAACAGAAATGTTCCTCTACCTCCTGTTTCTTGTAGATGTACACAGCCCCAGATTTCATCCCCAAACATCTGTATCCTGACTTATCTTCTTTCAAAGGCAGAGTGAAAACACAAAGATGTGTTGTCTTCCAGTGATTAGCATTACTTTCCATAAAAGTACTTTATTTTTCCCAGGGGTTAACTCCAGCAGCTCTATGTCATGCCATTATATCCTAGTGTGAATTCTTTCTAGACTTAAAAAGCAGGAATGTTTTTTTTCTTTGAGTCTAAGGGGATGGGCTTAGTTCTCTATGATTGGTGATAGATAGTGATGCAGCATGGCTGTGGGCTCTCAGGACTCCCAGCCATGAACCTGGCTGAAAGACAGACTAACAGGAGGAAAAAAAGACACTTTCTTAGTCTTGTGTGCCTTCGATTATCTTTACCTCTTTTGCTTCCTTTCCTTAAATTACATGAAGAGAGTGCCAAGACCAGAAGAGGCAAAACATGTTTGAATGCCAGTGAGACACATCTGAATGGTAAAGCGTGCCAGTGCCAGAGGACAGCTTTAAATCTAACGGTCTGCTCCACATCTGGCAGTAGTACAGGCCAAGAGAATTAAGTGGCAGCAGGAGAAGGAGCAGGAGGAACGACTGAGGGGGAGGAATTGAACAGGCAGACTCAGATCCCAAGTGTTCTGGACCACATGTCCTGGCCAGATCTACCAGATTGAAAGGGTAACTGGCTCTGGCAACAGCCTTCAGATGCTGTCTTTTTGTAGGCAGTCATGTCTTCCTTCAAAAGATGGTGAGCAAAGGGCCCTGGTCTCAAACTTTGAGAAAGTAATTACAGCCACAGACTATTCTTGTCTGTGCACCAGTGGCATAAAGAATTGTGTCTCTGACACAGCTGTGGTTAATACACAGAAACAGGATTTGGGCATTTTGATCTTGTGACCAAATGCTGACTGGGAGCAGTGGCAATAGCTGTGAAAGGCTGCCAGATCCCTTTCTGTGCTGCAGACTGGTAAGAAGTGATACCACTAGCATCACAGTAACACACCTAAACTCAAAATGGGAAAAGAGTTTCTTCCAACATCCCTCATCTGCAAGAGGCTTGGAGATTGCCCATTAAAGAAGCCTTTATTTTTTCTGTTTGAGTATTGAGTATTTCCAGACTAATTTGTTCCTGAAAGTGTGTATGTGTCTTTTTTAACTCCTTCACAACCACTAAGTGAGCAAAATCTCATGGCTGTCTTTGAAAGAAGCTAAGTGACCCCAACACATACATTTAATAATTCCTAGGGTATTTAGCAGTGTTCTCTCTAATTTATTAGAATCTCTGTTGTCTAGATTGTATTTCCTTCATTTTATGTCATAATTATTAACCAGTGTCTATATCCTGAGGTCTTGAGTATGTACTTTGTCAAGAAGATGCAGTCCTTTTTTTTTTTTTTTTTTGTGGTTTATGATAGGATTAATTATTTCCAACTTGCCCTTTGAACAATAAGGACACCAACCTTTCGCATATGCTCTGCTGATGCTGCCTGCACAGCATTTAGCTTCTTGTTCAGCTCCTCCTTCACCCATTGTTCTAGAGACACGTTGTGTTTCATAGTGAACACGTATGTGGCATAGGCAGTCAGTAAAAGGAGGCTTTCCCACCAATCAATGACACTGTCTAGGAAAAACAGGATGAGCATCAGTAAGTCTACAATGTAGAATGAGATGTCTCTAAATAAAGGCCACCATGTCAGGTGTAGTATCTCCCTTGAGAAGAGGGCACAGGTGCCAATGACAAAGAGGATATTAAACACTGCTGAGCCCACAATGGTACCGATGCCCACATTGCTGTGTGAGATGAAGACACCTATGAGGGAGGTGAAGAGTTCTGGTGCGGATCCACCTGCTGCCATGAAGGTGGCTCCAGCCACGTCTTCAGAGATCTGCAACTTCTCTGTGATCACTCCCAAAGCAGGGACAAAATACTCATCACACACTATGGCCAAGGCAACAAATACATACATCATGCCAAAGATGTGAAGTACAACCCACCCTTGCCTCCGTTCTTCCACACTGAATAGGTCCTGGGGATATTCTCCTTTGGATTCATACACCGGCTTTTCATCTGGGTAGCTTTCACTGACATTTTCTCGCTGTGTTGTGTCCTCTGCTGCAGTGATGGGCACGGTTGGCTCAGGATCAATATACACACAGTGCCTTATTTTGGGTGCTGCTGTGACATTGCCGGTTTTGGAAGTCTTGTTGCGGGAAGGCTCCCTGGAGGTCACTTTCACAGGGTCCTCGTGTTGGTGTGCAGTGAGAAGTGCTGGAATGGCAGAGGGACTGAATTGGAGCTGATAGACAGAGAGGAGGGACACTATGGCAAGGAAGAAAAAGATTCGGTTCCGTTGTAGCCGTCTTCTCCGTGGTAAATGCATTTCCTAAAGGTTCAAAAATCAGATCCGTGTCCAGAGCCACTGAAGACTTCTCTTGATCAGCAGCTTGCCCTTATATCCACCATTGGAGCTTCTAACTGATCTTAAGCATCAGGAGTGAAACTGCATGATATCAAGTGTAGAATCCTGTAAAGGAAGATCTAGCATTTAAAAAACAAAACAAACCAAAAAAACCCTGCAGCTTCCCGTCATTATCTCACAGAGTGATTTTCTGTTTTTCCGTAAATGGAAATGGGATTCAATTCAAGTAATCTCAACTCTAAATTCAGGCTTCTGTCTTTTCATTTTTTTATGATGGGAGGCTATGTTGATTAATAAACATAGGGTTTGCTTAATAAAGGTTGGCTGAGAAGGTCCAATCTGAGCTGAATTCTGATTCCACCTAACGATCACATCCAGCAGCTATTAAGGTTTGTGTTTTCAATGGAATCACTAGTAATTCTGTAATGCCGATAATCGGATGAACTTCCTGCAGGAGGGAGGATAAGGCTTCTGTTAAGGAGCCTACTAGTACTCTAAATTGCCAGAAATGAAGAAGGTCTGAAGATGAGCCTACGCTTCATCGAAAGCAACTTAAAACTTCCTTCCAAACAGGCCAGTTATTCACCTAAGTAACCTCAACAGGTAGATGAAAACTGTTTGCTAGTTTGCAGTTATGCTGCTCTCTGGCTCTCCAGACTTGCAGTCCCACAAACCAAGAAAATGGTGAGCTTTTCTCTTCCAGTTGGAAGAGAGCAGGAGGAAGGCTTGGTTCTAGTAGTACTCGGAGTGCTGTGCATTCATTTTGTTTCTATGACTACATCTTTTTGAGCCCTTCTGTAGAAGCAGAACTGGCAAAGTGGAATTATAATCATACCTTTTATTAGGGGTTAATTAGCATATCTTGCATAATTATTTGAACGGCATTTTGAAAGAGACAAATTATAAATGCTAGAGTGACAGAGCCTAGATCTGTGATAGTACAGAGATGGTGACTAAGGGCTGGACAGAATTTACCCTGCAGCACCGCTTTGATTTTTTACCTTAGAATTTCATTCTTCATGGATTTTTTTTTTTCCCCTAGAGTGTTAATGTTGTTGTTCTTCAGCTGGATGTGAATCACAGTAAGCCATTCTCAGAAAAGCTTTTCATGCAAATCAGTTCTCACTTACCCTCTTGCATAACACTCAGTGAAGTAATCAACCTAAATTTCTTGCAAGACAGGCATTATTATCTTCTTTTAAATAGTAGGGAGGATCACTAAGGCAATAGTAATTGAGGGTCATGGGAGTATCTCGATAAATAGATCACATAAGCTTTGCTTTTGATATGCAAAAAGTACATTAACATGCATATTGCAGAGTTGCATAATACAGTATTCACCACAACTTGGGCACTGATACAGAATAACCTTCCATAAACAAAATGGAAGAGTGAAAAGAAAGACGCGCAGAGAACAGAAGACTTGCGAATGCATCCCCCTATTTAAACCTTCTTTAAAGACTATAACCAAAGGTAGGATGAACTGTTAAGAATTCTCCAGCCTTTCAGATTTCTGACCATCAGTCTTGTGGATAAAGCGCTTTGTTTTTGAAGTATATTGTCTCCTACAGGTCAACTCCCAGTCAGCTCTTTTCTCACTGGTTGGACTGTCTCAGTCAAAAGATCTCAAGCAATCCTACAGACCTCCACAGCTTACCTTCCAGAGATACTGTCCAAGAAGATGAGGAATACCAGCAGTTGAGTGGAGTTCTGGAAGCTTTCTTGTCACTTAACATTGGGAGATGTTGGTGCAGAGAGAGGCAGACGAAAATGATCCCATTTTCACTGTGCCTCTGCTAGCAGAGTGGTGAGGGGGTCAGGTGTGAAGGACATATTAGTGGAGGAATAGCCAATCCAGTTTAATACCTGCAGTCTCTAAGAAGCTTAAAGAGTATTGTATAGATTTGGATCTATATCTGAAGCCAATATCTTCATCTGCTACTACAGATTATTCTCAGTATGAGGGCAGGTGCTTATTTCCATTACAAACTATAATATAAAAGCACCAACTCTGAGGTGTGTACCATCAGCTACGGACAAGAGCAGGCCACTGCTTGGGTAATTCATATTGCTCCGTTGTGTGCTGCAGTAGTTGCTTCAAGACAACTTGCACACAGCTTTGGTCTGACAGGCTGGACAAGCAGTTCTGCTGAGGCCACTTTTGCTGGTACAATCGTGCTCCTTGCCAAAGACTTCATGGTCATCTAGCTCCAATCAGCATGTTTATTTCAGGGAACTGGAAAATGCAGAGAAGCAAGCTGTTTTCTGAATGGCAACAGTACACTCAGGCTTTTCAACAGAGGTCACTGATACCCCTCATCCTTACTCAGTATTTACTGCAATGGAAGAAGGAGGTCCCTGAGCCCAGGGGATGCTCCTTCATAACCTATTCTCTATATACAGCTATCTTTTTTAATTGTTGCAGTACTCTTCCACAGTACTGGCATCAAATTATAGATTGTTCCTGATATACTGATGAAGATAATATTATTCCAATTGTGCAAAGTGTCTTGAGTTTCTGATGCAGGTCAGGCACCATATGCTGCTTACAGGACTACTAGTGGGCCATGTTCCTATGGCTGTTTCTTTCCCCTTGGTTATTTTCTCCTCCTATTGCACTTATTTATTCATGTTTATTGGGAAATTCTTCTTGGGAGGATTACTGAAACCAGCAGTTATAAATGATCTGTTGTCACTCTGACTAGTTCCATGCACAAGATCCCACCTTCTGCTGAGTTCCTCTTGACTTCCTTTCATATCAGTTTTGAGCTTCACTGCAGCTTGTTTTCTGTAATCAATGTATTTGATGTGGTTGGTTTTTTGTTTTTTTTTTAGGGGGAAAAATGCTTCTGGATGAGTGTGTTTAAGGTTTTGGTCTCTTCTTTGATCCATTTTGCCACCTGTAACATGTGCTGCAGCAGGGCTTTCTAATCTTCCATGAAGTTCACAGTGGATCACCAGGAGGTGCTGGCTGTTTCTTGGGCACTTGAGGGAGACCTACACAAACAGTTCTCATCCTCAATACTGGGAATGCTCCATTTCTGTACTTAGTTTTGGTTTTAATTCCTTCTGACCGTGTTTGAATTCTGAAAGCACATTTTTGTTCAGTCTGCTTTAGTCCCACAGAAGTCTCTGCTTGCAGTTTCTCTCTGTAAGGGCCTGACTTGAGTGTTTGCAGTACCTTTTGGACCTGAGCTGTTAGCAGAAGTGCGGAACTCGGCCAAGTGTTTCAAACAGCACTGGGATGAGCTGGGCCCAGTGTGATCCCGTCGACCCCCTGATGTCTGGTGAGTGATTGCAGCTTTTCCTCATAGTGCCTCCATCTCTGCAGTCCCTCGGTATGAGGGCCACGTCTCTTTGCCCTCCTTGTCTCAACAATGTCCCTTTAGAGCACGCTTTTCCCTTCCTCACATCTCCCTTTCTCTGCTGGGCTTTGCATGTGCTTGCAGACCTCCCCAGGCAGCAGCATATGACTTTTTTGGCTGTGTGTTTGGGAGCTGACCCTGCAGTTGTTCCTCAGAGCTGCACTGAGGCCTTACTTGGGACACTGAACACCTCGCTTTGTTTGCCACGAGTGGAGTGGGGCTGGTAATGTGGGAATGGAGTGTTGTTTCTGCATTTGATATTAAAAAGAGCAATTGGTTTGAAGAAGTGGAACACAATGCATTTGTATTCAGTAACTTATCCTTAGAAATAGTTGATCTAAGAAGTAAAATACTATATATGTTAGCAGCGTGTTTTAGAAACATTATTACTGAATTATGTGATTAATTCTTTCTTGCCAAGCTGTAATAGTTGTTAAATGTTCCAAACAATGCGAGCACAGTGTGTTAGGGATTAGAAAACATATTGTAGAGCTGTTCTGTTAGGATAAGAAACTGCCAGCAAAAGAAAGACAGATTTAGCAAACATCAAAGAAACATCAAAGCCTCTACACAAGGCTGAACTGTCTCAGTCCGTGAGCAGGTTGGGGTGTGAAGGCAGCACCACGATACTCCTGTCTTTCTCCCGAGCTTATCTGTGTAGAAAGAAGGACAAGCAGATATCCGCAAAATAATGATCAGGTGTGGAAAAGTTAATTAATTAACTACAGATTTACGCTTATGCAGCAAAAATTTATGTTTGCCCAGTGTTTCCATGTTTAGTGAAGCGTCCAGAAGATGGTGAACCTAAAGCACTCAGCCAATGGGGAACCAGGGGAGTAAGAGATCAGCGTCGGGGAATAGGGAATAAAAGATGTAACTCTGCTTTCTGGGTGCTCTCCTGCTTGCAGGAGGCCCGCCACTGCAATCGCGAATAAAACCTGCTTTACCAGAGATACCATCCTAGAAAATTACGTGGATATTTCCTACAGTAACATTTCAAACACGGGGCTGCGGGGATTTGTTGGCATCAATGCTGAGGTGTCTGTGGGATTGCTTAGCTACCGGGCTCAATAAGCGCGGGATTAAAACCCCACTGACCACCGTCGGGTCCCGAAGGGGCTGCAGGGTGTGCTGGGCTCCCCTCTGCACCGCTCGAGGTGTGCGTGGAGCCGGCTGGGAGCCGCGAGGGGCGGCCGTGCAGCCCGGCCCTTCTCGCCGCGGTCCGCCGTTCCGGGGGACGCTTATCGCGGCGGACCGATGGCTGCGGTGAGCGCCGCGCTGCCGCACGGTGTTGTCCTGCAAATGGCCCCGGGGTGGGAGCGGGGTGGGCTGTGTGGGGAGGACTCGCTGTAGAGAGGCCTGCTGGGGGCCTGCGGTTGTTCCCGGCCGCGGGGTGCCCCTGCTGCCCCCCCAGGCTTAGCACACCGCTTGCAGGCCCTCGCAGCCACCCGGACCGTCTGCTTCCCGTTCATCTGCTGGTTTAATTTGTGCTAAAGCCGCGTTCTGGGGGGTAAGACAGCTGTAGCTTGCCTTTCTTCAGAGGAGAGGGTGGGTATGGGGCCATCCTGACACGGCCAGGGCAACGTGTGCCGTTGCGGCTGTGTTCCAGTAACCGTTTGTGGTCTTTTTCTCCCTTCTCTCAGTGAATCACTGTTCTGTGCTGTGGTCGCTGAGAAGAACAGCTCATCATGCCGACGGTGGTGGTGATGGACGTGTCGCTCTCCATGACTCGGCCGGTGTCGGTGGAGGGCTCTGAGGAGTACCAGCGAAAGCACCTGGCGGTGCACGGCCTCACCATGCTGTTCGAGCACATGGCCACCAACTACAAGCTGGAGTTCACAGCTCTGGTGGTGTTCTCGTCGCTCTGGGAGCTGATGGTGCCCTTCACCAGAGATTACAACACGCTGCAGGTAGGGTTTGCAGAACCTGAGAGCAATCAGTTGTCAGTATTGTTTCGGAATTACAGTGGAACGGTGTGATTTCGTGCTGTCCTATCCACAGTGTCTTAATGGAGTGTTTTATCCTTGTTTGCTTTCATCTATCCTTAAAATAAAGATAAAATACTCGCTACTTTACAAGTTATACCTTTGCAGGTGATGTCTCAAGTGCAGTCAATTAAGTTAAAAGTGGGGATGGAGAAAACCAGGAGAAGAGGGCTGCCTGAGGAAGCTTGTATATACAGCAGTGTTTCTGTGACATTCGTGTTTTCTTCTGTCCTCGTTGATTTACTCTTGATATAGGAGGCAGCAGACAGGAACATCTGAAATGTTTTTGAGTCAAGTGATTTGGTAGAGCGAAGATGCTTTTAATGGTATGTAGAAGGTGAAATGAGTGAAAAAGAGGAGAAAGTGATTTTAGGCCTGGAGGATGTGAGAGGTGGTAGGGGGACTGTGGAAGGGAAAGAGCCTGAGAGGGACATTTTGTATGAATGCTGTAAGGCACCAGATGTTTCTGAATCCACTCAAAATGATACATACTTGGTTACTGTGTATACTATTAACAATAAATGGTACATAGAATCATAGGCCGTTTCCAAACTCGTGATTCTATAAGATCATGTAGTCCAACATCTTCCCATTACCACTGCTTCCGCAAGCTACTAAACCATATCTTGCAGCTCCTCATCCAGATGCCTTTTGAACACTGCCAGGGACGGCGACTCCACCACCTCCCTGTGCAGCCATTCCAGTGCCTGACCACTCTCTGAGAGAAAAAGTTTTTCCTCATGTCTAACCTAAACCTCCTCTGGTACAACTTGCGGCCATTTCCCGGGTCCTGTTCATTGCCTGGGAGAAGAGGCCAAACCCCTCTTCACCACAGCCTCCCTTCAGGAAGTTGTAGAGTGCAATGAGGTCTCCCCTGAGCCTGCTTTTCTCCAGACTAAACAATCCCAGCCAAAAAAACCATCACTGCCACAAGGCAGCCTGTTAGTTTTACGGCTGCACTCTTCTTACACTGTTGTGTTCAGTGCGAAGTTTTCATTATAAGAAGAAAAGCCTATTTATGGTTATAGAAACAGAATGATAGTACAAGTTTTGATTTCTGTTTCTCTCCACTAGAGTGTTAGGCAAGCTCGTTGTGGCCTGCTTTCTGGATCTCTTAGAAGTTAGAGTTGTTGTGACACCTGGGAGGATTTATAGAGCTAGATTCCTTAGGGCTGTATGGTGAGGCCAGTACACCTTGTACTCTGAAGTGTTGTGTCTTCATGGACTCATTAATGAGGCCTTGTGCAGAAAAGAAATAAAGCTCGTTTTGTGAGATAAGGTGGTGGTTTGCATTGTGTTTGGAGTTTTTTCATGGTAATCTTCTTCCTGAATGCAAGTAGTTATTGTTCCTTAAAGGCTGGAATAGAATTGAAAATAAATACTTTGTTAGACATTGCTGCAGTTTCCAACTGTACTGTTTCTTTGAGGCTTTTTATTTTCTCCCTAAGACCTGTGTTCACAATGATTAGTTCCTTCAAAGTTAGTTGTCATAGTTCTCTCAAGATATTGTTCACTGTTTCTTTTTTAACTGTGCAGGTCATATATAAGAACACAGCACTTTATATTGTTTTGCAGTGCAGTTGTGTTACAAACCAAAGCAAAAATGCTGACTTACCAGAGAACTGGGAATAACTTTTTTAGGTTTCCCGTTAGAGATATTTTACTCAGCAGTGACCAATCATTTGCTTGTCTTTACAGGAAGCCCTAAGTAACATGGATGATTATGACAAAACCTGTTTAGAGTCAGCACTACTTGGGGTTTGCAATATTGTCCAGCAGGAATGGGGTGCAGCAATTCCTTGCCAGGTATGACTGATTTTTCACTGTTTTTATTATCTCACATATTCTTTGTGTTCCCTGGAAGTTGAAAAAAGAGAATGCAATTTGAAAATTTGGAATACTCACACTACTCAGCTACTGGTACCACAGAAAGACTAAGAATGATTGTTCTGGATATATCTGGGATATTAACAGAAAGTAGTATTTATTATAGCATTAAGCAGCAAAAGTCCAGATAGTTCTATGTCGAAGTGTGTTGCAGAGAGAGAGAGAGAGAGAGAAGTGTCTGGGGACACTGTGTATCAGTGGTGTTCTCTGTGTGTTGTAAGATGTGGCCCTAGAGCCTTCTTTAGGGGGCTTGGCTTTTGATCTGGATGCAGTCTTCTGTCCCAGGGGCCCTGGTCAGTTTGGAAAGAGTACAGTCACACATACAGTAACCTTTGTCCTTTTGTACCTGATGATTGCTAGGACTTGTAACAGTTCCAGATCTCAGGCAACAGTACTGCTGGCTGTGTTTTGATCTGTTCTCTCTCCCTGATGAGTCATTTTGGTGTGCATCTGCTCGCACAGTCCATCCAATCTTAGCAGTTTCCAGCATTCTGAATTTGCTGCCTCTGCTTTTAGCCCTCAATTTTCTGAATTTGCCATCTCTCATGGCAAAATCTAGTGTTAGCCCCCAGTTCTCTGAGATGGTAAGAGCCTGTTGCTCTTTGGGTCAGGATTTAATTCAATTTAATTTTGCAGCTCAGTAGGCTGGGAACATCTCTCAAGCAATAGTCCTTTAGGAGAAAGAGGTGGAAGTTTATTGTCTAGGCAATACTTTGTAATATAACCAGGATAAAAGGCACCCTGGAGAAGCAGACATTCAACACAAAGAACTGGAACGATGTAACAGCCAAGCATGGATTAGTTCCCAGCAATTTCATCTTCTATTTGTGTTGTGTTTTATTGTACTGGAACTTCAGGTTATTGGGTGATGAAAGGCAGGGGGGAATGTACTGTGCAGAATTCTGTAACAGTAAAAAGCATTTCTGCTGAGCAGCAGATCAGATGGTTAGTAAAAATCTGGCTGTAACAGATACACACTTGATTCAGTTGGATTTGATTTTCCTTATCTCTCAGCCAAAAAAATAATGCCTGCTGTTGCTGTGCTGTTTTGAAAGAGGAGCTGTTTACTCCTCTGGAAACGACTGGGTCTCAGCTGAGTGTATATGGTTTTGTTACTTGGGTGACCTGCTAGGGCAGATTTCTACAGGGAGTAACTGTAGACTTGCCGTGGAATGGAAGAAGGTGCATTTTTGACTTCTGCTACAAAATGTGAGAATACTGCAGCTGTATTTGTTAGCCAAGAATTAAAGTAATACATACTATGTTTTGAATGGTTACTGAGGCCTGTAGTGGAACTTGGGCTGCCCTCCAGCTTCTGCAAACAAATGGTCATGGTTGGCTTTAACTTCTGTCTGAAGGTAAACCTGAAGCTCCTGAGTCCACCAGCAGCAGGCTGCTTTTTGGCTGTATGGTTACTGTGCTTTTAGCTTACACCTAAAAATGACTATACTCATGCAGACCACAGTGTGTTTTTAGCTATAGAATTTGAATTTTAGTACAACTTTAGCTTTAATACATGAAGTGTACGTTTATAATGCGTGCAATTTAATTGCAGAGCTTACATCTATTATTTCTCATTTATGTACCTGGAAAGTTTACTCTGCTCTTCAGCAGAGGAACCGCAGGGTAAGTAGGGGTTTGCAGTATAGAAGTGTGTTTTGCTAGGAAGGCTGCTGCAACGTGGTGGTGTTTAGTTGCCCTCTACAGATAGAAACACGTCCCTGCCTGAAAATGCTAATCTGGTCTCTCTCTTTCAAGGTTGTCCTTGTCACTGATGGCTGCCTGGGGATCGGCAGAGGCTCCCTGCGGCACTCACTAGCTACTCACAACCAGCGAAGCGAAAGCAATCGATTTCCATTGCCTTTCCCTTTCCCTTCCAAGCTGTATGTCATGTGCATGGCAAACCTCGAAGAGGTGATGTCTTCAGCTTGTATCTTCTTTGTTATGCTGGTTAATTACTGTTCTTATCTGACCTAATAATTAGATTGGCACAAAGCACACTTTGATATTCTTGTGCTTAAAGCTTAGTTGATGTTCAGTATTTAAGGTAGTTATTTGGTAAAACTGAATGGTAGTATCTTTTTTGAAGGTTAGTATTGCAGGCATAAAGTTGCCTATCTTTATTAATCGTATCAGTGTCTTCCTGGAGAATATTATGTAGTTTCTATTTATCTATTTATGTTGTTATCCATACTTAGTTTCTGATTAAATTCCTAAATAAATGACTTATGTTGCAGAGATGCTTGACACTTAAAACAGCAGAATTGTTTGGAAATTTGAATAAGCAGAACTCTGAGTCTCCAGGAGAGAGTGCTCAAGCCAACTTCTGTTCATTTTGAGTGAATCTTTTGAAAATCTCTGTACTAGCTTTAAAAATCTGCTATAGTTAGAATTCTGTTAAATACAAACGTTTAAAAGTAAGCTCATATAGATTAAAGTTTCTTAACTTACGTTTTATTAATAGCTTTGCTTTTATCTTGACAGCTACGCTGTCATGGATAGAAGGATTTTCTACTTAGGGGTTCAATCTATATTTCATCTTCAGGGTCTCTATCAAGATTGATCCTCTCTATTAAGCAATGGGTTGAAATATTGTTTACACATCAGTTATTGGTACAATGTTTGAAGTAAATCTATTACTGATAACTTGAAATGCTTTCACAAGCATTCTCATGAAACTCCAAGAGAAAGATATATCTTTTCTCTCATAAACTGTATTGTCCTGAAGGAGCTGGAGACTTAGAATTACCAATAAAATGATGTGGTATTTAAGGCATTCCTGTGCTGTTGAAGACTGAGAGCTTCTGTGATTGTTGGTTGCTTGAACCTTGCTTTTGAAGCAGAAGCAGTAATGAGATAAAGCAATTTACTTTGTGTTTCTGGTCCAAATACTGTATCTGCGTGTAAATGCAACATAAGGAGTACATTTCCTAGGAGGCAAAGAATATTGGTTTATGCAGAAAGGAGTAAGGTAACAACATTTTGCTTTGTTGTTTATATTCTCTGAAAACATGCTGGTTAAGAAAAGTCAGAGTAAAATGAATGAAAACAAAGCTTAACCAAAACATTTTGCTTTGTTTGTACAGCTTCAGAGCACAGATTCCTTAGACTGCTTGGAACGGCTCATAGACCTAAACAATGGGGAAGGACAAATTTTTACCATTGATGGCCCCCTTTGCCTGAAGAATGTACAGTCTATGTTTGGGTTAGTAGACAGTGTGCCTTTGTGAGATTTCCAGTAAAGAAAACAAATGTAACATAAAAAGAATGGATGATACCTGATGATCTCTTTTTTTTTTCCTTGTTCTAGAAAGCTAATAGACCTGGCTTATACGCCGTTCCATGCTGTTCTGAAGTGTGGCCACTTAACATCTGATGTGCAAGTATTTCCCAGACCAGAACCTTTCATTATAGATGAGGAAATAGACCCCATTCCTAAAGCAATTAATACAGGTAACAAATTTTTGTTTGCTTTTTAGTTAAATACATTTGATTTCAGTCTTTTCACTATTGTATCTTATCCTGTGTAGTTACTGTTTCACCTGCTTTCTTTCTGCAAAGATCGATCACTGATGATATAGTTTCTTGGTATGCGTGGCACCAGACAATTCTGTGTTTGTCTGGCAATGTGGTTCATGGATAACTGTGCGTTTGTGTTAGAAATTATGTATGTCATGATATTATATATGAATACTTGTGTTTTACTATCCCAGTGAAGGTCAGGGTTCTGCTGTGCTGCCTTGGTCACTACTTCAGAAAGTTAGTGGTGTAAAAAGCAGTGTTGAATTGGCTCTGAATACATTCAGCTGACTTAAACCTGTTGTCTCTCCACAGATCTAGAAATTGTTGGGTTTGTAGATATAGCTGATATTTCTAGCCCTCCTGTCTTATCCAGACACTTGGTACTGCCTATTGCACTTAACAGAGGTAAGCAAATTCTTGTACCAAATTCTTTAAGCTTCCCCTCTAATGGCTGTAGTGGTTTTGTTGAGAAGGAAATGTTATGCTTTATGCCAAATGTCTCTAAGGACACGTTTACATGTTTGCATTGAGATCAAAACCTTGAACACAAGATCTGTCCTTTTCTGAACAGTGTGTTCTTTGGAAAATCATCTGTACACAAAGCAGTGAATTAGTAGAGAGAACAGTGTCATTATATCATTGTGATGAGTAGAGAATATTAAACTTAAAGCTACAAATACTTATGGGTCATGAAGTGTGTGGTGTGAGATGAATAATTAATACTGGCTTCTAAATGGTTCTTGGAATGATTTCTTGCTGTGAAAAATCTGATCTGAGTAACGTCTAGATTGCTCAGTTGTTCTTCAGCATTAATTGCTGCTCATTGAGTATATATGAATCTCTACAAACAACTTGTGCAGGCTTCAAGAACAATTGAGCATTTTGTGGCTTGCAGCGACTTGTCTGCTGAGAAGGGCTTCCTAAGTCCTTTTGTGAAGGTCTTGGAATGGAATTAAAAGAAACTGAGATTTCTTTTGATAAAGAACAGTGAAAGCACCAGATGTGCTTCTATGTCTGCATTAGCACTCTTATCCTGCTAGGCCTTTCATTTTAAAATATATTAACAGTTACATCACAGCTGTATTCCAATTGCTAAAACACAGTAAGTTTCTCGTAATGACCACAAATTGTGTAGGAGAGGGGGACTTGAAATTCAGGATGCTTTGGTTCAGAAGCAGCTGTGTTATTAATTGCCACTCTTGCTGCCTTTGCATTTCACTTCTAGTTTCTTCAGAGGTTTATTTGAAGAGTTATTTGTTAAATGTGTGAAGTTTTGTGATCAGAATCCAGTAGAATAATCATATAACATTATATTGTCACTTTGTCCCAACAGTTAACAGCCATTTGTTCTAGAGAAGTGTTTATTGAAGGTTATGTTGTTGAATAGAGCTGTTTTTATTCAGTCTCATTCAGCTGAAGCAGAAGAGTTTGCCAGTCACTGCCACTTCTGGTTGCTTTTTTTGCTCCCTTGTCTGGGATTACCTGCCCTCTCATGAAATGGGTTGGGTAACTTAAATAAACAAGCAAATAAAAACATGAATCTTGGTTAATGCAGCTTATTTTGACTGGCACAAGCTGTGGAATGATTGTACAAAGAACTCTGTGAGTAGATCAGAGGGCAGCTGCAACCAGGTTGCTGGAAGGTTAGGAAGTGCTAGGAGTCTCTTCAGTCTTTGCTGCTGTGATAAGCACTGGTGGTTGTGTCCAAAAAATCTGTTATTACAATACCATCAGTTCTCACAATAGCTTGAGTGTGGAAACAGCAGCCTCTCCTAAGAAAGGAAGCCACTTAAAAAGTATATTTGCAGAATGAAGCTTTGGGTTGAAGGTTCTTCGTGGCAGAGGATATGGGATGGTAGTGTTGTGGGAATAGAAGTAGTGTGTTTGAATTTATGTTGTCCCTTTGCTTGCTCTCCTTCCCCAGAAGGTGATGAGGTGGGACCCGGGATCACAGATGACACCGAAGATGAGAATTCAGCTAATCAAATTGCTGGGAAGATTCCCAACTTCTGTGTTTTGTTACATGGGAGCCTGAAAGTGGAAGGCATGGTGGCTGTCGTCCAGTTGGGGTATGGAGCTGGATGTCTACCTGAAAGATCTCTCTTACTTTGCTCATTTATGCTTCACCTTCTACAGAACTTGCATCACTAGGCAAAGCCATGGATTTTTAACTGTAGACATGTTTCTGCCAGTGTTAATTACAAATAGTGACTCTCCACACAGTGGAAGAAAGGCACATTCTGTGTTAGGACAGTTGGAAAGTGTTCAGACTTTGGGATTTGCTCTTTTCAATAGGCCAGAATGGTATGGGATGCTCTATTCACAAGCTGATAGCAAGAAGAAATCAAACCTCATGATGTCACTCTTTGAACCTGGTCCTGAGCCCCTTCCGTGGCTAGGGAAGATGGCACAGCTTGGCCCTATTTCAGGTACTGGTCACATTCATTGCAGTAACTTTGGAATTGAGCATTTTCTTGCATGAATGACCTTGCCAGATCTTATTCATGAAGTCTCTTTATTTCCTAGATGCTAAAGAAAATCCTTATGGAGATGATGACAATAAGAGTCCTTTCCCCTTGCAGCCCAAAAACAAGCGCAGTTATGCACAGAACGTTACTGTGTGGATTAAACCGAGTGGCCTCCAGGTACAGATCTTGGACTTGATGCTTTACTCTAATCAGCACTAGCTTTCTCAGCAACAAAGTGGAGTCTGTGTGTGTCTCATCCACTTGATGTAATTGCTTTATTGCTTTCCTTTCTTTTTTATAATAACTGCCTCTGTAAAACGCGATGATTAAAATGCAATCAGAAAGCATAGTTTGTTTAATGAAAGCTGCATCTGGCTTTGTTTATTGGATTTAGTATAATTACTGCTTATTTCAGTCTTTGTGAGCTGAAGTCTCGTCAGTGGTCAGGATTATTTATCAATAAGTAGTTGTGAACATTCTTCTGCAGCTTACCCAACAGTTGACAAGATCTTTTCTTTCCTTTTTGCAGACTGATGTACAGAAGATCTTGAGAAATGCACGGAAACTCCCTGAAAAAACTCAGACTTTCTATAAAGTGAGTTGTTACAGGCCAGCCTGAATTTTTGATCCGTAGTGATAGTTGTGCATCTAAGGAGCAAGTACTGTCTGTGTCTGTGGGGTGTTCATTCTGTGCTGGGCTTGAAGAGCTCTGCAGAAGCACACACTGTTCTGTAAAGAGACACCTTGGGTCCTTTTTATGGACTAGTTAAAGAGAGACAGTGAAGTCTGGTTTCCTGTCATCACATTTTTTGCCAGGGTGATAGACATGTCACATTTACAGGTGGCCCTCATGATCCCTGCTACTTTGATGGTGAACTTCAGTGCAGATCTTATGCTTTTGTTCAGAGTCACCCTGGTACTTTGATAGTGAACTTACATGCAGATTTTATGCTTTTGTCCAGGCAGAAATAAACTGAGGGATCAAAGAGGAATAAGAACATAGTGTCAATCTGAACCTGAAAGTATATCCTACGTTTTTTCTCCAAGAGAAGCAGAGAAACAAAATTCCAGGCACTTTTGACCATATCATAAAAATCCATAATCTAGGCTGTAGCCAGAGGTAATTGTTGTTCCTCTTGTAAGCAAAGTGCTGAAGCAGTTTATTATTGTAGTCCCCAGAGACCTGAAGAATGAATACACTTCCTAAATGCACACAAACACCCATCATAGTTTACAATGAAGAAAAATACATATTATGTTTTTCTGGGCACTGTGGTTAGAGGCGACAATCAGCGAGGTTCAAGTTGGAAGCCACTCCCAGCAGGGACACAAAACAAGCACACAAAATAGCTGAATGCACAGAAGGGAGAAGTAAGGAATTTCTAAGAAGGGATGAAGGGAAACCTAGCTATTTGCCTGTGCTACTGTAATCCTCAACCCTGAAGTGTTTTCTTGTCATGAGCAGTTAGGCATCTTGCAGCAGCTCCACTTAACACAGGTTATTTTCCTTTAAGTGAATAAGCTTGCATTTAAAAATAAGAAATAGTATAAAAGAAGTTTTTGTTCTTTGCAGGAACTTAACCGTTTGAGAAAGGCAGCTCTGGCCTTTGGCTTTTTGGACCTCCTGAAAGGTGTGGCAGACATGCTGGAGCGGGAGTGCACCCTGCTCCCTGACACGGCTCATCCTGACGCGGCGTTTCAGCTCACACATGCTGCTCAGCAGCTGAAAGTGGCAAGTACTGGGGCATCAGAATACACTGCCTATGATCATAACATTGCTCCTCTGCAGACAGACTTTCCCACTACTGGCACTGAAAGAATGTAAAGTCTCCAATTTGGGAAATTCTCTAGGTTAAGACTCATGCCACTCGAATTTTCTTGTCTTGTTTACCTTCTATGGCTTCTTTAATTACTGGAACTTCCTATTATAACAGGGTCCTTCACCTGCATTAGTGCTCTCCAAATACATGTAGCTAGTCTGTGGTAGCTTCAGTCAGGCCTGGAAACTCTGGAAAGTGTTCCATAGTGATTGGAGTGTTGGATGGTGGGTGGAAGTTGCATGTAAGGAGACAGAGAACATAGCATCACAGGCCTCAGACTTTCTGTGGCTTTTAGCCTTTCCCAAATGTGGTTGATGTATAAATGAAATCAGTGGTAAAAACATCCTAAAAGGCAGCTACTGTTATTTTACAGACGGATTTGAGTAGTCCAGAGAAAATGTGTGAGAATCACTGCACAAGATCAGACATGCAGCTGATTTCAAGGTGTTATCACTAATTGCTACTCTGTATGGCAATAATGTACACCACTGGCAGTGCAGTGCTTATGCTTGTGGAAGTAACTTAATCTTTTGAGACAAATTTTTAATTTGTGTAATTTTAATAAAAAGGAATTCTTCAGGAAGTTTGTTTTGTTCCATTCTCGTAGCAATTTTGCTGTGTGCAACCTTAGGCATGAACATGCCTAAAACATCGACTTGGTGAAGGTTAGACTCCATCTGCTTATCATGAGAGTTAAGTAATAAATTATACAGCTTACTGCATTCAGGGAAAAAGCAAACAACTGAACTAATGCAAAATCTGGTTGTAAATCTTTATTAATAGAAACACATTCTTTCTGAAGGACTAAAACTCAGTCATTTAAGATCCATTACAGCTCATATTAGGTACCACAATTTCACTGAGAAACATCATGTATGAGTACATACAGATTTTATAACAGAAGTTTAAATGCCCAGTAAAGAAATTAAAAGTGTGAAAGGGATCCTTGCTGTTCCAAGCCAGCTAATTCAGTCCTTTGATGTACTTCAAACGTATGTTCAGTGTGTACTGTAGTGAAATAGTGTGTAAATAATGCTCAGCTCTTGAGAAAGTTACCTGCACTCTTCTCTGCAAGTGAGCCTCACGTATCTCTAAAGAGAAGTTGCATCATGCCTCTTGTTGACAAAACACAATTGTGAAATGCAGTGTGGAGCTTGTATCAGTTTTTTTGTTACAGTCTCTTTATAACACCATTTTCCTTCCTTTACAGTAATAATCACTGGGTCTGTGTCATAAATAGTAAGCTGTTTGTTTAACTTTAAGTATAGAAAATAACTTCCAGGAGGATTCATATCATTTCACAGTAGAAAAAGATAACACAAGTAATAAGATGACACTTCAGCTAATCTCAGCTTTGGTGCCTTATCTGGATTGCTGGTATTGCTTGCAGTACCCTGGGGACAGCAGCAGCCGTGAAGCAGCTTGTTTATAACCATAGTTTTTCTAAACTAGATTAAAGGGACCAGAGGAGTTGAGAATCAACTGCAGGAGGCTAGGTGTGAGGAAGGGCACGTGGAAATGAAGTCAACTGAAACGGAAGTTTTCAGGTGAGAGAATACATGACCTGGGATGTGAAGGGAACAGCTCTTGTTTAAAGCAAATACAGAGGAAAGGGTCCCTTCAAACCCTAGGTGGGATCTCCCTTACTGAAATCTATGGCATGAAAATAATAGATTATTTGTTCAACCCATCACTCCATCCCATCAGGGAACAGCCAAGAAAGCATATACACAAATTTAAATGTGTAGCTGATAAAATGAAATAGAAAGACATTCTTGATTGCTTTTCCAAGGCTATAAGGGAGCCACGGCTCTGGTAGGAACTACCAGAGGAGTTCTCCCAAGACAGCTCCAGATTTTTACTTTGTGTGAATGGGATGGAGTTCTTCTGGGGTTCTTCTGCTAGCAGAAAGCTGGTACCTGTATTTTCTTGTCTCCTTATATTTCAGTGCTGACAATCAATCAGAAAAGCATTTCTGTCCATGGGACACACGGCAGCTTCTTTTCCCTACTGATGCTACAGGTATATGGGTGTTGCTACAGTCCACAAGATGCTTCTATTCTTTTAAGACTAACCTAGAAACTGGTATGGTAGTACTTTGTTTGACGCCAGCTACTTCCAGTTTTAATTCTGCAACATCAGTATGCTGCCTAAGAAAAGGGGGTGTGGGTGCTGAGCAAGTTTACCCCAACCGTTAATAACACCCAAACACAGTGACATCAGGCTGTGCTCCTCTTAATGTCAGGATGCACCCCAGGAACAGCATGGGCCAGCTAATGTATGTCCCAACATCAGAAGTCCTATCTGCATGCAATACCGAAAGAGCAAATATCCAATTAAAATATAAACACTATTTCTATTTAGTGCTGCTCCACCGTTTATAAGCATATTATATGCAGATAATAGGATTTCTCCCTAATACAGCAGTTGATAGGATACAAGTTTAAATGCAGCTGTTCAATGGTAAATGTCGTGCATGCATTTGATTGAAAGGGAACAAAATACAGTATATGGGAATGTTACCTGAATTCACTACGAAATTATGAATCTAGGATGATCATGTAATTTTACAAAATTCTTTACAGTGGATAAAACTGTAAGAATGAGAGGCTTATCTTGTCATTGAGATAAGTTAGATAAGAAAGCACTGAAGTCCTCTTTTACTTCATCTTTCTCTTCTTTGGTCCAAGGTGCTGTTTCCTTTGCTTGTAGAGATATCGGAAGTTTACAAATAACCCTGAAATAGAATGAAGTGTTTACATAGGACACCTCTGCATCACTTTGAAGCTGTATGGCTGTACCAAATTAAACAAAAAAAACCCCACAACTGTTTCATAGTTTAATGAATGCTAGTGTTAGTGTTTTCTACTGGGGTTAGGTGAGTTTGTCACTTAAAAATCTGTGCAGAACTGGGAAAGGATCAAACAGGTGTTTCAGTCAGTCTCAGCTGAAGGTGTTCTTTAAGCAAGGTCTGCAAGGGGGTACCTAATGAAAGTCCAGTTTAATGTTATAGATGAGATTCAACCTCCCTGACTTCAGTGATTTCTGGATACATAGACATACTGGCTGCATATATTACAAAGTTATCTTATGTTTAGGAAATATAACAAACTAACCAGGTATGTGAAACAACATTCTTTTTAAATAGACTACTTCGTAGACAGCCTTCTATAATTGTTTCCTGCAAAAACATCTCATGTTATAATGCAGTTTAGTTAAACATAATACCAAATTGAAGAAAATGTTTAGAGTTCCATTAAATCATTCTGAAGCTCAAATGTAAAAGGGTGAAATTAAGCATACTGAGATTACAAATACGTGTAAAAGTTATACTTTTAACTCAAATGAACTGTAGATAATGCTGCTAACTTGTTAATAAGGACTTCTCCTTAGGGGCAAGCTGGTGCTAATTGTAGCTGTGTTCATTTCTCTCTGACAAGTATGTAAGGGAGCAGTGAGGATGGTATTTAGCTTTGAGCAAATTTGTGTTGTCAAGATCTCTGAGACATGGGAATTTATCTTTCTTAGGAAAAATATACTTAATCAGAGGAAACTGCACTTTCATTTTCAACAGTGAGAAATACAATTAAGTATCTTACCCAAAAACAAGGCTATAAGATACATCTGGAGCAAGAATGAAAACTGGATTGTGACATTCAGTGGATTTGGCAGTCCCAGACTAAATTTTCCTGTTTCACTGAAGATGGGAATGGATTGAATGAGACAGACAGCTGAAAGCAGAAAACCATGGTTATCAGACACAGGTAAAATGTTCATTATTTTACTTTTAAACTTTTGAATCAAACCTATTTAAGGAATGTAGTAAAATGGTAAGCAGCTACATCAGGCACTAGAGAAGTTTAGTTACAAAAGTCTAAGCATGGTAAACTTGTCTGGCAAGACACTGTTCTTGTACACAACCATGTAGCCTGCGGGGCCTGTGCCAGTAGTGGTTACCACATTGAAATAGCCCCAGAAAGGAAAGAGGCATGGTTTCTCCTATACTAGGAATTAAGCAATGCAAAGCCTACTCCTGGCTCACAGAAGCAAGCTCTGACAGGTATGATTACAACACATTTCTTGAATCTAGATGCTGAGCAGTGACAGGCATTTTAAAAATTCAGATGTTAAGACAGAAGAGTTCACTACAAAGTCCTCTCCCTGGGCTTCAAAGCTGAAGGGAGCACAGCCCCATTGGGAAAGCACTGTGCTTGTCTCAGAACAGGTTAGGATGCTTTTATAGGAAGAACTGGCTCCTGCCTGTTCTGTGCCAGTGATTTACAAGATAACTGCAAGGTTTCTTGTGCTGGTGCAAACCCCAGCACAACTGACCAAGAAGATGTAGCAGACAAAAGCAAAAGCAGCACTTGAGATCAGCAAAGGGAGGTGAATATTGTCTTCCTGTAATGCCTGCATTGTCTGCAGTGCACACTTGGTCACTTTGTTCCACTAGCCTTTTGTTGCCTTTACTTTTCTCTCCAGTGCTCAAAATGATGACTTCTATTCACATCAAATTCAAGAAGTGTTTGCTTCAGTAAGGAAGACGGAAATACTTATATCTGGTTCAGCTCAAAGCATTCATCTGCTTATCTGCTGAGCTGTTCTATTAGTCTTTAGTCCAGCAGCCAAACCAAAAATTGAGTTATTTGCCCAGAATTAACTTCATTTATTAAACTTTTTTGGGCATACCTTCTGCCAAGCCGCCTAAAGGGTAGAGAGGGATCCAGCTGGTGTAACGGAGCCAAGTTAGAGGTTTCCATTCTATACCCATGCATGAAAGCATGTAATAGGGATACCTGAAGCCAATTAAGTGTGAGAAGAAACAAATATTGTTTAAAATAGAAGCTGCTACCAGAATTAAGTTTGCATATATCTGCAGTATAGAAAAGTCAACAAAACTCCCAAGTGACATAAAAATAATCAAAAATTCTTCTGGCTCTTGATGCACTCACCCTTATTTGGCAGTTTACATAATTAATGCTCTTATTCTGATCATTTGGATGAATTTAACTGCCTGACTTGTTGAATCAACATTTCAAAATATTTTCTTTGGAAAGAGAAATAGAGCACAATGCAGCCCACTTAATCATAGTCTAAACATACTTCAACTAAAGGGCCAAATTTTCCAAAAGAAAGCAACGTGTTTTTTTAGGACAGCATTACCTTTTAGACTGCCATATTGTCCCAGCTTTTGGCTGTGACAGCCAGTGTCTAAAGGGGATTTTACTTTCTGGGGCCAATTTCTGTGCCAGTCTTCCAAAAGGTACAAAGATCAAAATCTTTGTTAAAGGTTCTTGGAAACAAGCCCACTGTTTTGCACACACCCATTTAAGGAAAAATCCCACAGACCTGAACAGCTCAATGATGCTCCAGAAATAAAACAAGAAGAACACCACAGCTCTGCTCTGCATTTCCTCTAAGCTTCCAAGGACAACAAACAAAATAAAGTTTCTTCCAAATACCTGTTTAAGGAAAACAAATTATAGAACACTCACACTCTTTAACAAAGGAGCAAGTCCTTGCTTTCAAAACCATGCAGATTATCTACTTTTCCAGTGCAAAACAGTTCTGTATTCGGCCTTTAATTATGCAGCTGAGCAGTCACCTCTGATTTTTAAGCACACCCTTCTCTTCTAGGTCCAATGCAAGGGGCCTTGTCTTAAATCATTTAACTTCACTTTTATTCACAACAACCACAACCAGGATATAAAAGGGGAATCAAATCAAAAGCATTTACTTTTTGTTAGCTGATTCTTTCTTTTGTTGTTCGAAATTATCATACTTAATTGACAGAAGACAGCCTCCCACATCAGAGTATGGGAAGCCTGGATATCTGCCACTTGGATAACAGATTCTCTAGTTCAGTGACAGTAAGATCATATTGCTTAGAAGAAGTAAAATACACATTTACTTCAAACACGGGAGGAGCAAGAAGAACCTTAAAATACTACCTGTATTACAGCAGGAATCAGTGGTGATCTGACTAGTCCTATTAGTGAATTCAGGATTTCCATTAATGCCAGGGTCTGACAAAAGTACATCATGTCAGCAATAGTGTGAAATGTATCATAGAAAGAATCTGTAAGACACAGGAAACTGTTTTAAGGACAAACAGCTCTTCATAAGCAGGAAGCATAGCTTTTGATACCTCAGCAGAATGAATTATTCTCACTTCAAAATCAAAAGAATTCTGCCCAGCTTATTTTCAAAAATACCGATATGGCAGTAAGCAGGAAGTTTTCTTCCATCTGATTTCTTTAGATGTAATCTCGGTGGAGTACAAGCATCATTCATTAGAATACACACCTGCCATTTCAAGAAAAGAGTATTTTCCTATCCTTGAAAATGTGATGGCTTTCGTTGTGCACTTTGGTGATAGATTTACTACTTTATTTCCTAGGTATGTCTTCCTTCAGACTTTGATATTTAAGAAGTATTAAAAACAACACCCTGAAACATGATAAAGTAGTGCTTATTACTTGCCTTTTCCTAAGATGAACAGTCGTACTGTCATGTTCACAAAAATCCAAGAGAATCCCAAAAACTGTACAAGATTATACATTATTAAGTATCCTTTCTTCAGGTGTTTGAAAGCTGAAATCAATAAAAAAAATGCATCAGATGAGCAGACTACAATGCGAACGCACTCCTGCAAACCAAGCTTTCTGTGAAAATACAGCCTACAAAAAGGGAAACTATTGATTGTGGCAAAAGAGTAGCTGTGTGCTTTGTGAGTTCTGCCTGCTTTTATCATCTGCTAGAACAGAAATCTTGTTAGTCAGATTTTTAAACTCCTTAGGAACTGCAGGCAATTTTTATTGAATTTCTAAATTGCTCATAATACAAGGATCCTCCTCCAGCATACACCAAGTCACTCAAAATTGCTCCGTGAGATCACAAATGTGAGCAGCAGCAGCTTTCTGAACCCCCATCTCACACACTAGAAAGGTACAGTTACTTACGGTCTTTTGGGACTCTGGATTCTATTTTCATTTTGTTAATCTTTTCTTCTTCCTTAAGATGAAGGATAAGGTTTTAGCGAGTGTTACTGTAATTAGCAACTGATTTGTTAACTACCCTACAGCAAAGCTAGTAGGTTTAAAACTCAGTTAAGCAGCCAATTGCTAGAAGGCTTAAACGTTCACCTGCATAAAACAGAGCGTATTTCTCATTCACAATTAATGGTAATGTAAAAGGTACAGGGTGTTAACTGGCTATACAGCCTTCGCTGTAGTATGTGGTGCTCTAACAGTTAGGTGCTTTTGCTGAAAAAGCCAGCTGATTTTTGTGTTCACAATTACTGTTCCCTAAAATGTTTCACAGCCCACAAGAGACCTGAAGGGAACTGAATACTTCCAGTCCAGGCTCCTCCTGCCCTTCACAGCTGTTTCTGTTGTTGCAGCAGCTCTTTCGCCTCTGCACTAACCCCAGTGGCTTGGAGGAGAATAGGGCAGCATTTGTTTTAAACCAGTTAACCAGAAATGTAGTCTGTTCTGTTAAAGTGCTTTCCAAGATGGGCTTTCACCTCCTTGCTGTATTAAGCTGCTTGAACTTACCATATGGTGGGAATGCAGTCAGAGCCAGCCCCGCAGCTCAGGAAACAGTACTGTGGCAGTACATGTGGAAACAAGTTCCTGCTTTCTAGACAAGCAGTGTCAGGACTGGTGTCTCTGACATTAATCTGATCCTCGTATGGATCACACAGGACTGCTAGGGTGTAAGGCAAGAAGTGCAAGCCTTCAGCTGCAGGCATCAGCCAGCACAGAGCTAATACACAGCAATCCTTGCTTTGTAACTGGCAGCACAAACCTTCCGAGCCCACAGGACTGACCTTCTCCTTCAGTTCCATTTCAGCATCCGATTCATCTAACCAGCGATCGAAGTCCGGAGCGAGGAAGAGCGGGCGTTTCTCTTGCTTGGTGAGCCTCTCCCACCAGTTACTCTCCTTTTTCTGCACAGTGATGTTGAGCTGCCTTTGAGTCACCCTGCACACGGGCTGGGGCAGACAAGAGTACACATCAACAAGAGCCCTAAGCATCGAGCTCTGAGACTGAGCTGATACCTGAGCTTTCCCCACAGCAGAGGTGACGTGGATTGCTGCAGCACAGGCATCTCCCTGCTGCCCAAGACATCCCACAGAAACCAAGGGCAAGGTGAAGATGGCAACTAAGATGGTTATGGAACTTGCGATTTGATGACCAACTGGAAGGCCTGCCTGCACTGCACAGCACTATCCTACCACAGACACCACAGCCCCTGGTGCTAGCAATCCCACACAAAACCTACAGACCGTGGCTTTAGGCATTCTTTTGTTTCATACTGTGAGCCACCTACATCCTTTAGTCAGGGGTAAAAATAATGCTAGCGTCAGTCACAGGTACGTCTCCAAAACAGGGAATCCCACACGAAACCTGCTCTGGTGAGAGGAACAGCCATGACCTGCATTTGTAACTTCATGTTCCCCCAGCACTCCTCTCTGTCAAGGCTCGCTCTGTGCTCCCAGGACATCTGAAGGCTGCAGCAATAATTTACAGCTGCTACTGGCACAGGCTCTGTCCCTCACTGATGGCCACCCTCCGGCCTCCTCCTTGCAAAGCAGTAGAATCAAACCACGGATCCCAGAGTGACTGCAGAAGCAAGCAGCACAAATCCTCTGCTGGGAGCAGAGCCTGGAGTTCTTCCATGCCCCAGAGGGTTTTGAGAAATGAAGCCAGACTTCACAGCCACCTACAGGAGTTTGCTCTTCCAGCCAAGCTCTCTCCTATTGAACTACAACAGCAATTAAAACAATGTTTTGCAATAGGACCTGCAATGTGTCCATACTGGCAACCCAAGGAATTTGTACAAGCCAGAAACACCAGTTCTCGTGAATGTATAAGTAGCCACACTGACACTTCGTACTGTGGTGTTTCCCCTCCTCTCCAAGCTGCATCAGAAAACTATTGCAAGCATCTCCCACAATTTTGCTGCTTTAAATCCATGTAAAAACTGTAACTGCTGTATAACAGCTATGGTAAATTTAAGGCCCTGTTTCTATCCCCCAATGAGATGAGCTGGGTTAAGGCAGGATGGTGGCTAAGCACAGCAACCCAGGACTGCTGTGGGTGGCATTTAGCAGTCAGTCACCAGGAAGACCTAACAGCACATTGTGGACTTCATGCACAGCCATTCTTCTCTCCTCTTTCTTAAACAACCAAGCAAACAAAAAACCCAAAAACTTTTTCTCTGCAAAAGTTAGAAGAAAAAGAAATACCTACTTTAGGCTCGACCGGCTCTAGGAACTCGATCTGAAACTCATAGATGTTGTCCCCTTTGGCACCATGACCCTGAGCTAAAAAACAAGAGCAGACGATCAGCACAACGTGCCTAACGAGTCCCACACACCTTTAAAGTACACCTGACACACAGGAATACTCAGTGTTGTTTTTACAGTGCCTTCCCCTGCCCCGCTAGGATGGTAGAGCACGGAATCACAGCACATCCCATGCTGGAAGGGATCCCAAAGATGAAACCCCCCGAGGCGTGGAGCTGCAGGAACCAACGGTGCTACAGCTCTGCTGGGGGTCCGCGCTGGCTGCTCGTGTCCGACGAAACCCGGCTGGGAAACCGCCGCCGGGAGCAGCGCTGCGGGCAGTGCTGGGTTTCCTTTCCACCCGCCGATCCCAGGCAGACACGTGCGGCCGTGCCCGTCGGTGCCTGCTGCTGGCTCGCCGAGGAGGCGGCATCCACCGGGACAGAGGGAAAACGACCACAGAAATGACCAACCCGCACCGAAGGCAGCGCCCCGACGTGCCGAGCAGCGAACCGAGCTGCTGCCGGGCCTTTTACTGAACGAGCTGCTTTACCTTCCAAATGGGGCTGCGATAACGCGCACAGACGGGGCTTTGTGGGCTCGGCAGACGGACAGAAGGACACGGAAACGTCCCCCGCATGTAAATGCGGGGCGCAACGCTTTGCCTACGAGATAAGTAAGACGCGGCCCGCAGCGGCCACAGCCCTACCTCGGAACCGCAGCACGTTGTCGGCGATGCTGACGTCCGGGTTCTGCAAAGGGACGAGTTCTGTTAGAGACCGCATTACCAGCACTTCCGCGACAGCCCTCGGTGGGCCGTGACACGGCGCAGCGGAACCCCCTGACCGCCCCATCCCCGCCCCCCCGGCACCGATCCCGGCACCTTCACGTCGCTCAGCTCCACGCGCAGGTACAGCTCGTGGTGCCGCTGCGCCCAGTGCACGTGCGGCCGCAGGCTGCAGCCCGCCATCGCGCAGCCCCACCGCGCCGCTCCGCTCCCGAGGCGGCGGGGGCTGCCAGTGCGCCTGCGCGGTGCGCGCGGAGGTGAGCGGGGAGGGGAGGAGGAGGCGGGATTCTGAGCGCGCCTGCGCGGTGCGCGCGTCACCTCGGCGAGGTGCTGAGCTGAGAGGGGCGCTGCGTCGGACCCGCGTGGCTGCGGGTCAGAGCTGTGAGTTGGCCGTGAGGCAACGCGCGTTAACCCGCGCCTCGCTCTGTTCTCAGCTGTGTGCTTCAGCAAACAGTGGCAGTGGTCCTGGCGAGGAAGCCGAAGGCTGTCGGGGAGCCGCGCCGCCGGCCTCAGCCCTCAGCTGCTTCAGACAGCGCTGTGCTGAGCGTCGCCCCGTGCGCTCGATCCTCCCCCGCACAGCCTGGTCCTCCCGGCCAGCAGGCGGCGCCCTACAATGTAAACCTCGTAATACTGAGCGGCCGTTCCAGTGCCTCACACGGCGCGGCTCTGCTCTTCTACAGCCACCCCTCCGCTATGCGCGGCGCTGCCGGGCTGCGAGCCGTGTGGTTTCCTCCACGCCGACAGGGGGCGCGCGGCGCGGCCGAGCAGCCCGGCGGCCCATCTGGCGGAAGCGGAAGCGCCCGGCGGGGCGGCTGGGCAGCATCGCCGCCGCGGAGCGCCGTGAGTAGCGGGGCCGGACTGCGGTCGGCTTCTCGGGGACGCCCTGCGGGGAGCCGCCGGTAGCGCTGGAGGGGCACCGAGCCTGGACAAGGTGGGGGATTTGTCCCCTGCCGCCCGGCTCGCTGTCCTCGGTCGGGCCTGCCCGCTGCACCCGGTGGCTGGCGGCTCCTCCCGAGCTCTGCCCGCTTCCTCCGGCCGCTCGCGCAGCCCCGTGGCTGCTCGCCCCGCTCTGGGCCCGTCTGCCCCTCCGGCACGGCCCTGCGCTGCGGTAGTGCTGGAGCCGCCCATAAGGACAGCGCGTTCCGTGGCAGAACGAGGCGGCAGCAGATCCTCGCGCTGAGCCCGGCTGACGAGCCTTCGCCGTTCGTGCCGGGCTGCTTCTTAAGGCCGCTGCTCTTCGTTTCCTGCTTTTCTTGGGAGGGGTGTCTGGGAAGTAGGTCGGGTTGAGGCATACCGGCATCTGCGTGTAGGTGGGGAAGGGAGATTTTTCTTTGTTGGAATTCTGTGAAGTAGCTGAAAGTTTTTCTTTATTACTCAGATTTGAAGCCTAATGCCCAGTTTTTAGCTCAGTCTGAGCAGAGCACTGTGCCGTGTGTGGGGCTGGGATGGCCTTTCAGTGTTACAAGGTTTACGTTTTGATCTGTTTTTGTGTTGTAAGTGTCTGAAGACAGAAGAAGTGCCTCCCTTTGTTGTGTTTGGATTTGCAAAATTGCAAACATGCTTTTGATTGAGGTTTGCCCTGCTCTGCTGTTAGTGTTCTGTGTTAAAATGGGCTGGATCCAAGCTGCGTGCAATCTCTTCCTCTCATCTGTGAAGAGCAGCAGGAGAAGCCGGTCCATCAGGGAGCTTTATCTCGGGTAGCTGTGCTGGCCAAGCCCATGCCTTGCAATTCTTTGGTCCTTTAGTGCCTGTTTGCTGAATGCAGGAGCTCAGTTTGTTTTTCATTAGTGTCTTTGGCAAGCTCAGACCAGCAAGCTCTGCCTGTTCTATAGCAGTGTGTCAAGCAGTTGTGCAGCCTTTCCATTTTATATATAGAAAAAACAAGCTGCCTTTGAGGGTTGACAATCGTCACGCCTTGCTGTCTTTGTTAATGAATTATGTGTAGGAGTTCATAGCTGGGATCCTTTTGGAGTTGCACTCAGATCTTGGATTTATGGTTTCCTGCTGCCAGATCTCTGGGCTGTTTTGTCTAGCTTAGATATGCTTTGTAAAGCACGGCTAACTTCAGGAAGAAATATCTGCTAACTGAACAACTTGCTCAGGAGGGTAAGACGCTGCAGGTCAATCCGTTTGGAAAATGCTCATTTCACTGTGTCACCTTCCTCTATGGCCTCACACTTTTGGAAGAATCTATTCAGAATTTGTAATTATTTGCTTGTAGGTGATAGCATTTGTGATGATATTGCTAGACCCTTCACAGCTTTGTTTGAAAGGAGAAATTACAGGAGAATGATGGTTGCCCAGCCCCATTGTGTGTGGCCAGTTGGTTCAGAATCAACTTTGAATACTGTATCTGCTAAGCAGTTGGCTGTACCAGCTCTTGATATAGTCCTAACCAGCCTTTATTCTGATTTCAGTGTATCAAGCTAGTTTTGCTGTTAACGGGGTGGAAGAATGAAGTTTGAGCTTAACAGGGAAGGATTTATTGAACTGAGCAATTGAGGGGTGTTAAGATAAAGAGCCAAACACTAATAAGTCTGTGTGGATCTATGAAATTATTAGCCTTGTTCTGAAATGCTGAGCAATGACAGCCTGTTTTCCATAGCAGAAATCCGTCTCCTTTTCCTTTCAGATTTTCCATGTGAAATAGCAAGTTTCTCATAGCATTTTTGCTGTATTGTGTTTTTGGAGTCTGATGTGAACTTTGGCTGAAAGGGAGTGCTGACCCTCTGATATTTTTTCTTTTCCAGAAACATGCAACATGGCAGCAGCCATGGAAACTGAACAGCCAGGCCTCGAAGTCTTTGAAACCACAGGCTGTGAGGAGCAGGTGCAGAGAGAGGAGCAGCCAAAACCAGAACCTTTCTATGTAGAGAGACATTCCTGGAGCCAGCTTCGGAAACTGCTCACAGATACACGAAAGTATCATGGGTATATGATGGCAAAAGCCCCACATGACTTCACATTTGTTAAGAAAAATGATCCTGAAGGACCTCATTCTGATAGGATTTACTATCTGGGTAAGTTTGCTGGCTCAGCCTGTGCCTTGACTAAACAGTCACTGCAGAGGTTGTTTGAATTTGACTGTTCCTCAGTGCACACCTGATTCCCTCTGGGTTGGTCCCTAAATGCCTTGGCAAGAGCTGTCAGAAATCTGAGTAGTGCTGAGAGAGATGAACAGGAAGGGGGCATTCAAACCTTCCTAAAGGTGCATCATCTTTGAAACATAAGCTGTATCGTGCTGTATTCCAGCCAGGCAAAATAACAGAGCAGGCCTTTCTGAATTTAAAAGCTTATAAAATAAAAAGATCCCTGACCTTCAACAAGACAAGGTTATTCTTCAAGCAGCATGTGGTAAGCCTGACTGTAGTTCTTTGTTCTCCACCTTCTCTGTGACTTGCATTTCTGAGAAGTGGGGACTTCTCAGTGCAGGGCTGCGTTGTAGAGACTGTCAGTGCTTCCTTTGGTAGGAATGCCTGTGAAGCTGTTTCTTAGCATCTTTTGAGAGTGTTGGAATTATTAATAGAAAACTAATGTACTTTGTTTCTTTCCTCTTTGGCAACAGCGATGTCTGGAGAGAATAGAGAGAACACACTCTTCTACTCTGAAATTCCGAAAACTGTGAACAAAGCTGCTGTCCTGTTGCTTTCCTGGAAGCCTCTCTTGGATCTTTTTCCAGTGGGTTCTGATTTTTTTTCTTACATCTTAGCAACGTAGCAAGGCTTCAAAGTTGCACCTGTAAGCCGTTAGTATGGTCTTAAACACTTTAAGGTTCTCTTTGTATTTGGTTAACTCTGCAACCGTCTCAAAAACAAGTGTAATTTTCTCTTCAGTTTTTGGAGCTACAGCCTGTGTACGTCACGAAAGCTGAGTGTATACAGTTGATTTCTCCTTTGCCAGCAAGGATTACAAGTTCTAATTTGCATCAGATTCTCTGCTGTGAGATCCTGGGCATTGCTGAAGGAGCCTGTAGTCTCCAGTAATCACTGTCTTGCAGGGGGAAGCAATGAGTTCCCCAGTGACCTGTCAGTGACTCTATGACTCACGCTGAAGCAAGAAATCTCTTTTCCACTCTAGGGCGTGTGTCCCCTTCTCACCTCTGTGCACAGCAAGTTGCATGAGCCCCCCGTGCACGATAGCAGGTTGGGGGAGGCAGGACATTTCCTGTGTGGAATTAGGTGTGTTGTTTCCCCATGTTATTTCCTGAGGTTGTCAGCCAGACATAAAATTCATGCTGTGCTTTCCTCCCGCCAGACCAGTCACCATGTATCTTTGCAAAAGTTAGCGGAGGCTGTCCTACTCATTCTAGAAATAATAGACCTTCTGTCTGATCTTTCTCATACCAGTGTACACTGGAAATAATGCCAGCCTTACTAAGGGAGAAGTGGCTGTCAGGTTCCCAGTTCTGTAGGATACGGTCAGGGAATGCACCTACAAGTTCTCACAGCAGAAGCACAAGCAGGAGTGGGCTCCTGGCTGTCAGCAGGATTCTGGAGGAGGAGGGTGTCTGCACAGCCATCTGGCCCTGGAAGCTTGGCGTGCAGAGATGCTCTGACAGTATTGTAGCAAATGCAGAGCAGAGGTGTTGATTCTGCTTCTCTGCCCATATTCAGGCCATCCTGGACTATGGTATGTACTCCCGGGAAGAGGAGTTGCTACGGGAGAGGAAGCGAATTGGCACTGTTGGGATTGCCTCCTATGATTATCACCGAGAGAGTGGCACCTTTCTGTTTCAGGCTGGGAGTGGAATTTATCATGTAAAAGATGGAGGCCCTCATGGATTCACTGTGAGTTTATTCATCTCTCTGTCTTACACAGTACTTCCTGCCTCCGGCTAGAAGCTCCTTTGTTTCCTAGTGAAAGCAGAATGTGAGGTTCAGCTATTGCTGTACTGACAAGGCAAGTTATTGTTGCACTGGAGGGGCAAGCGACCTTAACCAACCTCGAAACATGGAGAAGTCCTCCTTAGGGATGCATTGCCATGATTATAGAAACTTGGATGGAGAATTAAAAAGAAATGGTAGAATCTCTGGTGGCAAAGCAAGTCACTAGATTTTCTGAATTTTATTTCTTTATTTTTTACCAATAAAAAGGGACGTGAAGCCTGTGGTGCTCTCTGCTCTTCCATGCACTCAGAAGTCATATCAGAGGCAGCTTTTGTTCCCAAGCTGTGGTTCGGTAGTCAGTACTGTATGTGTTACAGGATCTGGCTGTAGAACTTTGTGAACAAGCAGCCTTTACTCGTGCTGATGCTGATGCTGGATTTGAAAGCTGAAACCATTTCTTGTTGATACAAGAGATGCTTGATGTTCATCTAACCCAGCTGTTACTGTATCTTGAATTAGTTTTGGAGAACAAGATTTCTGTCTGTTCTGCCTGTCAATTTTTAGGGTGTGCCAGGCTTCTGTAAGCAAGCTTCCTTCTGATTTGTAGTTAATCCACATCGCTGGTGAAATAGGTCCTGGTGGTGGAAGCACAACTTTCCCTATGAAAGTATCTGCTGATATTTTTCTGTTCTGAAATTGTATAGATTGCTCTCTTGTAAACCTGTGTTTGAAGTCAGCAAGCACATTGCTGTGGTCATAGAGACCTTCTGGTAATCCCGGTCAGTGACTGTTTCATTACTTACTATTCTTCTTTTCTTCTTTCAATCAGCAACAGCCTTTAAGACCCATTCTGGTAGAGACCAGTTGTCCAAATATCCGGATGGATCCTAAGCTTTGTCCAGCTGATCCAAATTGGATTGCCTTTATCCATAGCAATGACATCTGGATATCTAATATAGAAACCAGAGAAGAAAGGAGGCTAACGTTTGTGCACAATGGTAATTCATCCTGAATTAAAATCTCTGCACCTCCTCTGCACTTGTTCTTGCTATACTGAATTAAGTAATGGCACTAAATTTTCTTCTGAGATCTGAGGGAATGGCAACTGTTTACTTCATCTGGAATTTGGTTGTCATGTTCTGTATGTATTCTCCAATCCAAATGCTGCAGGATAATTCTTTTCCTGGTTCCACTGGGAAAACCAGAATCTGGCAGGATGAGTTATTTGTTGAATACATATGGAAAGACTTCTCCTGAATCACATATTTTTTTATGTACTAGAACAGTCGTTTTTGTGTGGAGTAGCTGTGGGTGGAATAGAGCTGGAGGAAAGTTTCTGCCAGTGAAGTCAGGCTGCAGGGCTTTTTAGAGACAATATAGAGAGTTTCTGAATAGCACTGTGGCTTCTGCTGGTGCCCTCATACTCAGTCTCTTAGGTTTGCACTTCTACCCCTCTCCAAATCTGGTTTAGACACGTATCCCAGGGGAAGGGAAATGGAAAACTGTGGATAAACCACTTCTTAAAATCCATTGCATTTTGCAGTTGAAGCATGCTTCTTGTACTGAAACTGCATCGTTTTAATTTGTAACCAAATTACAATTTTTGACGCTTTACAATAATACTTGAGCTTATTTAAAAGTTAGTTATTAAAATATTATGTAAGTACATTAAAAATAAACTGTAGCAATGACTCCTTCTCAGATGATAATTATTTATGGAGCGCTGCTAAGTTACCTCCAGGGTAACAGGAAAAATATTGAAGCCCTATGGATAGGGTTGAGATGTTATGTAAGTCTGTTACTTTCAGTCTGTACAGTGAATGAAATGCTGATAATTTTTTCTGAATGTTGGCATTTCAGTGTCGGTTCTCAGGATTCTTCTGCTTTAATTTCCTTAGAACTTGTGGTTCCAATTTGCTGAGCTCAGGTAGAGAGAACATTTTTTTTTCTTGGATGAGTGCATGGAAAATTGAGAGACTAATTGGGTAGGAGTAAGAAAGGAAGATGAGGCTTTTCTTTCCTAAAAGAGGCTGCTGTGTCAGAGAGGATTAGGTCTTCCCCAGATAAATCAATAGAGTGAGGTGAAAGCAGTTCTGCTGAGAAGCCAGATTTGCTATCATGTCATTGTTCTCCAGAGACTGAACATAGGCCCTGGTTGGGATAATGCAGAACTGATTCGATTCTGCAGTACATCATGAACTAATTCTTTTGTCTTTTTTTTTTTTTTTTTTTTTTTTTTTTAGAACTTGCCAATGTTGAGGAAGATCCCAAGTCTGCTGGTGTGGCTACTTTTGTGCTGCAGGAGGAGTTTGACAGATACACTGGCTATTGGTGGAGTCCAAAGGCAGAGCCAAGTAAGTGTGTTGCACACAGTGTGTCTGACAGGCACAAGTAATGGCCCCCATGCTGTGCTGTCCAGGAAAAGTTATTTCTTCTTGTCTTTACCCAGGATAGGAACCTTATAGTTCAAGAAGAGCTACAAGTGTCTCCAATGGTGGACATGTTAAGGTGCCCTTGTTAGCCCAGGTTACTGGGGGAAGAAACTTTCCTTCTCACAACAGTGATAGGAATTGCATGAGACTTGGTGCATTTTGTATAATTAAATTAGAGTCACAGACATTCCTTCATCCTTTCAACCTGCATGTTCTCCTAGGGGAGCACTGGTGTCTGCAGTAACCAATTTTGAGAGTTGCTCTGATCAGGAAATGTTAATTCCTTTACAGCACTGAATGGGGGTAAAGTTCTTCGAATTCTTTATGAAGAAAACGATGAGTCAGAGGTGGAAATCATTCATGTCACGTCGCCCATGTTGGAGACAAGAAGAACAGATTCCTTCCGGTACCCCAAAACTGGTGAGACCCAGATGACCTTGCATCTCCATTTCTGGGAGATGCTTATTTTATTCCATGTGCCTTATGCTGTGATAGAGCAGGACGTTGTTGTAGGCATGACATGTAGTCCTCGAATTAGTGTTCAGGTAGTAGAAATGTATGTGGAAAAACTTCTGCCCTGGAGGTTTGATTAATCACTGGTGCCTGTGTTGATTTTCCAGCCATGAGGTTACTAAGGGCTCAGTCTGGGTCCCTCAGAAGTTGGCAGAAACCCTACCTGATTGTCGCTATTTTGGAGCTGCTGTCTCAGATCCTGGCACAGAGAAGCTGGTTCCTGTTACAGCCCAGTGTCTCTGAGGGAATAGCTGCAGAATGATAGCATTTTGATTTTCTGAGGGGAAGGGATCCTGCTAGCTGCTGGCAGTGCCCTGGTAGTTCTAAAGGACTCTGATCTCCATGAATGCTTTCAGACTGGAAAATTGTGCTTGCTTACAGACTATGAGGGAAAGCCTCTGCTGTCATTTTCAAACAGTGAGTGATGTGAAGGCTTCAGCAGTAAAGGAACGAGGGCAGGCTCGAGCAAATGAGACTTATGCAGACCTGCTGTGCAGTTCACTGTGGTGTGCCAGGTGTATAGGGCAAGTTTGAGCAAGCTGACCCTTGCTCTTCTGAGATTTCGCTGCTGTGAACGTGTTGATCACATTATCAGAGTAGTTCATTTTTTTCTTACTCCTGAAATGTTTTTATCTTCTTTTATTATCAGGTCTTGTAAATTCCCCAATCCTTTGGCAAAAGTTTTCTGCTTATGATTCTGATTTGCTGCTCCTTTTAAGGAGCAGGAAAGGCCATGTTAGCCTGCAAAGCAAGAGATGACTTCATGTTTTCCAGTGCTACGGTACACTTAGATTTTGTGAGGGTGTTTTATTAAACTTTTATTTAGTGCTAAATCTAAGCAGTGTAGGAAAATCAGGCAGCCAAAGCCTAAATGCCTTTGAAAACAAACAAACTGTGTTTTAATCTCCGTCCTCAGTTTCCAGTCAGAACCACGTAGGCAGTAGGGTTTTTTGGGTTGTTCTAAGGACAAAGTCTGAGGTGGTTTCTTACCACGGAGAAGACGAGTACTTCAGTAGGCAGCACTGTGGCTTAAAGCAAGTCATTTCACCTCGGTGCCTCAGTTTTTGTGAGTTGATAAAGTGAAAGCAGCATTGAGAATATTAAAACTATGTGGAAGCTGCTAGATGGGGCTTGACACAACAACTTAATTCTTTATACTTCACCTCTGCTGTGCAGCAAGCACTTAGCACTGCAGGTGCTGTACTTTTGTGTTGTTCAGGCTTTGTATGGAGAGTTAGGTGGATTTTCACTGTCAGCACAGAAAAGTATTGCTCCACTTTTTATTCAACAGTATCAGCCAAACAGTAAACCAAAGCTTGCCTTGCTGTCCTAATATCTCCTGACATTTACTTCCAGGTAGTACGTGCATGCTTAGAGTGTGGGAGAGCAAACTGCCTGACAGTAGTATGGCTCTTGATCAGAGCCATCATCTTGATCAGATTACATCCACCAATTCTGCTTTGTGTCTATAGTCTCTTTTTTCCCTGCCTGGTTCTCTAATGTATGCAAGCAGGCTATTTGACCAGAGTGTTCTGCTTTTTGCCTGTTCCAGTTCTGTACAAATAACAACACAGTAATCCACAGTTCAAGCCTGCCCTCTTAGAAGCAAACAGTTTGTGCCTGACTGCTAACATCTTTTTTATAGGTACAGCAAATCCAAAGGTCACTTTCAAGATTTCTGAAGTGGTGATCAATGAAGAAGGAAGAGTAAGTTCCGTGTTCCCCTTGTTTTCCAAATAAATTTGATTTCTGTGACTCTTTTTGGTAAAAATCGCTTTCCTTTTCAATATAAATGATCTTTCTTTATTGTGTTAGCTTAATGGCTTACCTGGAGGCAATGCACTTAGCTGGTTCCTTGTGTTCAACAGTATTTCTCAAGGACTGTTTGATGAACTCAGCTGCAGAGCAGAGTATTTTAGGTGTGAATGGTTAGGCTTCATTATGTGATAGATGTTTTGATTGTTGGCTGCAGACAGTGGAAAAATTGATTGCAAAGAGAAGATATCCCCTTATAAAAGCATGAACATGTGGGAAAAATGAGCTTTGCTTTCACTCCAGGAATTTTGAACAAATGCAGAAATTTCCATAGGCCAATCCAAGGTCTTTGGACAATTGGGAAATTAATCTTACCAAACAGATGCATTAACCTCCATACGTTGTTGGGATCCTCATCAACACTCACCTGTGGGACAGTGGTGCTGATGTTAACCAGCAGTCAGGGAAAGCTGCCAGGATCCTTGGGGTACCACTGTGATTTGTCCCAGCAGGGACAAATTGCAGAACTGTGTATCAATTAGAACCATATTGATAACTGGATGCCATGCAGGATGTTCAACATACAGCAACAAAAACACTTAACAAAACAGCTTGGTACAAATCACCTTCCCTTTGTATTTTACATGGGGAAACTGATCATTCGAGTGAGTTAGTCAAGACACACGATGGATTTGTGAGCAGAATCTGTATTCCTCAAGTCCCAGTCCTTGCTGTGCTGGTCATGAACAGCTCTACTAATATTCTGGTGTCTGGCTGCAGGTGGGGTGAATACCCTGTATTGGAAGGACCAAACAAGCTAAATTGCTTAAGCTGTACAGAAAAAGTTTTCTGTGTCCAGACTCTGATCGTGCATGAAAACTGATTGTGTGGGTTCATCTCAGTCAATGTCAGTCACTCAATTACTCCTTTGTCAACAGATTGCAGATGTTGTGGATAAAGAGCTGGTTCAGCCGTTCGAGATCCTCTTTGAAGGAGTCGAGTACATTGCTAGAGCTGGGTGGACACCAGAAGGAAAATAGTGCGTATGTTAATCCTGTCTCTGCTTAGAGGGTTTGGGCAATGCAGTTAGAAGCAGAATGTAGTGGTCTTTGTCTTCCTTGAGCTTAAGCCTTCTTTCGTTTTCCCATTGCTACAAATACAATTGTGTAAGGAAGGCAACTTCTCCAAAACCAAACAGTCCTTATCTCCTCTGACACCCGGCCCTACTGCTTTGGGAATGGGCACTCACAGCCTTTGATGTATGTGTCCTCTCAGCATCCCTGTGAGAGAGAGTGCAGTGCTATTATCCCCATTTTACAGATGGGGAACTGAGGCCCAGAGAGGCTAAGTGACTTGCCATAGGAGGTCTGTGGCTGGACAGGAGGTGACAGGAGGTCTATGGCTGAGGACAGAAATAGGCCCAGGTTCCCTAGGCTAGCACCCTAACCACTGGACTGTCCTTGCTGACCAGAGTTACTGATCAGAAAACCTGCTATAAGTGCTACTTACATTTGCATGTCATTTTTAACCTTGTAGATGATGTAGTGCAGTGTTTCTAACTCACCAGAAGCTTCTCCAGAATTGCACTTCTCCAGTTCTTGAATCTAAAGATTTCACTTTTTAATTTATTTTCTTCAAATGTGGAAGAAATGCAGGGACACATTTGTTCCATTGTCTTGCTTTTTTTCAGGATTATTTTTAGAGCTACATGTAAAGTCATCAGAAGTATGGCAGGGTCTGCTGCCAGTTCATTTAGGTGCCAGTATTACTCTCTGCCAGGTACAGATTTAAAACATTAATATTTTGATGAGTATCCTGAAACATTAGTTGTTATTCTTCTTCGTTATTCCCTCTGATTTTTCTCTTCTCTTTCTCCTTTAAAGCACAATCCAAATCTGGGGGAATAGAATTAATTAAACTTTTCAACCACCAGTGCTTATGCAATATTGAAATGAAGAGAAATAGTTATGGAAGAGGTTTGTTTTTTGTGGGTGAGATTTTACATGTGGCTTTTTTGCTTACTCTGAAGCTGAACATTCTTGACTCCCCCGAAATGCCTAGTGGTAATGTGCTTCTTTTGAGGTTTTTCAGATCTCTCTACTGTTCATTGTTGTATGTTATTTTCTCTAATACCTGTCTTCTCAACAGTGTTTGGTCCATCTTACTGGATCGTTCCCAGACTCGACTGCAGATAGTCTTGATTCCCCCTGCATTATTCATCCCAGTAGAAGATGATGCAATGGAAAGACAGAAACTTATCAACGCTGTACCAGATTCTGTTACACCTTTAATTATTTATGAGGAAACAACAGACATATGGATAAATGTAAGAATTTGAATTTCAGCCTTGTGTGACAGTTTGTTGTTCAAGACCCTACGTGTAGCACTTGGGCAGTGTTGATGTTGCTGTGCTGCCTAGGAGAATATTCCTGTTGTCCAAATTCTGTGCCAGTTCTAACAGAGAGCTGCTGTAAAGGGCTTATAACACGTAGGGGACAAAAGGATGTGTGATGTGAAAGCAGAGCTGCTTTGCTTGAGGCTGCTAGGTGATCAGAGAGCTAGGAACAGAGCCCAGGACACTGGTGTTCCAGGGTAGCCCCGTTCCCACAGTGTTACCCACTGTCCTCCTCCAGCTTCTTTGTGCATTTGTTCGCCAGAAGCAGTCCCAGCAGGTGAAGTATTCTTCAGCCAGTGAAGATGTATCTAGATGATAGTGGGGGAACATGTCTCAGGGATCTGCTAACAGTCACTGAAAATCCTCCTTAACCACATATATTCTGGTGAAATGGATTCCTGTGTAATGTTTGTGGAGGTATTCTAAATGGCCTGAGCTCTGTTAGACTGCACACTAGTGTGTGAAGCTCACAGTGTAGAAAGGATCGTGCTGATCGTGCTTGTGCTGATCAGTGTCTCCAAAGAGGCATCCTGCTGGGGGTGTACCAGGGTGCAGGAGAGCCTGAGAATGTCAATCACTGGTGGGTAGTTGCATCTTTCAGCAGAGTGTGGGCACAAAGCCTTCCAGTGAATGGTTTCTATACAATGAGTACTCTTTAATACTGTAATTTCTTTTTAGTAATAGTGTGCATGGTTTCAGGATGTGCAGTATGTTGTCTTTTCTCCATTATTTTTCTGGCTGGAGTTTTTTTTTGACTGGCAGCACTTACTGTGCATGTAAGTGCTTCTGATGCTTCAAATGATTGTCACTTGAAGCAAGAGCTGGCATCTTTATGAGTGGGAAGATGATGTCAGTTCATCTTTCTCTAAATAACCCTTCATGGGCTTCTAGACAGCACTGGGCAGTGGTGGCCACCAAACCCTGTCTTATTTTGGTTGGTCTTTGTATGCTGTCTGTGGAGCTGGACTCGCCTCTGTATACAAGCTAGAAAGGTGGGTGCAAAAAAACTTAATTCATTCTGTGGCCAGGATAGAGGCTATCAAGAAGCCTGGACTGTGCAGCATGTGGCTGCTGTTTGCAGACATCTCCTGGCTCTTATGTATTATTTGTTCTGCCAGTAAGGGACACTGTGCTGCAACCTGCTGGTGTAACCTGTGCAGTTAGAGGTACTTATATGTGACTTCAGTGCCAAAGTCCTGCTGATAGCATCAACGTGCTGTTCTGACTCCACAGATCCATGATATCTTCTATGTTTTCCCTCAAACCCATGAAGATGAGATAGAGTTCATTTTTGCCTCTGAGTGTAAAACAGGATTCAGACACCTATACAAAATTGTCTCAGTTTTGAAAGAGAGCAAATATAAACGGTCATCTGGAGGACTCCCTGCTCCAAGTAAGTGAATTTATTCTCTTGCTTTAATTGGGCTTTTGCTGCTGACTGGTGAGGAAATGAATGTCTTTCCAGGTGGCAAGAATCACTAGAAACTCCTGTTGTTTCCTGAAAAGCCCTTCACTGTACAGTCATTCCTCTTGAAATTGTATGGGGGTTATTCTGTGTGCAGCATGCCTTAATTTTAACCCTGATTCTTTCTTGCTGACTGGAGGTAAAAGTTTCAAAAAATCAAATGCCAGATGGGCTTCCCTGTGGTACTGTGAAATGCACTTAGTTGATGGGATTGTTTACTTCCTGACTGCAGTGGCTCAATCATTATAGCAATAATGTGTCTATCTCTGATATGAAGGTTCAGTGTATCTAATAGGTGTGCATTGGTTCAAGACTTGGTTTTGGAAGTGAAACCAACATAATTCCTGTCAGCCTTTACAAGCAGATCGTAGCAGAGAGGCTGATAAGAGCACAGTTTGAACATGCTGTAAAAAGGTCTGCAGAGGGCCTCCCTGGCTAAGGGGGCCCAGTTAGTCCCTTTAAAATGAACATATGTGCTTGGCAGCAAAACCTATGATATGGCAACTATTCAGAGAATTCCTATCTGCTCTTAAAAACAGTCATGGTATTGCTGTATAGACAGAGATGTTAGTAGGAGAAAATTACTGACAGCTGTTGCAAGTGGAAATGCGGAAAGAGTAATTCCAAGCAAAAAAAAAAAAAGGAAATCAATGCAAGGACCATGTGCTTCCAAGCTGCAGTCAGAGTTTGCATGGTGGAGCTGTGCACAAAGCTCCTGGAATGTTTTTTCCACAGTATGTGTTCTTTCATTTACAGTTTCATGCTGTGATATTTAATTTACTTGTTGTGTGTTGAAGGCACTCGCTGAGTTCTGCATGCACAAAAAGTGCACCTCATTTTACTGTAGGTCCTGGTATAGTGCAATTGTTGGTGTGGATTTTTTTCCAAAAAAGCATTATATTGGGTTCATTAGACTTCTATGAATGTATCCAATTACTTTTTCTTGCTAAGTCTCCCTCCTTCCACCATAAATGAAGCCATTTTATAAAAGCAGAGCTGCTTCCCAGCCCAAAGCAAAATTCCCCATTTTTGACACCAGAGATTCCCTTTGCACCCTTTTCAATATTAAAAAAAGCAAGAAGCAAAGCTATCCAGGTGTCAGTTTGAGAGTATCTGTGAATCCTTCAATGCACAGCTCTCAGAATGTTTGCTCTGACATTTGTCTGCAGAGTTGACAGAGATATGGGTCCTCTGCAAAGCCACGTTGTTCTTGGCTTGTGTCTAACAGAAAAGCTTGGAAAGAAAAAGTGTCATTGTGTCTGTGTGTTCTGTAAAATGTGCAACTGTAAAATCTGTGTTTGCAGGTGACTTCAAGTGCCCCATCAAAGAGGAGATTGCCATTACCAGTGGGGAATGGGAAGTGCTTGGCAGACATGGGTCCAATGTAAGTCTCTGCTCTTACTGCATGGATATCTCGCAAGCAATGCAGGCATGCTGGAGGACAGCTGGCATTTGGCTTCTTCCTTGCAGATTGCTGGACAGTAACTTCAAGTTATAGAAGCAGTGGGAGGAAGGCTTGGTGGGGAAAGAAGACCGGGGCTTTGTTTCAGTCATAACTGGATATTGAAAGATGTGTTGTTTTTCTTTGTGACAGATCTATGTAGATGAAGCCAAAAAACTGGTGTATTTTCAAGGCACAAAAGACTCTCCTTTAGAGCATCACTTGTACGTTGTTAACTACAAGAATCCTGGAGAAGTAAAACGACTGACAGAACGTGGTTATTCTCATGCCTGCTGTGTCAGCCAGGTATCCATCTGCCCGAGGCCTGGATAGGCAGGGCTGGCTGGGTGTGTTTTGTTTTATTGCCAAACGTGTCCTTCACCAATCAACAGACAAGGCTGTATTTCAGTATAACAAAAGTAGATGTTACACTGTGCTGTGTGCTTAATATTGTACAGTGAGTGTGCAGCCACCTCTGGAAACTGGATCTAACCTCCTGGTCAAGGTTGTTCTTCAGCTTGGACAGGAGCTCAGGCAGGCTGAATTGTTTGAAACCAAGCCTGGCTCTTTTTGTCTGAAGTGGGCTGTGGAGCAGTCCCTGAGGAGGTGGTGAACCTATGGGGAGTTCCAGGCGTTTGGGGCAGTAATCTGCTCTGTCTGGAGAAGAATATATGACAAAGTCCTCATGCCACTGCTGGTTTTGCAGGTGTATTTTTAGTTTTTAAATGTCAGTACCTGAATCTTGCTGAGGACTGTGGCTTCTCAGAGTCTATTACTCTTATTGCAAAAGAGACTTCTTGGTTTAATTTGGTTCTTAAACATCTTCCAAAAGATATGAATACAGGAAAAAAATGATCCTTTTGCTTGTACCTCTGTATCGAGGAGTTCAAGATAACACTTTTTCTCTCTAGGATTGTGACATGTTTATCAGCAAGTACAGCAATCAGAAGAACCCACACTGTGTGTCCCTTTACCGGCTGACAGGACATGAAGATGATGCAGCTCAAAGGACAAAGGAATTCTGGGCTACAATTTTAGATTCAGCAGGTAACAGAATTGTTAAGAAACTGCAAAAAGACAATCAGGAAGATGGGCGAGACTTCCCAGTATCTAATCTGAGATTTGCTGTTGTGGGTAATTAGGCTTCTCTGTGAAACTCACGCTTGTGTGAAAAGTTTGTGGAAGTGGAGGAGTGACGTTTTCAGCTCGATGACAAATGAGTATAAACTGGCCATGAAGGAATTTAGAGTGGAAAGTTTCTGCTGCCAGAGCCAGTAGAAAGCATGTTTTGCCATCAGTAGGGGGGTAGTTAAGTGAGCTTGTTTACTTTTTAACTAAATGCAAGTTAATGAGCTTGCTTCTGGGGAGGGCCACACACTTCTGAAGCAGTTCTGTGTTGCTGTCTGCTGGTGTCTTTGTGACACAGCTCTTTAGGTTTTTATTTTTCCACTGTGATTCTGTTACTTTTCATCTTGTTGCTGCATTCAGGGGAAAAGAGGAATGGGTATGTGACAGGACAGAGAAAGCTCCCAGATGTCTGGGGCATTCCCAGCCTCTGCCTCATCCCAACTACATCCACTGGCAGTGTGGGAAAGCTGTGTTGTTGGGGATGCAGCAGTAGTGGTGACGGGACAGGGCTGGAGCAGAGCTGTCCATTCCCTGTTAATCTAGGCTCTTTGTGCCTTCCCAGGCCCTCTTCCTGATTACATTCCTCCAGAAGTGTTCTCCTTTGAGAGCTCCACGGGGTTTACACTCTATGGGATGATGTACAAACCTCACAATCTGCAGCCTGGGAAGAAGTACCCTACTGTGATCTTCATCTATGGAGGCCCTCAGGTGAGTGCGGTGTTTCTGAGTGGTGGGGTGGACCCTTTGAATCCTTCATTTCTGTGACACAGAATGACTTCTTCCCTTCATAGCAGACCACAAGCAGGGAGAGAGAATCCTATGGTGGAGGAGGGATTTTGAAAAATCTACATTATAAAGCTGTATAAAACATTGAAAGGGAAGTAAATAAAAAAGTCTGAAATGGGATTAAGAGGTTTGATTACATAGGTGACTGTGTCATTGTTCTTCTGTTCCAGGTGCAGCTAGTGAACAATCGATTCAAAGGACTCAAATATTTCCGGTTGAACACCTTGGCCTCTTTAGGCTATGTTGTTGTTGTTATTGATAACAGGGGGTCCTGCCACCGAGGGCTGAAGTTTGAAGGAGCCTTTAAATACAAAATGGTAAGTGCAGCTCTGGATCTGGTTCATCATTTTCAGCCAGAGCCAGGTTGGAGTCCTGGTGTTACCTGAGCTGAAATCCCAGTCTGGCACAGATATCCAACGTAGTTTGTGCAATGCTACTTAGTTTGGGGAGGGAAACTGTGTGTAGTTGAGCAGAACGAGCGTGAGAGAGGAAAGATGTTCAGCATGGGATGGATACAATATCAGAATTTGAGTTTGCAAGCTTATCACACGTAAGGGGAACCTTGTTGGTAAGGGGAGCTAGATCATAAAGGTCCAATCCAACTCAAGCTATTCTAGGGTCTCTGACTCTCACCAGAAATACAGTTTTTATCTGGTGGCTTAGCATGTGTTTATTCTCCTAAGAAGGAAAGGAGTTGTCTTTCTGTAACATGCCTAGTACAGTGGAGTGCTGGTGTGTGGATGGGTGCTGCACAAACAGAAGCAGCAAAAGTATGAATGCAGGTTACTTTCGGAAATCATGAGAATGTGCCTTTTGTCTGGGTCTGACAACTTCCTTTTTCTCTCCCTTCCCAGGGACAAATAGAAATTGATGACCAAGTGGAAGGGCTGCACTACTTGGCATCCCAGTATGACTTCATTGATTTGGATCGTGTTGGTATTCATGGCTGGTCATATGGAGGCTACCTCTCTCTTATGGCTTTAATGCAGAGGTCAGATATCTTCAGGGTATGTTCGTACATTGAGTACTTATTCTGGTGGTGCAAACAGAATTTTTCCTTTAATCATGTAACCTCCCTCAGGTGTTCACAGCACAAAGACAAGTGGGACACAGTGCTCTGCCTGTTTCCTTCAAGATTTTTCTAGTTAGGCGAGTTCAGAGGAAGTCTGCTTTTTTAGAATACCTTCCTTCTACGGTATTTCTAATTAGGCTTCCAGACTTTGGCTAACCTTCTGATGCTTCCCAGAAAATAGATCTTAAAATTTATTCACACTTCAAAGCTAGTGCTTTCGAACAAGTCACTGTACAGTTTTAAACCAGCATTCATGGATACTGCAAGAGCAGTTCTCTGCACTTGTGTTTCCATCTGTAGCATGGGGATGAGATGCTCTTCCTCTGTTAGCCTGCTGTCACTGTTGGGTTCTCAGGGGTGTCTGGGACTGGTATTCACACTGAGTCTGTACTGGAATAGATAGGTGATCCAGCTTTTCAAATGGAGACAGTGAGACCTGTGCAGCTTCAATAAGTCATACTAATAGAGATGCCTCATACATATCTTACAAATGCAATTCAATGTTTAAGTGCTGCTCTTTCCCACCTTCACATGCAAGTTAGCAGCCTTCATTCTCAGGGCAGTGTGGTATGACTGCACCATCGCTGTGCTTGCTTCCTTTAGCTCCACATGAGCTGGACATAATCCTGACCTGATGTGAAGGTACTGTGCTGTCTGTGAGGTTTCCTGCATTGATGTGAGCAGGCTGCTTTTGGGTATCCAAGAAATGTAACGTGAGAGGAGTGTGGGGCAGTTCAGTCGGCCAGTTTTCTTGAAACATCTGAGAGTCTGTTTTGAGCTGAGGTGAGGAGGATCAACTGTTCACCCCATTCAGATGGTACTGCCTCTCTGGAGCTGTGTAGAACAGCTTTAAGCTAATTGATTTTTGAGCTTGCAGTAATGTAACAGTGCTGCTGTAGCTTTACCAGTCTGAGGTCACGTGTGCTGAAGGTCCCTCATATAGTCTCAGCTGTTGCCTACTTTGTGCCAGCTTAGCTCTTTGTGCTGTGAATCAACCAAGGGAAATTACCCCGCTGAGAAACAGCACCACCATCTCTTCCTCCTCCCCTCTTTACTCTCCTTCTGTCCTAAGAGAATGGTTTCTTTGCAGTCTTGATCTATTCCCAAATCAGTTTGTAACAGTGTGTTCTGTAACAGCCAGGGGGACAACCTGGCCGTGGGGAGAGGTGCTGGAAGGAGGTGCTTTTGCTTACATGACTTCAGAACACTGTAGTAAATGACAAAACTGTTGTTGGGCAAGTGTCAGAGGCAGAGATGTGGTGAGAGTTGAATATTGCTCTCAGCACGGTTTGCTCTTTGTGACTCTTCTTGCTTTGTCTAAATCCAACCTCAGTATTTTTGGGAGGTTTAATCATTACTTTTTACAAGTCCTTAAGGATAATTATATTTTTACTTTTAAAAATACTTGACTGGAAAAGAGTTTTGTTTAGTTTTTTACTGGTCTTTTTTCACAAGCATCTCTGCATGCTGCTGGTAGGTATGCAAGGGGGATTACCGAGTCCTAGGGAGCTTCTAAGCCCAGTTTCTGTCCAATGCTCAAATAAAAGGTTCTGTGACCCCAAAGAAGAGCACTCCGCATTTTGAATAAAATCCACTTACCTCCAGCAGGACCTGCAGGTGATCTGCTCAGTGCTGCTCCTGATTTGTCCATAGGATCTTCCTGCATTTCAGCAGCTGCCTGGACATAAGCTGTAGCTGAAGCCTGCAGATGCACATAAGCTGTGGGAGCACTGCAGGCTGTGGACTGTAAGGCGAGCTCACTAGTGTGTATTCTGAACACTGGGGTAGAGATGAGGGAGGGAGGAACATCCCCAGATCAAGGTGTCAGGGTTGTCATTCCCTTCCCCGTGCTGAGAGTCGTGTTGACCTTGCAGGTTGCCATCGCCGGAGCGCCCGTCACGCTGTGGGTTTTCTATGACACGGGTTACACAGAGCGCTACATGGGCCACCCGGAGCACAACGAGCAGGGCTACTACCTGGGGTCAGTGGCCATGCAAGCTGAGAAGTTCCCTTCTGAGTAAGTTTGGTTCTGCAAACTTTCCTTCTTTTTGTCAGGAACAGTTAAGCCCCACAGACAGATATTTATTTCCCTGTTCTTGGCAATTAGATCTTGGAATCATAAATGCTGGTATTAAAACAAAAACAACGCTAATGAACTTAATAGACTTGAATGAACATTTGCATAATTACGGACCATTCCAAGTAATCCCTTTTATCCTAGCTGTAATTAAGACTATTTTTATGTCTAAAGAAATGACAAACACATCTCCAGTTATATGATTAGCAGTTTAGAGTCGCAGTAAGCTAGACAAAAGTTAGTTTATCAGCATGCTCTCTGCGTGCTTTCAGTCTGCGTCAGCACAGAGCTGTCTGCAGAGCAGGCTGAGGCTGCAGGCTTTCTTGCCAGAGAGCTGAAAACCAGCAGTGATTCTGAGCAAGTGTTAAGCTGTTGAATTATCCAAGATAGGAATTGTTTCTGAAAATAATGATAATGTACAGATAAAAGGTCTGACCATTATGTGCATATACAGGAAGAGCCTGTCGAGGAAGAAAGGGTGTTTGTGACAAGCTGCAGGTCCATCCAGGACAATTCACAATAGCAAAGTTACTCTCTTCAGTGCAGCTGTTTTTACTGTTTGCTCTTTTGGAAGGAGTGTTTATGGACTGTGACTGGCAGCTTCTGGGATGCTATCTAGAAATGTTTGTCTCTTGCTTTTCTCAGACCAAACCGTTTGCTGCTGCTACATGGGTTCTTGGATGAGAACGTTCACTTTGCACACACTAGTATTTTGCTCAGCTTTTTAGTGAGAGCTGGGAAGCCATACGACTTGCAGGTAAGGCAAGAATCAGCACGTGAAAATGAAGTGTTGTCTTTGAGGAGTACAAATTGAAGCTTGTATTCAAGCTGGGCAGCTTGGGCTTCTGGAGTAGAACACTTGTATTTGAGCCTACTGTTTTTTTGTTTGTTTGTTTTTTTAAAGGAAGATTTATGAGTAAACCAAACAACTTGTAGGTAAATGAGCAGTTAAGGCTGCTCCCAAGGAGATCTACAGTTTGGAAGCAGTACTACAGTGTCTGTGCAGCACAGAGCAGGCTTATGTAATTAATGAAACTCTGCTGGTTCTGTGCAGATGTAGCCCAGGTACCCTGTATCGTGCTGGAGAACTGGAAGCACGCTGATGTACGTGATGGCTCCATGCAGGATCTGCTTCTGTTCAGTGAGGAGTCGCACCCAGCTAAGCTCATGCTGGATCAGAGGATGCAGTTTGTTTTCTCCAGGCTCAGGCAGTAGAGGAGGGGATGCTGAAGTGCAAACAGAACTGGTGCATGGGGATGACACTCACGTTTTGAACTCCAGGACCAGTTTAAATGTTGGCACTCAAAAGTTTTGTGGGTACTCATGACTTTATTTTATATTTTAGATCTACCCTCAGGAGAGGCACAGTATAAGGGTGCCTGAGTCGGGAGAGCACTATGAACTCCATCTACTGTATTACCTGCAAGAGAATCTGGGCTCTCGCATTGCTGCCTTGAAGGCAATGTAACTGACCTCTGCAGAACTCTGCTCAGCTGGCTGCTGTACCGAACGAGGAGATAGGAAACTAGAGAAAATAGATTGGAACTTTGCATTTTGGTGCCTGCCACATGTACACACACATACATACACAGAGAGACACTTTTTTAAAGTAAATTTGGTGCCATATAGGGAATTAAAGGACGATGATCTAATAACTTTAAAGCTTAAGGTGTAAATAAAATCCAGTGTCTGTAATGTAATGCAGTACCCTGGGTGTTCTCTTGGGGGAGGAGCTCAACTGAAGATAACGTACTTCCACAGCACCAGACCTTCATGTTTTAAAAAGACTCTGATCTAATCAGTGTGTTTTTACAGTGTGTTCCTTGGTACCATGACACTAGAAAGTTTACTCACTGCACAGCAGGAATTTACCTGGATGGTTACAATGTGTACATTACATTTTGAATGTCATTGTATAGCTTTTATGCTTCCTAAACAGGATGTGTCTCACTCTAGAAAAGTTGGTCACAAGTTAGACACATCCCCTATCTAGCTTCTGATTGTTTTTTAAGGAGAAACACTTTTAAGCTGCCCTGAGAAGATTTTAAATTTTGGATTCAGTTCAGCTGATGCCAGATTCTTTTCAATAATTGCTTCTCAGGATAAGTCGTACTGGTTTTCCTTCCAGCAGATTGATATCCTATCCTGATTGTACTTGATTTCACCTGGGGAAGTGAAGTGGTGTTTTACTGTGATGTGAGCATAACAATCTTTTATTCTGGGATGCAAACTAATTGAAGGCAAATTGCTGAGACTTTGTGAATTTTAAAAGAAGCTTAAAAGTGCAGCCCGTTCCTCGTTGACATTTTTCCCTGATGTTCATTCTGGATCTGTTTTTGCAATACTGTTTTCTGACTGTCACATCAGCATGATGTAGATATTTGCATCCTGTTACAGTTTTAAGATTCAACGCTCTGATTCAAGGGTCTGCAGAGGATTTGGTGAGAGGAGACCTTACGAGCACTACACGTCAGGCAGTGTGAGCTGCTTCATTGAATTTCCTGATATATTCAAGGCACTGTTTCCCAGGCTCTGCTCAGTCCTCTGTTCCCAAGTCATTTCCAGCACTGCTGCATAGCACATGACTACAATGCTGTGTTTGAGAACTCCCTTCTGCATAGCTTAAGGTAACCCCTCTAAGCCTAAAGGATATGAAATCCCAGTTGTGCTTTTGTTAGTGAGGTTTTAACTAAGCAGCAGGCTTGGCCAAAAAGTGTCTTATGTGAAGTTACTTTAAACTTGCAACAAGTTGTTCAAGATAGAAATCCATGGCAAAATGATTCTCTTTAATCCAGGAAATTCTCCCCTTGGGACCTGCCTCTGAGACTCTTGTAAGTTTTAATGGTTTTCTTAGAAACCTAAGAACTTCCTTTCCTTTTTGGTGCTAGAGAGAAGCTGAGCATGGTTTTTCTTTTCATCTTTTCAAAACATGGAATCACTCTCAGTATTTATGCTCTTAGTGCTCCACATGTACCCTTGTCTTTTCCTCGCCGTGGTGCTGTTCAGCTTGGCACTGAGACTCTGGGACTTAACACAATCTGATTGTATTGTAACAAACTGCACATTTTACAGCCAGGCTGCTGAGCTCTGCCAGAGCCACTGCAGTTACACGGGTGTGAAATCTGTATGTGAGAACAGGATTTGGTTTGGGGATTATGCAAACGATAGCCAAAGCAAACAGACATGCAGTAGGTGTACATTTCCCTGACATGGGAGTGTTTGGTTTGGGGAGGAGAGGTTCTGTTTTTCAGATCACTGTTTTTTTTTTAGAGGATGAGTTGGACTCCCCTTAGCAGGTCAGTAACAGCCTTACTGCTGGGATCTGGAGAAGGGCATGGCGTGCAAAGAGCCCGGCTCCTTCTGACATCTCCTCTCTGAGAAATGAACTGTGGCTGAACCTGGGCTGTCTGCTGCAGTCAGTGCTGAGAGATGAGTAATTGTGCTGAAGCTTTTGGTCTAGAGCAGCGTGGCAGGGAGTACAGAAAAGTAAAAGCTGTCACGATGGAGTTCTTTTCTGTTCCTTACATGTTTATGCTGTATGATATATACATATATCTATATTTGTTCATATATACATATATGTATAAAATTACACGTGGATAGCATCACCTTTTCCAAGGTTGTTTATATTTTGTTCAATATTTAACTTGCTTTTGGGGTGTTTCTGCTCTTTTTCTAGAGGTGAGTACCCTTGAATGTAAATGTTTATGATTTTTAAGACAAAATTAATCCTTTTGTGTAAAAAAAGAAAAAAAAAAAAGAAGAAAAAAAAGCCTTCATCAAGCAATGCTACTTTGGCAACTGAAGAACTAAATGTTATGCAAGTAAACCAGGCTGGATTTTGATTTAGCACAGGATTGTAAGTGCTGACATATAACTTTTAACTAATACATCTTTTCTTCATTTTAAATATATCTATTGAAAAGCTATCAAAGTGCAAAGCACTGTAAGTACTCTATTTTGCAACATAAATTACATATTCTTTCTTTCCTACAAAAGTTTTTTCTTTTTACAGCAGCCAAGCACTTTAAGACCCCATCCTCTCTTATCCTACAGAAGTGCTGGGAGGATTTATCAGCAGAGCTTTGCAGTTCTGGTCAGAGGTGCCTCGTGTGAGCTTTGAGACTGAGGTAGGGAGGTGCTGAGGGCTCTCAGAGCACAGATGGGTGCCTGGGGGTCGGATACAGCAGTGTGCTCTGTGCCCAGCAGGCACCTGCACTGAGCAGGAGGGAGATGCAGCCTTCAGTGGATATTGGCTTCTTCCCAGCAGTTGCACTGATGTCTTTTGAGATGAATGTTTTAATGTCTTGTACTTAAAAGAATACATGAAACCTGGGGATCTGAGCTGTGATGCTGAAGTTGAATGGTGATGCCAGCAGTGGTGGTGGCTGGGATTTGTTGAGGTTGTTTCTGTGGGAGCTCATTCTTTGTCCCCTCTTATGGCAGCTTTCAGGAATTTTTTCCAAATGGGCTTTCACCCTTCACACAGGAATTGCACTCCTACCCCGTCCCTTTGTTTCCAGTGGTCTTTTATTCAGAACAAAATATAATTGGTAATTAACCAGAGCTGCTTAATTTTTGTAAGCTCTCTTAACTTCAAAATGTTCGTTAATGAAATAATGAATTCAAACCTCATGTAAAGCTTTGAAAATCAATTAGCTTCATTATATCACAGCGGAAAATGCATTCCCTGGTTATTGCTAGTTCTGTTTGGAGAAGGAGAGGGAAATACTTTGAGCAGAGATATGGGGTGCTGCTTCCTCCCGAGCGCAGCGTGTGCCACACACTGCAGAGATTTCCCAGCTCTGACCATGGGGTCCCAACACCACTCCCACAGGAGGAGCACCGGGTTGTGCTTCTGCTGTGTCCGTGCATAAGGCTGTTTTGCTGCTGGCATGACGTTCGGCTTCTGATGAGGCAATAATAGAGTACAAGCAAATGAAATAATGGCCCAGATTAGGATACTGCCTTGAATTGCCTGTTTACATGAGTACCAGAACCCTGCAAAGACTTCTGTGCGCCCCTCGCGGGTCTTCGGGACGGTCCTTTCGAAGAGAGCTCTCTGTGGTTTTTACTTAGATGTTCTGCACAAAGTTCAGGTTTTTAATTTTAGAAGAAGTGCCTGCTGTTTGCATTAGCAGAACTGCATGTCTCACTCCAGTGGGTTTATGGTCTCCCTCCCCCACCTTTCTTGCGACTTAGCTTTTAATCGTGTAAAGTGGAGACATTTGTTTTGCTGCTTTTTATTACAAAACCTTTGTGGCAATAAAGATGCTGCTAAATAAATTGAATTAAATGGTTCCCCCCTCCCCTCCCCCTGCTCATTTTCAACTGTCTCTCTTCTTGATTTAGTAGAGTTTGTGCGTAATTAGATCTCCTTGCTTTGTGCTGCAGAGAGCAGCAGTGATGGAAAATGTGCGTGTGCACTCTATGCACTTGTTGGGCATTTAGTGAAAGCATCTGATTTTTCTTGTCCCTTGTGATTAATTGATATAAACAGGAAGTTCAGGCACTTGCTTGGAATAACCTGCTTCTTCCCATTCCTGAGTGCTGGGAGCAGCCCTGGGCAGCTGCAGCTGTGGATCTGGGCACATTTCTTCCTTGCTGCCCAGGGTGGGCACAGCACAGTGCAGGACGTGGGTCTGGTGCTGTTGGTAAGGTGGGAGGGCAGGAGGGGATGCATGCCGCGTCCTGCTTGGCCTCACAGGTCTTGATGTGATTGGTCTTTATGGGTGCCCCAGTTCTGCTTAGTGCTGACCCAGAATGGATGGATGGTGGAGGGCACGGGGTGGTCATGTTCAGCAAGTTGTGTCACTCATTGATTGCTGATTTTTCACTCTTAGAGCAGGACTACCTGTTCTTGGCATGGCTTGCCTTGGAATGGACCTTAGGAAGACCTGGTCCCAACCCCTGGTCGTGTGTAGGGTTGCCACCCACGTGATCAGGTTTCCCAGGGCACCCATTCTGATGGCTCTCAGAAGTGAGCTGGTAACCAGCAGTGTGATGATGCATTGCATCTCTCTCTGGGGTTTTAGACCCTACCATAACATGGCAAACTTTCCCTGTAGTGTTCAGGAGCCCTCATGCAGCACAAGCTGGGCCACAGGCATCATGCCAGCCCAGGGCCAATTCTGGGGCTCTGGCTGCTGCCCCTGAGCTGGATGTGCAGGCATCCTCACCACAATGAGCAGATAGCAGAGGGGAAGGTTTCCCCATTTGCTCCTACGTGCCTGGCGAATGAACTGCTGCAAACCTTCTGGGTGGTGGTGATTTTCATCTGTATGATGAATAAATTATGAAGTTGCTTCCTTAACTAATTGCTATCACTTGAGCTGACTGTACCTCTGGGTATGCAGCGGAAGCAAATATTTCTCTTTAAAATAGACTTTCTGCAGATATTTGAGCTGGGCCAGACTAAATGTGCTCCTTGAGACAAGAAGTTTGAAGGGCAGAATGAACTTCTCATCCCAGATGGGTCACATCCTAGATGAAATTTTTCAGAAAATCACTGTGCTGGCCATGGTGTGAGTGCTGCGTGCTGGAGGCTGCCTGGGTTTTTGCTCAGTGCTCAGGGCTTTGCAAACATGAGAGCACATTTATCCGTGTCTGTGCATTGGGTTTGCTTCTGAGTGAGCAAAGCCTGTAGTCGATGTGTTTAAGGATCTTTGCCATGGGTAGGACTGATGGAAAGCAGCCAGTACTGTTGTGTTCCGAGGAGGGAAGGATTGCTATTGGAGAAAAGAGTGAAGCTGGAGGTGTTGGGCTGTGCTGCAGACTGGCTATGTGACTCAGAAGCTGAGCACTGCCCTTGGCTTCCTGCTCACTCAACTGCAAATCTGCATAGAGCTGGGTTGGGCAGGACCTGGGCCTTTGGGTTTTGGTGCAGTTGTAAATATAAGAGGAGCTCCTGTGGTGGTGGCAGCTTTGTGCCAGGATCTGATGGCTGAGGCACTGGAGCCAGCAGAGGTGTGATTCTCAGGGAATGATGCATTAGTGGCTCCCGTGTTTCCACGTCGTGCTGTCAGATGAGCACCTGCCCCACTGGGCAGGCAGACTGAGCATTCTAGCTTGGGTGGTGCTTATTTCCAGGCCAGGTTGGTGGCTGTCGGGTTGCAGGTTCCTCCTACCCTTCCCCATGCACCTCCATTGACTGGCATTAACAGAGGCTGCAACTCTTTGGGCTTTTGGGACCCCATTTCTGCCCACTCTGAGTCCTCTCCCTTGGCTGCTAGGGAGGAATGATACCATGGTTCCCATGGAGACTCATTCCTTCCCCTGTATGGCATTGCTGCAGCACTTCACAGCCTTTTTCTGTGTTTTCCTGCACAGTTTAGAAGGGGGGTTCATTAGCAATGGGGCAAGTTGGTGGGCATGAATGTGCTTCCTGCTGCTTGTTGCTGGATGGAGCTCAAAAATGCCCTTTGTGCCAGCAGAACATTGCTTCATCCACACTGCTGCTGGGCTCCACGCACCCAGCAAATCCCCTACAGCTGTGCTGCCTGCATGTCCCGGATGTGGACCAATGCTCCAAGTTTGTCCTTGGTGTCCTGGCTGCAACAAGGGGAATCCTGTTGCGTGAGAGCATTGAAGGGTCCTGGTGTGGGGTTTGTGATGATGAGAGCTGCTCACCCCTCCAGTTTTCAGCATTGCCCTGTGCTGGTCCTGCCCCAGTCCCATCCTACCCCAGCAATTTGTGCTCTGTTACAATCTATTTTTATTGTTTGGAGTTCACAGTTCTGCTGTGGGGCAACAAACCAGAAATCTCTTTCCAGGAAGAACTAATGCACTGAATAAACCCTCTGCACACCTTACGAGAGAAAGAATGGATCTGCAAATGGTACAGGAGAGCAAATATCTGCATCTTCCTCCCCGAAGGCTTTTCTCAGGCTGAGCCAAAAGACGGAGCTGTGGTTGGGTCCCTGGAGATGGGGGCTCGCGCTCCTCCCACGCTGCGCAGCCCGGCTGGCCGGGAGCCAGGCTGTGCACTTCGCAGGGAATTCGCAGTTTCAGTGGGTTTTGGTTTGTTTTTTTTTTTTGTTTTTTTTTTTTCTGCTCTGAAACAGATCAAAAGCAAAACAGCAGATTTGTTCTGCCAAGCGAAATTCTGGAGAGGCAAAATCTGAGCGTTATCACTTTGAATGAAAGCCTTTCACGTTTGTGTTTGACAGTGTTGTAGTTGGAAAGTTTAAACCTGCTTGAAATGGAAAGCCAAAATGATGGAACGGAGCGGTTGGGACCTTCTGGAAACTCTCCTGTTGTCTTCCAGGCACGTCCTTGTCTAAGCAGTCCCAGTGTCATTCGGCTCGACCCCTCTTTGTGTTGGCTGTGTCCGTGCTGATGGAACATTCCTGGCACAGCAGCAGGCCTGGCGTTGGCAGGGCACAGACCCTTTTTCTTTCCCATTGTGTTTGGAATTTCACTATTTTATTTTTTTTTCCCCAGCTGCCATTCCCCTTCGCACAGTGCAGTGGTGGAGGAGCAGCTGGATGCGTACCTTCACCTTTACATTTCTTAAAATGGAATCACAGCAGTCGCCAGCTGAACACCTGAAGTGACTGGCGTTGGTTTCCTGCCAGTGCCACTCAAAAAATCCACAACTTTGGCTTCATCGGCCCCCATTGGCAGCTTGGAGGTCAGGTTTTGCCCGGGGAACACGCAGTTGTCCAGTGATTCGGGAGCCCTTTTCCCAGAGCAATGGGCCCTTTCTTTGGGGCACAATGAACCCTCTTGCTGCCTTTCTTGCCTTTTCTTCCCGTGCTTTCCCACATTCTGTTCACACCTTCATGAATATTCAGAGGCCATTGGCCATATGAAGCTATTGAGAGCTCTTGTTAACACTTCTCCTAATGACATGCACCTTCAATAGAAAACAAAAACACAGATAAGAGCTTGTTAGTGGAGACCCTTGTTCCCCACCTAACAAGGTTTCCATTGACTCGGACACTTGTGGTGACACATTGCTTGCTCTCGCTGTTTCCTCTTTTGATTTGAGACTGGCTTTTACGGAGGGTTTTTTTTCAATTTTTTTTCCCTTTTTCTTTAATTGCGCGGTTTTAAGCTAATTAAGAAGGAGGTCAGGGCTCCCTCCCGGTGCCGAACTGGGTGTGCGGGTGGGAGACACTCAGCTGCGGCTCGTGGGAACGTGGCATTGAGAGCAGCACTGGGACACGAGTCCCAGTGCCCCGTGTCCCCATTGGCCAAAGCGCTGTCCCCAAGGCGATGGGGGGACACTGAAACACCTCCAAGCTCCTTTGCCGTGCCCTCCAGGTGCTCCTGGGGGAGTTGTTCCTATCACAAGGGCTCTTCTCCATCCTCTGGTCGTGTTCTGCTCCCACTGCTACCCGTGAGGTTTTCATTAGGCTGAGCCCACCCATTCGATCCTGTGAGATGCCCGCTTGGATTTTTTTTTTCTTTTTTTCTGGCCACGCCTCATTATTTCTGCTGTTATTGGGCTCTTGCAGCGTTGTTTGTTGGCTTGTGGAGGCCCCTTAGTTTCTATGGATACTGCTTCCCCAAGTGGCCAGGCTATCAATTAAGACAGCATCGTGTCTGAATTCTTCCCGGGGACCTCGTGAGGAGGCAGAGGTGACTCCCCCAAAATGCTGTACTTGTTGCAGCACTGCTGCTCATTTGTGTTTTCTTAGCATTGCCACTCAGGGTTTCTACAGCTGTAGGTAGTTAAGGATTTTTCAGAAATTTCCAGCCCCTCCAGTGGCCCAAGACCCCGAGCTCTGGTCGTTCCCCAGTGGGAATCGATGTCCTGGGGCAGGGGGCAGCAGAGAAATGGGCTTGGGTTGTAGTGCCAGTTCTGGATGGTGATTACAGTTCTTTATATGCTCTAAACTAGTTTATCTATCCCCAGGTAGATGCGTGCTGCCAGCAGTGCTGCAATATCCATCCAGGGCTGCCCAGAGGTACGAGGAATAAACTCGCATGTTATTAGCTAATAGAGGGAAGTGATTCGATATGGCTCTCAGAAGCTGGAGCAGATAAATAGGATGATAAATGTTGGCATTAGCAGACGTGACCGACTCCTCTGTCTCTGTGATTTGGTAGTGCCCAGTAATTAAATAGTTGGAGCCTAATGTATTTTAAACTAGAGCCGCAGCCTGTAAATCAAGCAGATTATGCTCTTCCCTGCTGTGTGCTCTCTGGTTCAGGAAGAATTCCCATTCCTGTGGCACAGCTGCTGCTGGCCACCGCATCGTGGCCGTCAATCCCATCTTGGAGCCCAGCAGGCAGCCTGGGAGAGCACCCTGCAGCCTTTCCAGCTTGGGTTGCGTCCTTGTGGTTGGACCAGCTTCATATAAACATGCAAACACACGCAAGATGGCAGCAACCCTAAAGCCCTGCTGCAAAATGTGCCAGTTGCAGCTGAAACCTGTACCTCCTCGCTGCAAGAGCATCCCCATCTCATTTGTACTTGCACCATGGTTTGGTTTTCTTTGCAGCCAGACTTGCACTAAATACGCATTTTTGTCATACTTTTACATAGTTTGTCCAAGAAGGAAACGCAGCTATTTCCCACTGAGCCCAGAGTTGCATCAAAGTAGGAGCTATTTTTTATCTTCATACAAAACTATTCTCCATCTCTCATCGTCCTTCTGGCCAGAGCTGATTTTTCTGTGGGAGGCTGGATGTATGATGTAGAGTTTGTCCATTAACATTTAGCAAAGGCCAGATTTAAACATTTCGGTGCCATCCGGCCATTTTACGCCTTTTAACAGTGTTCCTGGATGAGCTCTGGCTTTCATTTGAAAATGTCTCGGTGATAGCTGGCATTCAGCAGAGCTGTCACCATGCCCCTGCCCACACGCAGCAGTGATAAAACCTCTGCTGGCTCTTCCTGGATTTAATTATTTCTAATAAAATCTATTTGTGCTCCAAATTCTCAACTCAAATTCTCTTCCAGCTCATGCATTTTTAAATAAAGCAGGTAATGCTGCTCTGTTATGACAAATTACCACCGCTGAGGTCTTGCTGCACGCAACAGCCATGAGGGGGCTAAAGGTGTGGGTTCTTCCATTTTAGCTGAAATAAACATTCCTTCTACTTCTTTAACAATGTAAGCTGGTGGTCTTCAACCCATGGGGAAACCTTTCCATGAGCAACAATTTCTGGAAGGAATTAATTCCCAGCTCTGGCTGACATTGGGTCCTAGGGCAGGGGGGGTTGGAACCGGATGATATTTGAGATCCATTCCAACCCAAACCATTCTGTGATTCCACGGTCCTGGGGTCCTAATGCTGTTCTGTTAGTGCTTACAGCAATCAACCCCATGCCATTTGTGCACAGCAATACCTCAGGGACCTCTTAGCTTGGCTGCAGGTCTGATAACTGAGCGTGCTTCATTTCTCCCTTACCCATAGGATGTACTTGTTAAATACAGCAATTAGGAAGGGGAGAAAAGAAGACCTTTTCCCAGTGAGGATATAAAACTTCCTGCAAATTGGCTGTGGCACTAGAGACCCAAAACTAATAAGTCGATCCTACATCTGTATAATAAACTCATTTATTAGGTTTTTATTTTAAGAGTTGGTAGCATTAATTAGATTGATATGGCCCATAAATCACTTGATTTGGCTGAGCCCTCAGATACTTGTAATTTAAATTAATACAAGTGCCATTTAATTAATCTGATTAAATCCTGGGCCCAGAAAAGCACTATTTGCAGCATCCAGGAGCATGGTAATGGGGAAGATGAGTGTTTTAGAGTAACACATCTTCCTCTGTGGAGGGCCAGGTGGCTTGGCTGCTGAACTGAGGCACAACAGCAGAGCTGCAGAGGAGGCAGCCCACGAGAACTATGAGAGCTTAAAGCCCGTGAATCCCATCCCTGCTGCGGGCTGTTTGTCCTTAGCAGCTCAGGCTGCCCTGGCCCCATCCATGGCCTCAGGCACCTCCAGGGATGGAGCACCCACAGCTTCAATGGGCAGCAATGCCAGGACCTCACCACTCTCTGAGCAGATCCTGTGTTTAGGAGATGAGCTCCCCATAGATAAGAGTGGGGTTCCGCTCCCGTTGTGCTCCCTCCCCTTGGTTTCTCTGTGGTGGCACAGCTCTGAAATGCACGCGTCACAAATCCCCTCTGGAGCCCACTGAGGACCCAGCACGTTCCATGGCACAGCACCAGCCTGGCCCTGCACAGCCACAGGTTGTTTCCATCAGGGTACGTACGACATAAAATATGTTTTCTTTAAAAGTGGGAGATAATGCTATTACAGCAGTTGGATTAATCTAATATTCTCCTTTGTTAGCAAAGGAGAATTGCCTAAACAGCCAGAGAGAGACAGGTTTTACGAGTCATTCTTAAGGGCTGTCAGACTTTCTAGGAAAGCTATTTGCTCACGAGAAGGAAATCAGATTCCCCACAGCTTTGCTTGCAGCCTCGCAGCACAAAAGCTGCCCTGCAAACAGTGTGGCCAAGCTTTCCTCCACCCGGTCTGGAGGAAAAAAATCACATGGAGGGAACCTGTCAGAAAAGAGGGAAAACAGCCCAATTAGAGCAGCAATCTCATAGCTCTCTGCCCTCTCTCCCCTGTGGATGAAGCAGATGTAAAACAATAGCTTTATTTGTGCAGAATTTAATTGGGAAGTTCAAAGGAAGCGTCGGAGGCTCTTTTGATCTCTGAGTGTTTGAACGCCACGTTGCATCGGTGCCTGCTGGCCACGGCGGTGACCTCTCGTGTTAATTAGTGTTTATCTGAAATCGAATTAGCTCACAACTGGGAGAAAGCAGAGTGATAATCACAGATTTGTGTGATTCTCACTTAGAGGTAAAGCAGGTCTCTGGCTGCAGGAGCTGACATTAAAATAACTCTGAGAACGTTACATTTGGGCTTTGCTTTTGTAATGCTGTCCATCTGATGGTGCTATTTCTCATAGCCTGCGCTGCCTTCATCTTTGCTGAGTCTGCTGCTCCACGCTGCTCACTGAACTTAAACCATAAACCAACACTTGAACAATGATGCATTATTTATAGCAGACCGAATGCTGTAAGGTTG